TAAAATACCATGCCAAGGAAGGATTTTATTCTCTTAACGGAAGGTGTAGCCCCATCATCCTCCATCAGATCCTGCACCTTCATGGCAGTTATGACCTCCACCTTAGCAGGGTCGACAGACACACCACCACCGGCAATGACATGACCGAGGAACCTAACTTGGCTTTGGAGCAGATGGCATTTTTTAGGAGCTAACTTTAAGTTGTTCTCATGCAAGTCTGGACAGAGCCTCACTTTCTGAAGACGCAAAGACAAGAAGATCGTCAAGATAACACAGAAGTTTTGTTAAATTCATGTCACCAAATATCCCAAGCATCATCCTCATGAAGGATGGCGGGCTATTGCAAAGCTCCTGCAGCATACGATTGTACACACACAATCCAAGTGGGGTAGTGAAAGCGGTGTATGTTTTGTCGTCTTCAAGCATTGGTATATTATAAAAGCCAGACGTGAGGTCCATCATGCTGAAAAGACAGCTACCACCCAAGGCGGCTAGACAGTTGGACTGATGCAGAAATGGATGAGCATCTTTTAGAGTTCTAGTATTCAGCCATCTGAAGTCTGTGCAAATTCGTGACCCACCATCTTTCTTCCACACCATCACCAGAGGTGACACATACTCACTTGAAGACTTTCTGATAATTCCTCTTTCCTCCATACCAGTTAGAACTTGCCTCAGCTTTTGATAATAAGCTGGGGGCACTTTCCTGTATGGTAAACAAAAGGGACGCTTGTCAGTGAGATGGATGCGGTGCGTGTAGCCCTTGGCCTCGCCACAATCCAGTGAATGCTTGGAGAAAATATCTTGATACTCAGCTAAGAGTTGGACAAGCTTAGCTTTACAGGCATTGCTTACTTGACATGAATCAATGTTAATGTCGCCAAGTCCCAGCTCCAACAAACTTTTGTTTTGAGCAGTAAGAGAGCCACCAGAGGAGATGTCACTTTACTGTTTTTCAGAAGTGATGTGTAGGCCCTGAAACACATCTAAGTTCTCAGCTGCTAAACAGGGTGAAACATCAGCTAACTTGCTGTTTCTCTTCAGTGTTATAGTTTTGTCTGATGGATTTACGACTGTCATGGGCACCCATCTATCTCCCCACAAGGGTGTGACAAGCCGTCCAATGGGAAAACATCTCTTGGTCTAGCTTTGGAGTTCGTTGGCTCTACAGTGATGTGCTGCCAGGTGACAAATGTACACTGGAGGGCAGTTTACCCCAGACTAAGTGCTCGTGTTTTGGGAGGAGTGTGACCGCTTGAGTGAGCTTAACAGTGCCCACTTTATCAGGAACAACGCTCCCTCTCCAACGCTCAACACCTGTAAACATTGACAAGAACTGCTCAATGTCAGGATTGGACTGATGGCCATGTCTTGATGCAATATCCCAGTATTCACTGCCATTCTTGAGGTCATGAATTAGGTGTTTAATGACATTTGAACCCAAAATCAAGTCGTCATATTGACCAGGCACAACTAAAGCTGGCACAACACAACATGTGCCATAAAGCTGAAGCTCCAAGACATAAAAGCCATCAGGCTGTGTTTGCAGACCACCACAGCCAACTAAGACAATGTTGTCTTCTGAATATTGCTTCTCGGGTAAGACTTTGGCAGCACAGAGTTTCCTTTCGGCTTGGTCACTGATTGTACATGCCATTGAACCAGAATCCAGCATCCCCTTAAGCTGCACTTGGTGACTGACAAGAACCCTTTAGGAACACTGGCACAACTTTCTTCATACAACCGAGCCTTCACTCTTAGCACTCACACCGACCCTCTCCAGGCGTGAGTGATCTAGTTTAACTGCTGATTCTGATCACCACTGCTGGTGTAAGGCTGAGAACGGTGCTGATTAGTCTGTTTGGGACAATCCTTCTTCCAATGACCAGGTGCCAATCATTTCAAACATCTGCCCTCTCGTCTGCACTGAAACAATGTAGAATGTTCACAAGCCCCACAAATCCTACAGACCCTACGAAAAGACTGAGGCACTGCTGCCCTGGTGTTAGGGTCTGCTAACCCTTGTGTCTGCTGTGTGACTAGCCGATCTAACAAACAGACTAAGCTCTTCATGCAGTCATTGTCTGTACTGACATGAGCAGGAGGCACTGAAGATGGTACAGATGTGTTTGAGATATGCACATCTTCAACAGAGCCCTGAGTGTGAATCTTACACTCCACTGTGTTTGGTCTTGGAGCTCTGACAGCTGCTCAAGATTTCTTCTCCTGCATGTGGTCATCAAGCCTCTCTTGAACTTTGCTCGCTGACCACTTCTCTGCAGAATTGAACTTAAAAACACCTGCAAGAGACTTATCTGGGCAGTGCTTGATGAACATCATGCTGACTTCATGGCTTGGATCACCAACACTGCGGCCTTGCCTTTTCAGACATTCACTTGCAACATCCATTGTCTTGTTGAGCCTTAACCAGTACTCCATAGCATCCTCACCTGGCACTGGTAATGTTTTATAGAAATCAGCTAAGGGCATGCTCGAATATGTCAGTTCGCTAAAATGCTGTTTTAAAATGTCAAAGATCACATCTGGGTTCTTAGTGTGGTCAACTGATGTGTTATTGCGCAGCTTTATCCTCACTACATCCCCTGCCTTGCCCATTAGCCTATCCAGGATTTCTTGTGAGTGCTCATGACTTGGAATAGCTCGTTTTCTTAAGTATAAAGTCATTAGGCTTTCCCACTCCTGCACTGTGAACTTATCTGAGCCACTGCCCCTAAATATAGGAGGCTCCTTTGCATCTGGTTGCATGACAAGCTTGACATTAGATAATGTCATCACTGATCAGTACGCTTAGAGCTATGTGTGCTTTAGTCAGACTGCAGCTGAGCTGTAATGGATTTGCCTAGCTTTTCAGCTACCTGTGTAATGAGTATATCTAAGTCTGGGTTTTGCTCTATTAGGCTAGACATGGCATGTTCTGTGCAATAAGTGGAGGTAATTACTGGTGTTACATGTTGCAGCTTTAGGCCCTGGTGTACTGGTTTGAGTGGGTGGATTGAAAAAACCTCTCCCCATACCAAACTGGCGCTCCATAAAACTATCAACATTATCACCTTCTCTCCTAGCAAAATATGTCTTTCCCTCTGCCATGTTTCAATTTCCCACCAGAAAAACAAAAGGAAAAAAAAAACAGAATTTGCAAGTCACAAAACAATCAAGCAGTCGAAAATCAAAAGTGAACAAAGCAGTTCTGTCCCAAAATTCAGTCTTTCATTTCTTTGTGTTCATTTTTTTTTTTTTTTGAGTCCAGTGTGCCCTCTTTTCAGTGCAGTATTCTCATTTGTTCCAGTCCAGTGTTTTTTCTCTCTCTTTTGAGTCCAATGTTCTAGTCAATTCAAGAGACACCTAAAACATACCTCATACAGTCCAGTGGATTACCTTTACCAGAGAAACAGGCAACTGCAGCTTCCCTCAGTGAATGAACTGATGTCGATCTGTTTTTCTCCTGAAGAGGTCACGGCACCATTGTAACAGGCGTTCGTGGTGGCTTGTGTGTTTTCAGAGCAGTCCCACTGAACAACCATTAACCCCTTAATCTGCGTTGTGTTCAAGGAGTACTGCGACGACTGAAGAAAGGACTCGGACCACAATTGCTGCTGGTTGCTGGTTCTTTTTATAATTGCCGATGCTGTATGAACATAAAAATATAATAGTGGAAGCTCTGCAGACAACATATAGCTTAGGAGTGAACATTCATGCTGCGCTCTCTCTCTCTCCAGTACACACAGGTCATCAAGCCCCCTGTTAACAGAATGCACATGGGGAAACCCCGTTGAGCCGAGAAGCACGTCTCAGATAAAACTCGAAAAAAATGACATTTACAAAGTTCACATTTGAGCAACGGCATATTTACACGTTCACAAACTTACTACCAACGCTTATAACTGCATATAGCTTCTTCTATGTTCTAGTTTTTAACCACAGCCGCTAGCAGGACGTACCTTCTCTCAGTTTGCATTTCGCAGACTGAAGGCGCTGCAGCCGAGGCACAGCAATACCGTGACTCTTAAAGTGACAGTACACAATTAACAAAAACTTCAAAATAAATGATTTCGCTGTACAGATACGTAAAATATGTAACAAGAAAACAAATAATTCAGAAAGATATCAGGAAAAATCGGGATTTTGTTGGAATTTTAACAAAAAAAAACAAAGATATAATTTAACCTCGTTACATATGTCAGCATTTTGTCGTATTTGCACAGATCCTTATGATATCCATCCTATAGACAAGGCTTCTAACATTTAAATGTATAAAACCAAGACCTGTTCTGCTTTTGAAATCTGAGGGAGTAGGTAGACTTTACATACAGGTAGGAGGTCCAAGATTGGGCTAAACATTTCCACACAACATTAATAACACCATAACCATACATCACAGTTTTAATTGAACAAGGAATGATTTATCAAATACGTTGTTACCTACAAACTGTGAAAAAGAATCCTCTTGTTCTTTAGCTCATTTAATTGCACTTGAGAATAATAAATTATCAGTTTATAAATGGACAAAAATTGTTGTCAAACGTCATCATACAGTTCAACAATGGGCTGGTTTAGCTGCAAACAGGAGATATGAATGGAGGCCAGAAATTGTTTTTACATGGCAAAAACATGAAACTGGGCTTTGCTGATTTTGTCAAAATGAAAAAAATGTAAAAAGTAATTCTATTCTGAATACTGCATTTACAAACTGTAGCCCTGACTGAATACAGATACTTAAAATCTGCATTCTAAATATGTACTCCAAATAATTGTATTCCAGTACATCCCAACCCTGATTACTTGGGCCAGGGATGGGCAGGGTGCACAAACAAGTTTTTTTTTTTTTGTTTTTAGGTCCACTTAGATTTATTATTAAAAATTTTTTTGGGCAAAAAAAGGGATGTACATGGTATTCACGTACCCACTCCACGCTCCAGCTCAGTAGGTGGCGGTAATGAACCCTACCTTTGCCTGCCAACCACCTTTCACACAGAAGAAAAACAAGAATTCAGCAGTCCACATTATCAGAGAGAAACAAATCCTGCTCTGTTGAAGGTAAAGAGCTGATTAATGCTATTTATGCTGCTGACTTTAGGTCACTACAGAAACAAGTAATAAGAAAATGTTTGCATGTGAAAAGAAAGATGTCATAAGTGAATGGTGTGAGTGGCTTTGTTTAGGTTGAGCTGAGGAGGCTAATGTTAGCTCTGATATTGAGTGAAATTAATTTTTTGCATGGGTAGAAGAGTGTCAGAGGTGGGCAGAAACTAGTCACATTTATTATTACATTTATTTTTTTATTAACATTTTGTTCTTAGTTCTTTTTCTGGTTTTGACTTTATTTTGTTGTGTTGGTTCAGCTCCTGGACTGGTTTACTGCTTCTCACACCTCTAATTGTGGAGATTTAGCATTTTATGTTGGGCCGAAAAAAATCCAACAAGAATAGAGTCACAAACTTAAGTTCCTGTGCTAATAGATAGACACTGGCTGGACAAGTTGTGCTTATTACTTCTACTTTTCACTTTTATTACTGTTTTTTGGGTGAGCCAATTTTATTTCTTAACGGGCAGTGCTAGTTAAGTGTGGGTGGGGGGGTTGCTAGTTAAGCTTGGGTGGAGGTTGCTGGTTAGATTTTTGTTGTTTGTTTTGTTTTATATTAGTGGTGGAGGGGTTCCATATGAACGGCTGATAGATCAGGATGTGATAGGAGTGCCTCCAGCAGTTCATGTTGTTCATCCATAGTTTTAGTCTGTGGTGGATGATTAAGGGCTTTCAGGTTGGCAGTGCTGTTCAGGAACCTGATTATGTAGTGGTAGAATCTTTTCTGGACCTGAGAAGTGGATGACATAGGAATAATGATATAGGAAATCCAGTTAAACAAGACTAATGATGCTCTGTTTGTAAGAAAACATGCAGTGGTCACTGTTCTAATAATATCCATAATATACCAACAGAAGCGTGTTCTAAAATGGGGCTGCAATTAATTAATATATAGTTAATTAATATACGTAGTTCAGAAGCTGGGCAAATGTAGTTAAAAACAAAATACAATGTTGTGCAAATAATTTAAATCCTATATTTAACTGAACATTGTACAAAAACAATATATTGAATATTGAAAGTGAGCATTGTTTTTTTTTTGTTGTTGTTTTTTTTTTTTTCAAAAAATATTTGCCCATTTTATTTTTGATGCAAGCAACATATTTCAAAAAAAGCTGGGACAGGGGCACGTTTACCACTGTGTTGCTCTTCCTTTACCAAGGCTCTGTATGTGTTTGGGAACTGAGGAGGACAGTTACTGTAGTCAAGTCAAGTCAAGTGAAGAGGCTTTTATTGTCATTCCATCTATGTACAGGTACACAGTGGAGTGAAATTATGTTCCTCCAGGAACAACATGGTGCAACATGGAACAAAATAGACAGTACAAACGTGCAGATGTTAGTGTGCAAAACATTAAACAAGAAACAATACAATAAATATGATAATTAAAACAGACATTAGACACAGTAAACAGACAGTACAGTGCAGTACAGACACAGTGCACTCATTTTTGGGCATTAGGTAGTGAGAATAAGGTGCAAAGATTATTTAACACAGTGTGATATGTGAGTAAATGCAGTTAGATAGCATACCTGAGCACAGCAGTTCCTGAGGTAGGATATACACAGTACTTGAGTACACAAAGTGTAAACACAGTGTTAGCAGCAATGTTCCAGAGTCTGGCAGCGATGGCACGGATGCTCTGGTAACTTCTGCCTGATGGCAGCAGTGAAAAAGGTCAGTGTGAGGAATGGATGGGGTCGTCCACAATGCTGGTGGCTTTGTGGATGCAGCGTGTAGTGTAGATGTCCATGATGGAGGGGAGAGAGACCCCGATGATCTTCTCAGCTGTCCTCACTATTCGCTGTAGGGTCTACCGTGGTCAAACGCGGTGCAGTTCCCAAAACAGGCGATGATGCGTCTGCTCAAGATGCTCTCCAGAGTCCCCCTGTAGAACATGGTGAGGATGTGAGGGGGGAGATGAGCTTTCTTCAGTCTCTGCAGGAAATAGAGGTGCTGCTGGGCTCTCTTGGCTATGGAGTTGGTGTTGAGAAAGCAGGCGAGGTTCTCTGTGATGTGGACACCGAGGAACTTGATGCTACTGACGATTTCCACAGTAGAGCCAGGGGTGTTCAGTGGGGGGGTGGTCACCTCGCCCTCTTAGGAAGCAGAATGTAGTTTTGAAAGTAAAATGTTTTCCCCTTCTTGCTTAATATAGGATTTCAGCCGCTCAACAGTTCAAGGTCTTCCTTGTCGGATTTTTTGTTTCATAATATGCCAAATGTTTTGAATGGGTGACAGATCTGGACCTAAGACAGGCCAGTTTAGCACTAGGACTCTTTTAATACGGAGCCATGCTGTTGTAATACGTGCATAATGTGGTTTGTATTGTCTTGCTGAAATAAACAAGGCCTCCCCTGAAACCATCATAGACTATCATGTTTAATTATTACGGGTTTGTCTAGTAATCCCACCTCCATGATCCTCCATGATACTATTGGCATTAGGGGTGTAATGACACACTCAATCCACAATTTGATTTAATTCTTAGTGCTGAGTTTACAATTTGATATTCTTGCAGTTGACAGATTGGTGCTGGTTATTTGCAGTTGGTTGTTTGTGAACATTGTAGCTCAAACAATGCAACAGCATGCCACAAATAACAGTATGCACATTCTTCATGATGCATGTTACAAGATTTTTTTTACATCAGATATCATAATTTTAGCAAGCATTGATACACCACCAACTGGCAATGGTCAATGGCTAAGGGGTGCTGTCAGACAAAAGTATATTGTACTAGTGTGAAGAGGGTTTATAGGTGATTTTTCTGCACTTATTACTCATTATAATATTCTATTTAAAAAAGGCAGAGCCTCAAAGTGTAAGAAATGTTTAGTTTTGTAGTGTCACCAATACATCATCTGCATATAAGCAGATTTTATATTCTATTCCCCTATAGTAATACCCTCCAGACCTCTTTTTTGTCTAAGAGTTTGGGCTAGAGGTTCAGTACACTGTTTGAATATGGTCAGACTGATGGGGCAACTATGTCTGTATCCTTGCTGTAAGACTAATCAGAGAGACTGCAATTAATTTTTCATCATAGCAGTAGCGGCTGCATATATGGTCTTTATATGTTTTATAAATCCTTTACTAAATCCAAAGCTGTCTAATACTTGATATGGAAATTCCCAGCAGACATAATTAAAAGCCTTCTCAGATTGCACTATTCTTTTCTTTATTAACATAATCAGTAATATGGAGAGATTTTTGTGTGTTATGGGTTCGATTGTTTCTTTTAAACCCAATTTGATCCTTGTTCTTAAGCTGAAAAGTTCTCAATCTCTCTGCTCACATTAACATAAACCACACATGCAAAACACTGACCATTCTTCTTAAGGTCACACAATTAGTCAACTCGGTCTCTGTGTATGCCATCATCAATAGCTATATTCACCAAGAACATCAAGCCCTCAAGAAATGTGGTCTAAGAGCAGTGCAGTTTGTGTGGTACAGGGTGTTAGCTATTTCAAAATGAAAGATGCAGAAACTAACAGAACCCTGGTAATGTCTTTGGCCCTATGGAGTTGACAGAATTGTTTGTGGCAAATCACAGGCATATAATGTACTTGCCCAAAATTTCAACGATTTCCTAACTTCTAAATACGCTCTTGCCTTATTAGGGCTTCCAAACTTGCAAAAATCATGTTTGTTTTATACTGACATAGTTGTGTGCCACACAAACTGTACTGCTCTTAGGCCACATTTCTGAATGTTCTTGGTGGCTTTAGCTAATAATAATTGCATATATAGATGCTGGAATGACTGTGTACCTTTTAGAAGAACTGTCAGTGTTCCTATCAATTGATAGGTAAGGTAGGTAATTGATTGATAAGATATAATTGTTTTAATGATGCGTCACATTTGTCTGTAAAAGTTTTGTCTGGTAAAACTCAGACACAGCATGACACAGCTTTTTTCCATTTGACTGCTTTAATTTCTGTCCAGGTTATGTGTTTCTGATTGTTTTAGTAAATTTGACACTGAATTTTACATTTTTCTTTCCAGGAAAGAATGGCCTCCTGTTCTGAGTCCTCTCCTGCTCCTAGTGTTCACTTTCCTACACTTCTAATTTACTTTCATAAGCACATCAAGAAACCACCAAGCCACAAAGAGGAAGGCATCACAATGTTGAACCCAGAAGAGATAAAATGTGAGGATGTCGCATCTGAAATCTCCAATACTCAAACATCATCTGCCACACTCCGCACCAACCCACCACCCAGCATCACACATGATGAAGTAAGCTTTTCTGTAGAAGTTATTACTTTTTATACTACTGTATTGCTGGAAAGGTTTAGGTTTCAGTTAAAACATTTTTGGTTAATAGTTCTTTTTAAGCTGCATTTCGAAACCTCTCGGGTAGATATACGTAATTCTATGCAATGTGCAGTAGAATATTTTGTAATGTTGGTTGTTCGTAGTTCTTTTTTGATATTGTCTGCTTACACTAACATACATGTACACCCATTTCCAAAAAAGGGATGCTGTGAAAAATGTAGATAAAAACAAAATGCAATGATGTGCAAATCATTTAAACCATATATTTCATTGAAAATGATTCAAAGACAACATATCAAATGTTGAAACTGAGAAATTTTATTGTGTTTTGATGACAGCAAGACGTTCCAAAAAAGTTGGGACGGGGGCAACAAAAGGCTGGTAAAGATGTGTAATGCTTAAAAAACACTTGGTAGTTAATTGGCAACAGGTCAATAACATGATTGGGTATAAAATGAGCATCTCAGAGAGGCTGAGTCTTTCAGAAGTAAAGATGAGGAGGGGTTCTCCACCACAAAAAATGTACGATCAAATAGTCTAACAATTCAAGAACAAAGTTTCTCAACATAAAATAGCAAAGAACTTCTGCTTTTCATCATCTACAGTACATAATATCATTAAAAGATTCAGAGAATCTGGAGAAATCTCTGTATGCAAGGGATAAGGCCAAAAACCAGTATTTGCTGGCCGTGATCTTTGGGCCCTCAGGCGGCACTGCATTAAAAACAGACATGATTCTGTTGTGGAAATCATTGCATGGGCTCAGAAAAACTTCTGAAAAACACTCTATGAAAACAGTTCGGTGCTGCATCCACAAATGATTATTAAAACTCTTAAACATGAGAAGAAACCATATATAAACAGGACCCAGAAACACTGCCGCCTTCTCTGGGCCTGAGCTCATTTACAATGGACTGAGGGGAAGTGGAAAAGTGTCCTGTGGTCTGATGAATCAACATTTGAAATTCTTTTTGGAAATCATGGATACTGTGTCTACCGGGCTAAAGACCAGTTATCTTGTTATCAGTTATGCTCCGTATTAAGAGTCTGGGTGCTGCATGCAGTCCAGATCTGTCACTAATGAAAATATTTGGCACATTATGAAATGAAAGATGCGATAAAGGAGACCCCGGACTGTTGAGCAGCGGAAATCATATGTTAATCCTATTCCAAATATGGGAAAACATTTCACTTTCAAAACTACAGCAGTTGGTCTTCAAACACTTACAGTGTTGTTAAAAGAAGAGGTGATGAAACACTTTTTTGGAACGTGTTGTTGGCATCAAATTCAAAATGGGCGTATATTTTTCAAAAAACAATAAATTTCTCAGTTTCAACATTTGTTGTGTTGTTTTTGTAGTATTTTCAATGAAATATAGGGCTTAAATGATTTGCATTTTGTTTTTCATTTACGTTTTGCACAGCATCCCAGCTATTTTGGAAATGGAGTTGTAAAATAACATCTTTAAGAAGAAAGCAGACTGTTTTACTAAAGGGCACATAGCCTCTATGTATGCCATTATCAGTAGCTTCACCAAGAACATCAAACCCTTGAGAAGTGTGGCCTAAGAGTTTCTATTAGATCTATGTGCATTTGAACACAAATGAAATAGCAAATAAAAAGCAGGATTTTACTCTCCAGTTTTTTTCCCCTGTGGTGGGTGTATCTATGAACAAGCACTTTAATGGAATTAAGTCATATTTACTAGTTAACTATCTGGTGTATACAACTTTCCAATGAGCACCCAAATTCAGCATTTGATCTAATTCGCAAGAGACAAGAGACAAAGCGATGCTTTGGACCCGGGTGTCTTAATAAGTGGACTGGAGTTGAAAGAATTCAGACCCTTTTTAGGCAGTATTGCCTCTGTAAAGAAGGAAATGACCATGAAAAGGTTCACAGGTTTTGTCAGAAAACGTATTATCTATTCCACATTTCAAAAGGTTCTACTATTGAATTAAATAAATCTTAGGGACTCCGAAACATCCTGCAGCTTCTTCCATTTGGCTACTTTGATTTCTGACCAGGTTATGCATTTGTCATTGTTTTATTGCATTTGACACTGATTTTTACATTTTTTTTCTAGGAAAGAGTGGCCTCCTGTTCTGGGTCCTCTCCTGCTCCTAGTGTTCACTTTCCTAAACTTTTAATTTACATCCGCAAGCACAGCAAGAAACCACCAAGCCACCAAAAGGAAGGCATCACTATGCTGAAGCAAGAAGAGATTAAATGTGAGGATGTGTTGTCTGAAAACTCCAGTACTCAAACACCTGCTACACTCCTCACCAACACATCACCCAAACCAACACATGATGAGGTGATTTCTCCTGCAGAAGTTATTACTTATTATAATGTTGTATTGATAGAAAGACAGATCCTCAAAGTGTATGAAATACTGTTTGAGTTTAAAAACATGTTTAGGTAATATAACTCTTAAGCCTGCACTATGTAAGATTTGGAGACCTCTCTAGTAGGAATGTGTAACAGCATGCAAAGGAATGTGTAACGTCAATTTTGCTTCGGTTGTTGGTTGTCAGTTGTGCTTTTGTGGCAGTGTCAGAGATTCTTAACCACTCTGCTCACGTTAACATAGTCTGCTCAGGCAAACATACACCATCCATGCAAAAGAAGAGCACCTTTTAGAAGAACACTGACTGTTTTTCTAAAGGGCACACAATCATCCCAGCCTCTGTGTATGCCTTAATCAATAGCTAAATTCACCAAGAACATCAAGTCCTTGAGAAATGTGGCCTTAGAGCAGTACAGTTTGTGTGGCACACAGGTTGTTAGCTATGTCAGAATGAAAGAATTAAGAAATTTTAGTAGAATCCTAGTAATGCCCTTGGCCCTGTGGAATTGACAGACTTGTTTGTGACAAATTACAGGCATATACCTCCCCCAAATTTTGACCCTCCCCTAATTTCAGCTGCTTTTGTGTATTTACCATTTCTTTCATTGCCAACTGCTGTGAGGAAATTCAAAATATGTAGGCACCTGCCTTAGTAGGACATTTAGACTTTATTCTTGCAAAAAATCACTGTATTGTATTACTGTATCGTTCACAAGTATTGCTAGCAATGTTGCAATTCTCCATGTACAAAACTACAGCAACACACAAACACTATTTCCATTTCGTGACAATTATTTATCTCAGAGCAAAAGTCTTGCTGGTAAGTTTTCTTCAATCTGAGGTCAAAAATTTGACACCAGTGTAACTAGTGTTACATATACACAGTAAGGCAGAAAGATGAGTTACGGAAAACCTGTAGTGACTGATGGTGGACAGTATTGAGGGACGCCTTTCATTCTAACAGTATTAGTGTCAAAGTAAACAATGTCATTATTGAAAAAATATTTAAACTTTTTAAACGTTGAATGAGTCTCGGTCATTAATCTGCACATATCTCTCTCCTGAAATACATTAATTTGGGTGAATAAAGTAGTTTCATTTATTTTCAGTTAGCTTAGATTACCGATTTTTTGTGTTGAGGTGGTCAACTCTCTGAACAGAAAGTTCAGATTGTCCTTAGTCATTTACAAGACATGAGGAACAGTAAACTAACAGTACTCTTTGAGGGTTGTCTGCACTTACCGCTTTCACAACTCTGTCTTTTGTTCTTTTGGCTTGGGGTAATGTCATGCATAAGGTTTGGCAAAGGCTTTGAATTGCAAGTACTCACATTATCTAGTATACAACCCTATTTCCAAAAATGTTGGGATGCTGTGCAAAATGTAAATGAAAGCAAAATGCAATGATGTGCAAATCATTTAAACCCCATATTTATTTGAAAACAGTACAAAGACAGCATATCAAATGTTGAAACTGAGAATTTTTATTGTTTTTTGAAAAATATATGCCCATTTTGAATTGGCAGCAACACGTTCCAAAAAAGTTGTGACAGGGGCATCTTTACCACTGTGTTTCATCACCTCTTCTTTTAACAACACTCTGTAAGTGTTGGGGAACTGAGGAGACACTGCTGTAGTTTTGAAAGTGAAAGTGAAAGTTTCCCCTTCTTATTTGATGTAGAATTTCAGCTGCTCAATAGTTTGGGGTCTTTTGTTGTATTTCTCATTTCATAAAGTGCCATATGTTTTAAGTGGTGACAGGTCTGATCTGCAGGCAGGTCAGGTTAGCACCCAGACTCTTTTACTACGGAGCCATGCTGTTGTAATACATGCAGAATGTGGTTTGTCATTGTCTCTCTGAAATAAACAAGGCCTTTCCTGAAAATGACGTTGTCTAAATGGCAGCATATGTTGCCAAAACCTGTAAATATAATTCAGCATTGATGGTGCAAGTCACCCATGCCATGTGCACTATTGCACTCCCATACCATCACAGATGCTGGCTTTTGATCGGTGTGCTGATAATAAGCCGAATGGTCTTTAGCCCGGAGGATGCAGTGTCCATGATTTTCAAAAAAATTTTGAAATTTAGATTCATACATATTGAGATTTCTCCGGATTCTCTGAATATTTTAATGATACTACGTACCGTAGATGAAGAAATCTCTTTATGTTTAGAAATGTTATACGTGAATTGTTGCATAATTTGCCCACACAGTCTTTCACAGAGTGGAACTCTCTGGGATGCTCTTTTTCATTCCCATTGATTAGGGGTGGGAATCTCTAGGCACCTCACAATTCGATTATGATTCAGAGGGCTGTGATGCGATTATAAAACGATTATCGATGCATCTTGATGCATCTTTTTTCTATACAGGATTTCTCTTTTCTCACTGTGTGAGGACTTGGTACCAATATCTTTTATTAATAGAACAAATGAAAGTGATGTGGCAAGTGAACTGGAAAGCTCTCATTCACTGCTCTTATTTGGAGCACATGAGATGCAGGCTGCTACTCATCTGCGATAAAATGCAGTTACGGTGACATAAGATTCTGTGGCAATGGGTGTCCACGCAGCACATGTTCGGTTTTGGTCTCGTTGGGGGGCGTCGCTGTGTCAGTAAAATATCTTTGAGACAGGACGCTGTATCTCAGCTCCAGAGTGTCCAATACAGCGCGAAAGCCCTGGTTCTCAATGACTGAGAACGGATGCAAATCCTTGGCAGTAAAAGTTGCGATAGAGTTTGTAATTCGCTTCCGAGTTGGGTGGAAGCTCTGACATCGCTTGCTCGATGGTCCTCTGGTTGGCACCAAGTATAACCGGTAGGAAAACGGGTGGAAACCATTATATGGTTTCTCATGTTTGTCGTTTCAAAAATATTTTAGTTTAGTGTGACACAACTTGCATATAGTATGGCTCTTATTCAGGTCCCTTTTCCCCTGGCGTGCAGAGTGCAGGTTACCTAGCAACGCAGTCTCGCCTGGCTAGTAGCTAACGAAAAGGCAAAAGGAGAGATTTGAAATTAACATTTGGAGACAAATGGACTTATTCGCATTTCTAAACAACGCAGTTTGTTTCCTGGTACGTTAACTCTGCAACGAGAGACTGAAAAAGTTCCGAAGATGAAGTCAGCTTCTCTTTCGAATTTTCCCGTTCCACCTTAAATGGTGCCGCATTTACAATTTGGCACCTCAGTCAGAATTTAAAGTGGATCGGGAAAATTCGAACGAGAAGCTGGAGAATGAGAAGTGACTTCAGCCTCGTAAAACAGTCAAACGTTGAGAGACATAGCTGCTCTACTTTTGAAGAAAAGTTTTCTCGCGAAGATGGGAGGAAAGCAGCTATAGCTAAAGCTTAAAGAAGAACAAAGTAAATCTGCGTTTTCATTTATGTTTTTTAACCTTTCCAAGACATTATCACATACAGACATATTGGACATTAAATGTTGTGGCTCCCAAGGTGGTTTGATTTTTGATGAAAGGACAAAATGTCTCTTCTTAACATCTGTCGACTCCTGATCTAACCTGGATTTTAGTGCAGAGGGAGCCGGTCGGATTTCTCACTCATCCAGTTGTGTTTTTGTTATGTGCCGTCACAGACTGCCCGGGTGCTGCACTTTCGCGTTCCGCCTTTTGCGTTCAGTCAACATTACGGTATAAGTTAAATATTTAGAAAATCGATTTTTGACATTTGTGAATCAATTCAGAATCATCCTCGTCCGCATCGCGATGCATCTAAGAATCTATTTTTTCCCCCACCCCTACCATTGACGTTACTGACCTGTTGCCATTTAACCGTCAGGTGTTTTTTGTTGGTTGTTTTTTTTTTTTTTTTTTTAGCATTAAACAACTTATCCAGTCTTTTGTTGCCCCATACCAACTTTTTTGGAATGTGTTGCTGGCATCAAATTCAAAATATCAAAATTTCAAAAAACAGTAATATTTTCCAAATAAATATAGAATTTAAATGATTTGCACATCAATGCATTTTGTTTTTTTATTTATATTTTGCACAGCGTCCGGACTTTTTTGGAAATGGGGTTGTATTAATTTCAGCTTTAAAAAGGTAAATTGCCTGTGATTTGTCACAAACAAGCCTGTCAATTCCATAAGGCCTATGGCATCACCAGTGTCCTATTTTCCCTGCATGTTTTATATTGACAAAGTTAACTTGTGTGCCGTACAAACTGTACTGCTCTTGGGCCACATTTCTCAATGATCTTGGTCAATTTAGCTAATAGCAATGGCATACATAGACGCTGGAATGACTAATCGTGTGCCTTTTGGAAGAACACTGACTGTTCTTCTAAAAGGTGTTGTTCTTTTGCATGTATGGTATATGTTAAGGATTCCCAAACAATACTAAACAGACTGCTAATTAGGTATAAATTTTATAACTATGCTTCATATTTTTTCTGTAAAAGTTCTGTCTGGTAAATCACACGGCCTAACACAGCTTTTTCCATTTGACTACTTTGATTTCTAACCAGCTTGTGCATTTGTCATTGTTTTATTACATTTGACACTGAACTTCATTTTTAATTTTTTTTTTTTCAGGAAAGAACAGCTTCCACTTCTGTGTCCTCTCCTGCTCCTAGCGTTCACTTACCTAAAGTTTTAATGTACTTACCCAAGCCCATCAAGAAGCCACCAAGTCACCAGGAGGAAAGCATCACAATGTTAAAGCCAGAAGAGATTAAACGTGAGGATGTGGTGTCTGAAATCAACAGTACTCAAACATCTTCTGCTACACTCTGCACCAACTCATCACCAAGACGAACACAAAAAAATAGAGGCAATCGAAAAATTCACCAATGCTTAGAGTGTGGAAAGAGTTTTACCACACCAAGTCTTCTCCAAATCCACCAGCGCATTCACACAGGAGAGAGACCGTATCCCTGCTTATGGTGTGAGAAGAGTTTTACCAAATTAACCAATCTGAAAAAACACCAGCGCATTCACACAGGGGAAAAACCATATGACTGTTTAGAGTGTGGGAAGAGTTTTAGGGAGCGTGGTTTCCTCAAAACACACCAGCGCATTCACACAGGAGAGAAACCATATTACTGCTCGGAGTGTGGGAAAAGCTTTAGAGAGAATGGTGCCCTCAGAATACATCAGCGCATTCACACGGGAGAGAAACCGTATTACTGCTCAGAGTGTGGGAAGAGCTTCAGAGAGAGTGGTTGCCTCAAAACACACCAGCGCATTCACACAGGAGAGAAACCGTATCAGTGCTCAGAGTGTGGGAAGAGCTTTAGAGAGAGTAGTACCCTCAAGGCACATCAGCGCATTCACACAGGAGAGAAACCGTATTACTGCTCAGAGTGTGGGATGAGCTTTAGAGAAAGTAGTACCCTAAAGGCACACCAGCGCATTCACATAGGAGAGAAACCGTATCAGTGCTCGGAATGTGATATGAGTTTCAGTAGACCGAATAATCTTGAAAGACACCTGCGCATTCATGCAGGAGAAAAGTTGTAACACTGCATATACTGTGGGGTGAGCTTTAGACATTTAAATTTAAAGACGCACAAATGCTTTAAGAGGATGCAATATAATATAGAATTTAAATCTACCATTTTTCAAAATGTAAAGAAATGAAGCAGGATTTTCCCCATTTTTATTACATTAGTGTACAGTAGACATATCAACAATTAGTAGCATTTATACTCTTTTAAACAAAGATACGTTTCAATAAGATAAAACTTCTTGTTACTTCTTGTACAGTACTATGCAAAAATCAAAGATCACTAATGGCCATTAAGTGAAAGTTATTCATTTTTCAGTGGCAGGGGAAAAACAAATAACACATTTAACAGAAAACTATGCAAGGTCTCAACAATTACATATCTTTTTTTCCAGTGTTTAGTGTGTTCATTTTTTTCCTTTGTTACAACTTTACTTTTTTCAGGAGACTTGCTTTTAGTTTTTCAAAGAAATCTACAGATATATTTTTCCATACCTCCAAAATTCAATCCGTGAAGTTGCATTTTCTCCTTCACAATCCCAAGTAAATCTCAAAAAAATTCAATGTTTTTGAGGGCCGGAGCAAGAGTAGAGCTTGACTTTTCTCCCCATTCTCTAATGAAAGCTTGAAGTACTGTTTATCTGATGGTGACAGTATTGGTGGTCTACCTGGGGTCATATTCACAAAGCTTCTCAAAGCAAGAGCGCTGATCTAGGATCAGATTCCACTTTAATTTACTATGACTTCACGGAAAGCTTCACAGATCAGAACTCCTATTCTGATAAGGTTTGTGAATACGGGCCTTGGTCTTCCATGGTTCGAGTCTCATTTTTATCTGTACCTTTTAATAAACTGTTATCTGTATTTTGAAAACTTGTTTTTTTCTTTTCCCTTCCTTATGCAAGTGCATTTATTTAAATCTAATTTCCTCAGAATTATTGTATAGGAATGAATAGAATAAAAAAAAAAATTACTTAATGGCCATTTTGACTGGATATTGAATAAATAAAGTGTGTTCTCTGATTTTTGCACAGTACTGTATATCACCTTGGTTAATAATTGAAAAGAATCTCTGTGGGCTGGCTGAAGTTATAGCAGTCTTTATAATCTTTGTTTCTTCTCCAGTTTTTGGAGAGAGTAGAGTAGAATCGTCAATCTATTAACGTTTCTGTAATGTGGATACCTTACCAACCAGAAGGTGTCAGTACCACTGGAAATGCTAAAAGCAAGCTCTCGTCAAAGAAAAAGGGGTGTGTTCAGTGTCAAAAGAGATTTCCGAACAATGCTTCTCTCTCTTGTACTTCTCCTCATCATTGGACTTTCTCCTTCTCGCCTTGTAAAAGTGAAGCGATCAAGTCTCGCATTTGAAACTATGGACACACTAGCTTTTTCGTTCATGCGCACATTGGCGCTCTCTCACTCATTCTCTCACTTTCACGTACACACCCGTACCATCTAAATAAGCATTTCACTTGTTCACAGTGAATAAACTGATGATTATTGTTGATTATTTCATTTGTCTTAAAGTAGATTGTGTAAATAAATGTTTCATTTGTCAGTGTTTCAGTTGTCTTGAGTTCATTCACATACTGGTTGCTGCCAAAAAAAATCACATTCTTTAAAACCTTCAGAAATCAAATAAATGATGTTACTTTCTTTATTTGCCAGCTTATATTACTTAAATCATGTCTGTAAATAATAGTAATTATCAGACTCGGCCCAGTGGCTGGATCACGTACCAGGAACCGAGAGTTTTTACTGAACTGGGAAAATCTGCCTTTAGTCACAGCTGAGTCACTCAGTCACTTTACACTCTTACTCTCTAACCACCTGCACTCTATCTGACACAGTTTTACCTGATTTTTTACTATTATTTTTATTTTCATTATTTTATAATTTGTTTATTATTGTTTTATTTTATGTTTATTTTATTTTTATTTTAGTCATTTTAATTAATTTTTAGTTTCCTTTTTAATCTTATTCTTTGTGTTTTATTTAACTACTTTTGATTTTATTAACTTTTACATTTTAGCTATCATTTAATTATTGTTTTATATTTTTTATTGTATTATGTAATTTTATTATTAATGTTTCTTTTTTTTTTACTTACCTGATTTGAGTAATTTTTTTTTCAATTTACTTTTATTATTTGATATGTTCTTACACATTATCAATCCCTTGTTCTCTATCAACTCGGCAACATTGTAAATTAGGGTCACCCTCAATGTTCTCCAAGGTTAAATAAAGATTGATTGATTTAGAAATAAAAGTTAATGATATTTATGATTTGATTATATATATATATATATATATATATATATATATATATTATATATATATATATATATATATATATATTAAATTACAAGACTGGTTAATATGTGGTTTATTCATATTGTGCAGTAAAACCCCTACAATAAGAAGGCATTTTCCAAGCCTCCTCCCAAACACACATTATCTGATTCAACTCAAATCTGATTAAAAAATTCTAAGACTTGTTGAGCCATCAAAGCAGTGAAAAAGCAAGCATACAGTCTTGCCATACACAGACAGTGACTGTAGAATAGATTGTACTGCTCAGCTCAATGACTTTCAACATAGCACTGGCCTTAAAGCAAGTCAGTTACTACAGCTGCTAAGTGATGTTATTCTAAATTGAAGGCATCAAGGAAACTTCAAAAAGCAACAACAGCTCAGAAGTGATGTGGTAGTTTACACAAGCTCACAATATAAGACCACTGTGGAAAAATTATTTGGCCTTGGTTACACTCTCTATCCAATTCCAAACTGCCCCTGTAAGCAACATCAGCACAAGAACTGTTCGTTTGGAGCGCCATTGATTGGGGTTTCCATTGCTGAGCAGCCTAAGATCACCGTGCACAATGTTGAGTGTGTAAAGAGCACTACTAAAGTGCAAAAACAGATGAATGTGGGGTTTGGCAGATGCAGGAGAACACAGAGTGCCAACAGTAATGATTGGTGGAGGAAGAATAATGGTCTTTTGGTGAAATACTGCAATTGATTCCCTTTCTTTGTCTTTTATGTCGTTTTAGATGTTATGTGCTATGTGGCGTTTCTTTGCAGCATATCTTTTCCTCTTCACTCCATCACAATGGCCTTTGTCATGTACCTAATGGGTATCTATACTACAAAGTGCATTGTAATGACATAAGGTATGGTCTGAACAGAGAAAGAAAAAAAGAAGCTCTGTTCAAAAACCCGCCGCATGCTGTCCTCCTTGTCAATACACAGTGTCGGAGGAAAGTATGCTCTTATTAATGTTTAAATTTTTATGATGATATTATATTTTAAAAAAAGAAATGCTGCATGTTAAAAGCTAAACAAATTAGCATTTCACTCATTTTTAAATAAGAGCACTGTACAGGTGATTATACATGTACAGTCTGTACAATAAAATTATCATTAAAAAATAATACTTGAAAACAGCACATAATGATGCTCACCGTGTAACATTATCATATTGGCGTATTTACAACCGGAGCTGCTACAGAACACTGACCCACACTACACCTACACTGATTTAAACATTTCTCTAATGTTTTAATAAAATTACCATAAATGGGTCATACCTAACATAAGAGTGGTGAATGTAGAAATCCCTACTTTATAAGTAGTATTTGTTTATACACTGCTATTATAATGCTAATTTCTACTAGTAGCTTTTTCCATGTTGAATTAGCATCAAGCTCATATTTTAACACTACACAACAGCATATTCCTTCCCGCTTTTACAGTGAATCTATCAGTAAACATTTTAACTTAATGCCTTACTTTGAATATTACCGGATTAGCCTCTTAACATTAGCAGTCTGCTGAGCTGGTTTTAAAACTGATTTCTTATGTGAGGCATGTTTAATTTATACACAGAATTTTTATATGCAAACATGCGTGTATTCATGAGATCTGGCATTTTTACTTCTCCAAGCTGAGATGTGAGTTTTCACCCTTTTTGATGAGAAAAAAAGTTGCTGTGCTGTGACTGTGAACATCTATCTAGTTACTTTCTTGACAAATCTGTTCAGAAATACCAAAAAATATATGAATGTTAATTTGAAAGACCATTTTCAAGCTAGCTGGCTAACTAAAGCAACAGCTAACGAGGCAAAGGGGTGTGGCTAGCTAGCCTTCTCTACTTAAAGGTAAAATTACCTCAGCATTCAGCTAACCTAGCTAGATAAACAGCTAACACTAGCTACATTAGTAGCCAACAACAGCCACATCAACTCTGGACAGTGATAACTTTAAAAATTAGTATATAATACATGGATAAGTTATTAAAGCGTTATCTAGAAAGATTTTGTTGCGACCACAAGGTTCAGTTTTTAAACAAGCTATAGCCGCCTAGCTTTTATCAGTATCCCTTTTGCTAACAGTTAGCGGTTAGCTAGGTAACATAACTTCTCATTCCGAGTGGAAAGATATGAGCTTCTTTTGCCAAAACACTTACCGTGTAAGTCTGGCTTTCAACTGCAAATTTAGCTCCCTCTCCAAGTGATGGTTAAACTGGTCTGCACTAAATCAGACTGGATCAAACCGGATCAAACTGGACAGTCCACCTTATTTACAGGCAGAATATATATTTATTTATCTATTTATTCTTTTATTTAACTTTTCTTAATCGTTACTATTGCTAAGATGGCACTTACATTACTTGTAACAAACCTATAAGTGATCTTACAAAAATGAAAAATGTAAAACATAAAAACAACTGTTAGCTAGTTGACCTAAGTGGCACATACAGAGCTGATCTGGTTCCGGAAATAAAAATCCCATTCATAATCGCCATGGGGAGTTTGATTTTTACCCGTAATATTTTATCCAGCCATCGGAGACTTACCATGAGCTACGAGATTGTGAGATGGTAAACGCTTCGATTCAAGCCATGAGTCAGTCTAGTTTTAAATTTGTTTTAGAAAAATCGCGTTTTATTGCCTCGTTCCTCGCAGAGAAATACATTACCCATACGTCCTAGAGCGAGCCCCACCAATCAGAGACGTCGCTGTCATCATGGAGATTCAAACAGTGTGGTTTGGCGGCAGGATAGCACGAAGCTAAATCGCCTCTCCCCGCGAGCAGCAGCAGCGCGGGTTTGGAGTCAGATATTTAATGCTCTACGTTCTGGAGGCAGCTGCCTTCAAAGGTACCTGACTCACCGGGCAGCACTTTAATCGGAAAGGATCCTCTGGGCACTCCTCAAGAGTGGTCATATATGGTTGACCAGATTTGCCAAATGGAAAAATAAATAAAATTAAAAATAAATGACTATGAAATGTGTCTGCATTTATTTATGTCTATTTAGTAATTTCCCCTTCTTAGTATTTTTTTTTGTTATTTATATGTTTCTTTATTAACATTTTTTTCTGTTTTTCTATTCATTTTATATTATTTATATTATATAACTATTAATTTCTAGTGTGTGTGAATGTGTATGTCTGTCTGTCTGCCCTGCGATGGACTGGCGACCTGTCCAGGGTGTATCCTGCCTTCCGCCCAATGACAGCTGGGATAGGCTCCAGCACCCCACCGCGACCCAGAAGGATAAGCGGTTTAGATGATGTATTTATGTGTATGTATATTAATTTCTATATTTATTTATTTCCCTATTTATTTATTTCTTTTTTTTTCTGCAAAATTCAGATCTCTCAGACATTTGGACGCCCTTTTCACATACGGCCTGTGGAAGCCATCGAGAGTTATTTATCGGCAGGTTTGTCTGCAGTTCTTTATGGAGTGAAAGAACAGTTTAATCAACTCTTATCCTCCTGGTCTTGATTGCTAAGCCTGAACGTGAAAAACACGCCCCCTCATTATCATATGAACGAAGGAATACAGAAATAAATAGATGAATTAATGAAAAGAAAAAACATAAATAAATAAATGAAAAATAAATAAATGAATACATGAATCAATGAATAAAGCGAACAACTGTTAAAATATAGATACGGAAAAAATATAAAACTGGCATTAATAAAACAAAATAAATAATACAGAAATAAATAAATTGAGAAATATATAACTGCAGAAAAAGAAGTATGCGTATGATTACAATCACAATAAGCAATGTATACTTTATTTAGTTTTATATTTATTGATTAATTTACTGAGCCATTTATTTTTAAATTTTATTTATTTATCAATTTGGCAAATCTGGTCCTCGATAGTCATACGTCTCAGCTTCTCGCGCGCTGTGCAGGTGAGGTCTGTTTACTCGCTGTCACTCAGGTTAGCCTCTTAGCTTACCTCAAAATTACCTCAGGATTACCTCAAGAGTAATGTTCTTGCTTTAGCACTGCTGTGGGAATTCGTGTGTGAATAAGAGCCGCTATGAAGAACAGGCGTATTCGCCGTTAAAGACTGGCACAGATATTACAGGTAAAAGTTAAAAAGTTTGCAAATCATTTAAATTTAGATTACAGACTCTCTCTCTCCACCTACTCACTTCACACACCTCCCAACACCACACAGTACCCTGCTGAAAAAAGACCTTTAGAAACCATTAGGATTGAAACCTAATGTTAATGCCTTCTAATGGGAATTGGCTTAATGGTTTATATTAGAGGCCACTAGTTTTCCGTAGAACACCTTTAGATCCCTTTAGATTCTAAATACCATGCGTCAGTTCCGGGGCCAGATCTGGCCTGTAGCATAATCCTATCTGGCTCACGGAATTATTTTCATTTTCTATTCATATTAGCCCGTTTACAATCCCCAGAATGCACTGCAGCATAATGTGTGTGATGTAATGTAGCCTATTGTAATGTGCATAATGTTGTGTACTTTAACCTATTTATATATTTATTCATTTATTTATTTTATTTTTGAATATTTCAAGTATCCATTACATAATATTTCAAGGTTCCCTACAACTGCCTTTATTTTGATGGTGTTTTGGCATATTTTGAATAAACAATGGCTCAGGTTATAGAAAAATGTTTTTTAACAATTAAATAAAAACACAGAAATCCTCTGGCCCACGGATTTGTAGAGGTTTCTAATGTGGCCCTTTTAGTGGTTTAGTTTGACACCCCTGTTCTAAATGCATTTAGAATCAGCCACTGATCACCTGTTAAACCATTAGGATCCTTTACATTGTGAAATCAATCTATTAAAAAAAGGTAAAAAACATTAAAAAACCATCAGTAACCAATAGAAGCACTTAATAGGTTGTATCATTTTTTCGGCAGGGTAGGGTCTACTTTATTTGTAATAAATATGTATACATACTAATTTATAGCAAATAATCTAATCATTACATATTTTAATAATCAATATAATTACCTGTTAAAGCTTAGCTTGGCAGTTGAATGGCAGAATGCTGGGGAAATTAGTGTTACTGAGGTGAAACTAAGTATTTAAAAAGACAGAAATAATCATCACTTATTTAAAATAAACCTATACAGAGGTCAAACACCACCTATTGGTGCCAAATCTCCCCACAGAAAAATACAAAGTTTCACACACAGTCAGCTAAATTAGTTAATATACAAAAAGTAGAGCATGTTATATGTTTGTATCTGACTTATGTGCAACTTTAGTGTTAAATTGAATTGCCAACACCAACATGCACTGATATGATAGCCATCACTGATGAAAGAAAGCACTCAGAATCAAATTTGTTGTAATTAGAAATTTAATTCACTATTTTATTTGCTTACTGTTTTGTAATGAAGTATTGCAAAATAAGGTATTGCAATAAAAATAAAATAGGCTGTGAGGCTCGTTAAGCAATTTGAGTCATAACGTTTCTAATAGCTAACTTAGCTCAAATATTTTGTCCCAAACCAGCAAAGCTTATCAGGAGAAACATGTAATGCAATCAGTGACAAAAGTCAAACTTGTCATTCTGTCCTTTTCTGTTTAATTAGCAGAAACACAGGGAGGAAACATTTTACACACAGAGGCCTTTTCTCCTCCACTCTTCCTTGCTTACGTACACTGTAGCCTGTAGTAAGAAGACACTGTAAACTAGGTATGTTCCGTTGTATACCAAAAGTGCCAATATGGCTGCAGGATTTCATTCCAATAGAGTAGGAGCACACCTGATTCCATTGGTTTAATCGATTAGTCTCCGTCTTCAGACAGTGGATCATGTGCACTCCTGTTTTGTTGGCATAAAACCTGCACCCACACAGACCCTTCGCAGATAAGATTGGACATGCTGTATAAAGTTACATGTTAAGTTTATGCCCTGCCATGAACTGTTGTGTCTACTTTTACAGAATGAAGGCTCAAAACTGCTCCAAGAAGCAGTCTGTTCTGTTTCTTAATCTGTATTTTAACATAGAGCAAGACACTCAGATCTTTGGCTCAGCAGGGAGTCACTGACCGTCTTGTCGAGGATGCTGAATCAAGAACGCCATCACGGGCTGGGACCCACCATTGACGTTTTGGTATTTTTATTCTGGCTTGCCAGTGAAGCTTCATATCAGGTGGTGTCCAGGGCATTCAGCATACCCAGGACCACTGTCTGCAAAGTTGTCCACCAAGTGTCAGAGGAGCTGATGGCTGTCCTGAGCAGAGTCAACTGTGTGCCAGCGACAGCAGAGGAACAGTGGGTGCTGGAATTAAAAGGCTCGCCCAAAACTGTGCTTACAGAAGATCTGCATTAAAGCCCCAGGAGAGCCAGGCTCCTTTCGTCTCCTCCTGTATTGAAACAGCTGGTAAGATGCTGTCATGATGAAGAACCTTGCTTGGCCAAAGATTGCCAAGCAAGGTTCTTCTTTTCTGCTTTTTTAGCTTTAGAGAACCTTGCTTGGCAATCTACGGCTGTGTCCAGAAACCTTGAAAGTTACAGCTTTTTCCTACTGATCCTTCTCTCCTCCTTTGAAACTGATTTACAAAAAAATAACAAAAAACATTTATGCCAAAGAACAGTTACGTTCCAAGTACCATTGTGTCCATGAAGAGAAAAAAAAAACATCACACAAACATACCTCAGGCCTCAAAGAGACACAAAAGCCAAAGAAAAATATTTTTAAGGAATAATAATTTTATAATAAAAGACTGCTTGTTTACAGTAGATCATCCATAACCCTTTAGTGCTTTGCTTACTATTCTTCATGAACTATACTGATTACTGACTCCTTATGTACTCAACACTCACTAGAGTACACACACAAGGCATATATCTGCACATTACATCATTTTTGACTTTGTTCAGATTGAACTGGTCATCAGTGGAGCAGTCAGTGAATCTGCTAAAAACACTGAGCTGAAGGAGAGCATGAAGATAAACATACATTTTGCCTACTTTTAGGTGTAACTGACAAATTAAAACCGAAGAAGACATATTTCAGAAAAAAATTGGAATGTTAGTGTCCCGCTGTGCTGAAATTCTGTTAAATCTGAACCTGATCATCAATTAGATCTAATTTTTATAACCATTTTAAGTCCTCTGGTGCTGGTTACTACAGTAACATGAATGATTACACTGGACAGTCAGCAGACTGCTCTTATGAACATCTAGCCAATCAGAGTGCAGGAGGTGGGGTTTATAAGAATATGGCTCAGATAAAAACAACAACCCCAAAAAAACAAACACCACCCATGTTAACCGTGATCACGTGGTTCCCCCTTCTCCCTGCATTCCAGGTGGGGGCGCTAGTTCTACAACTGTAGCTCTCTAAAGAAAAAAAGTGGAGAAGAAGAATGGCTTTGATTAGCTCCACATTGTTATTATAGAGAGAAACAGGAGCTGCTCTGGTGAAGGTAAAGAGCTGATTAACACTTTTTCACACTATTTTCTCTGTGTTTTAACTCACTCTTACAGAAATTAGGCTGCTTCTGTGCTAGCTGTGTTGAGCTGAGGAGGCTAATGTTAGCTCTTAGCACTGTGATTTTGGTTGATAAAGTTTTTCTAGCTAGCTGGGTTGGAGACTGTCAACATTACTGTGGCATTACTGCATTACTTATTCCGAAAGAGAGGCTCCTCAGAATCTTGCCTCACTGGAAAATCCGTATACATAGACATTTGCTTGAGATATTTTTATTACCTTTTTAGGAAAGTGGGTACTTTTTTTCTTAGTTTATTTAGTCTTTGGAGAGAATCATTTGTATAAGTATTTGTTACTGGCTTTTTTGCCTGTGGCTTCAAAAAATGCTGGTATTTGCTTCTTTGTATATAAAAAAAAAAATGACAAAAGTTTTAGATTATGAGCACCGATCTGAGAACAGATTTTGGCCCAAATGGACTACCACTTCATTGTGCATTATTAATTATGCACGAATACAAACCATTTTGTTTTTTTCCCCAACAATGTGTACCACTGTCCAATGGCTACTATATTAACAGGGCAAAATTAACCATTGCACATGTCATAAGAAGCTTAAGTTACTTGCACAGCTATCCAGTTTTAAAGTTTAATTAAAAATCGCCAGTTTTCCATAAGTCATTTACCTTTGCTGTGGTGTTGCAGCAGTGAATGTGCATCGTGTGGGTTATAAAGTAAGGTTCAGCCAAGTGTTTGCCATGCACTGCATAGCATTATTAGCTAATAGGGCACTATTAAATTAAAGTGTCGATTTTTGCGTGCTGGCATAACAGGCCATCAAAATGGATGCTGAACAAAATAACAATCGTATCATATTTTCTGATACAACAGAAAAATCTCTTGAATTGAGTATTTAACTTAAGTGCATTGAGAAGTTATAGGTTTTATGTAGTTTGTATATGTGCTGTAAAGATTGCAGCGTGAGCTGCAACAGAAAGCAGCCTGCACACTCGCACAACTTGTCATGGCCATTATGTTAAGGGATCTGAACCCATGATCTTCTGGTTGCTTGCTTGCTTCAAGGGATCCTGTACTGATAATGAAGAGAGAATTGGATAAAATTGTATTATAATTAGACTTCATCTTTATTTGACTATTATTTTTACTTTTATTTTAATCCCTGACCAAACTTTGTCACTACTTTGTTGCATAAACACTTTTTTTTTTTCCTTTTTCTTCCCCAGTATGGAATAACCTCCTGCTTCAAGTCCTCTACTGCTCCTAGTGTCCACTCTCCTTCACAGTTCTGATTTGCTTCAATGAACACATCAAGCACTGCCACCAAGTGGAATACATCACAATGTCAGACCTACAAGAGATTAAATGTGAGAATATGGTGTCCAAAATCTCCATTACTGAGAAATCACCTTCTGCTACTCTCCGCACTAACACATCTGGCAGACAAATACAAAAAAATACAGAAAATTTAGGAACACATGAGTGCTCAGATTGTGGAAAACGTTTTATGGAGAGACATAATCTCAGAAAACACCAGCGAATTCACACAGGAGGAAAGCCGTTTCAGTGCTCAGAGTGTGGAAAGAGTTTTACTAGACTGGGTAATCTTCAAACACACCAGCGCATTCACACAAAAGAGAGACCGTATCACTGTTCAGACTGTGGGAAGAGTTTTAATCGACAAGGTAATCTTCAAACACACCAACGCATTCATACAGGAGAGAGACCATATCACTGCTTGGTATGTGGAAAGAGTTTTAATCAACAGAGTTCTTTCCAAGTACACCAGCGCATTCACACAGGAGAGAGGCCGTACTACTGCTCAGAATGTGGCCACAGTTTTATTCGACACTGTGATCTCCAAAGACACCAGCGCATTCACACGGGAGAGAAACCATATCGCTGCTCAGAGTGTGGGAACAGCTTTACTAGACAGAATCATCTCTTAACGCATAAGCGCATTCACACAGGAGAGAAACCTTTTCACTGCTCACAGTGTGGGAAGAGTTTTACTAAACAGAACGATCTCCAAAGACACCAGCGCATTCACACAGGAGAGAAACCGTATAAGTGCTCAGAGTGTGGGAAGAGTTTTACTAAACAAAGTGATTTTCAGAGACACCAGCGCATTCACACAGGAGAGAAACCGTATTACTGTTCAGAGTGTGGAAAGTGTTTTGCTGTACAGAGTAATTTCCAAAGACACCAGCGTATTCACACAGGAGAGAAACCGTATCAGTGTTCAGAGTGTGGAAAGAGTTTTGCTGCACAGTATAATTTCAAAATACACCAGCACATTCACACAGGAATGAAACCGTATCACTGAGTATGAGAGGCTTTAAGCAATCAAATTTCAAGTGCAAATGTGTTGGAAAGAGGTTTTTGATGATTTTTTGCTGCTAGCTAGGCCCAGAAATAAATCGGAAATTTTCCTTTATTTTATTTATTTCATAAAAGGAGCAATATATAATTTTTAAATGCATAGTTTTTCAACATGTAAAGAAAATAAGTAGGCTCTTTCTCAAAGAGAGTGTAACAGTGTAATAAAATTTACTGCAGTGCATAGCACACAAAAGAGATGTTCATAAAAGTCAGCGATAACTGCGCTATGCAAAATGTGCATTGTGGTTAAGTCTTATTCATGAAATCACCAATGTGGTGATCAGCACAGCAGACTCTCTTTACCTTGTTGATATCTTTACATTTGCTAATCCAAACTGACATGTTGCTGAACTAAGGCAAATTAATGAACAATGCCCAGTGCCAGAATCTCAGAATCAGTGCTATGGGCTCTAAATACTGTTTGTTTAGAAATGCAGCAACACTTACCAAGGTGGAAAAAGTATTAAACAATTGTAAACCATATCAATGCAGTACAAAATGTCACAACTTCTGTCAATGTCACAAGCAGTGGTGAAACAAGAAAGCGAGATAAAAATGCATTCAGATACGCAGTGCCCCAGTGAAACCATCTGGTTCTGTTCATGATCTCAGTTCTTTTTTTTAAATCAGGGCAGAGCAGCAAAATTGTATCTTTCCCTAATCTATGTTTGTTCTTTTTGTGTGATTGGCTGTTTTGAAATGACCTTACACTTCTTCGACTCTTACAACTGCAATTTGTCATGCCCAGTCCAGACCGATTTTAAAAAAATGCTTTTTAAATGTGTCTGTTAATTAACTGAATGATTGTATGTGCATGTTTTGTTAATGACACAATTTCAGTTCAAAAATAAAACATGAAAAACATTATCTAAGCTGCTTGTCCTAAATGTACTGCATTGCTAATGTCTCCATTCCAGGTAAGGAACCATAGCAATAAGAATCTCTGGGCAAGACTTCTAAAGCTACATTTTCCTACCTCTGTAACATAATTAAACTGTAAGTCACTCTGGACAAGAGGATCTGCCAAATGCCATAAAATGTAGATGTAAAATAAAACATACCCTGAAAATTTTATTACTGATGTAAACTGTTTACCTACTACTTGCAAAAAGGTACAATATCTTGGTGTAACTTTCTCTAAGTAAGCATGTATATATTGTCGAACAAAACCATTTATCTCTAAATAAAAGATCTTTACAGGAAAAGTAATAATGTAATAATATTTTTTTCTTGTGGAGCACTTATATTCATCCGTTCAGCATGTGATTCCAGCACACTGTAAATGGTAGCTGGCATTTTTAAATGTGTGGAAAAAAATAAAAATTGGAGAAATAAGATTTTGTTCTGACAGCAACAAAATGCTAAGTAGTGTTTCAATGTTTTTGAGGAACCTGTCCTTGACCCTTATACAGAACCATAGCCAGCCACTATAAAGCAGTTAATAACTGCTAAGTTGTCAAAAGGTACTGCTTTCAAGTATGTTATTGCAATTGTGTCTTGCTTTTTATGGCAGTGGTCACCAACCCTGTTACAGAAGATCTACCTTTCTGCATGCTTTAGCTCCCACCCTCATCGACCCCACCTGATCCATCTAATTAGTTCTTTCAGGAGTCCTGAGTTGGCTTTATGAGGTGTGTTACAGTTGGGTTGGAGGTGAAATTTGCAAGGAGGTAGATCACTAGGACTGCTGTTTATGCAAAGGCTGTAGAAAAACCTTGGTCCTGGAGATCTACCACCCTGAAGAGTCCAGATCCAGCACACCTGGCTCCAATAGTCAGATAATCCTTGAAGGCCTTCATTACATTAAGGTCTGGTAATCTATAATCTCTGCAGAGTGGTAGGTCTCCAGGAATAGGATTGGGCACCCCTGCTGTAGAAGTTTGGAGCTGGCTGGGAACTGACATCGCTGGCAGATGATTGGTGAGCTCATCTACTGTGCTGTAGTAATACCACTCATAATGGATGAAATGTAGTTATTTATTTATATCGTTATGTCCTGCTACTGCCTTGTGCTGGCATGGGAGCACGGAAGGCAACTGTGTTCACAGATAATGGTTTTTGGAAGTGATCCTGAGTGTATGCAGTGATGTTCACAACAAAATCATGTCTGTTCTTAATGCAGTGCCACCTGAGAGCCTAAAGTTCATGGCCATCCAATACCATTTTTTGGTATATTGTTCATTGCACACAGAGATTTCTCTGCATTCTCTAAATCTTTCAATGATATTATGTACCGTAGATCACCAAGTTCTTTGCTATTTTACATTGAGAACCATTATTCTTGAATTGTTGCACTATTTGCCTGTGCAGTCTTTCACAGAGTGGTAAACCCCTCCCCATCTTTACTTCTCAAACCTCAGCCTCTCTTGGATGTTCTTTTTATACCCAATGTTACTGACCTGTTGCCAATTAACCTCACCAGGTGTTTTGTAGCATTACACAACTTTACAAGTTTTTTGTTGCCCCTGTCCTAACTTTTTTGAATCGTGTTCATTCATTCATTCATCTTTAACCGCTTAATCCACCTAGGGTTGTGGTAGCACTTGGGAAAGCAGAGAATCCCAGATGACCCTGTCCCCCGCAACTTCCTCCAGCTCATTCAACCCCGAACCGCTCCCGGGGCAACTTGGAGAAATAATCCCTCTAGCGTGTCCTAGGACGACCTTTCTTAAAAATAGGGACCACTACCCCAGTCTGCCAGTCCAAGGGTACTGTTCCTGAGGTCCATGTGACATTCGTGGCTGACATGCCTCTGCACAGCCCCACAACATCCAGAGCCTTAAGCATTTCCAGGAAAATCTCATCCACCCCCAGTGCTTTGCTACTGAGGACCTTGCCAGCTACCTCAGTGACCTCCACCAGGGAAAGGGAGCCAGTCCCTCAAGGCCTCCTTTTTCAGCTTGACGGCCTCACTCACCACTAGTTTTCACCAGGGGGTTCTTGGGTTGCTGCCCTGACAGGCACCAACAAGCTTTTGGCCACAGCTACACCAGATGGCTTCCACAATGGAGGTTTTGAACAGGGTCCATTCAGACTCCATGTTCCCTACCTCTGTTCTTCTCAGTCACTCCCGTCCAGATCTCCCAGTCTGTGCCAACATGAGCATTTAAGTCTCCCAGCAAGGCTATGCAGTCTGTAGGCAAAGCCCTTTCCAGAACCCTGCCCACTTGCTCCAAGAAGGCCAAATACTCCGAACTGCTGTTTGGTGCATAAGCACACACAACAGTCAGAGCTCTCCTCACTGCAATTTTAATTTGCATCCAGGTTACATGGGCTGCCTGGCCACCAGGCGGTAGGTCCCGGTAACCCTCTCCTGGGCAGGGTACATGGTCTCTTGTGTACCTCAGTCATGGAGGATTTTGGAGTTAGTCTTCACTCCAGTCCTGTTTGCCTTAGGAGGCTCTAACAGGAGCATACTGCTCCAGATGACTTTGCTCTGAAGATCCCTAGACCTTTTGATATGTTGTCGTTATACTATTTTTAATTGAATATGGGGTTTAAATGATTTTCACATCATTGTATTCTGTTTTTATTTACAATTTGCACAGCGTCCCAAGGTTTTTGGAAACAAGGTTATATTATTATTATTATTATTATTATTATTTTATTATTTAAACACCCTCAGGGCCAAAGTAATCATGTGGTTCTAGTGTGAGTCCCTTGCCGTCCAGGTGGGGGCACTACTTCTATAACTGTGGTTCTACAAAATCAGTAAAGTGGAGAAGAAGAGCACAGTTTACAGTTCTATTAGAGAGAGAAAATGAGGAACTGTTTTGTTGAAGGTAAAGAGCTCTTTACATTCTGTTTTAACAGACTTTAACAGAAATAGGTGGAGAAATGTTCTCTTGAAAAGTAAGATGTAACATATGTGCAGAAGCAGTCCAGACTGAGCTAAGAAGGCTAATGTTAGCTCTTAGCTTTGTGATTTTGGGATGTTGCTCTGGTTGGGTTGGACAATGTCAGAGATGTGTAGTAACTAGTCCTATTTATTCAGTTACATATAAGACAGACTTTGATGGATTTGCACTTTACTGAGTGTTTTCAGATGATAGTACCTTTTATTTTACTCCTTTTCTCTATTGTGTCAGTGAGTAATCTATTTTTTGGCAGTTCCATTTTAGTCAATAACATTTAATTGCTTTTTTGTGGAGGAACTTAATTTCATTGTTGTGTTGGTTACTCACACCCCTTGTTTTAGACCATTAGGATCCAAAAGGAGAAGAATATATCAAATCAAATGAGCCTATCAAATGTCAGTTCTTATGTTGATGGACTGTGTGGCTGGATGTACCATGATGTTCCTCTACAGTTTTAGAAGTTACTAAATTACTTGATTTTATTGCTGCTACTCCTTTTTTGCTAGTTCACTTTCAGTTCTTGAGCCATTATTTCCTTTGCTTATTTTCTTTATTTATATGTTTCATTGTGGGTGGGGTGTACTGATTAAGTTTAGGTGGCAGGGGGTGGGGTTCTGGTTAAGTTTGTGTGGATATCTCTGGTTATGATTGGGTGAGGGATTGCTGACCATGTTTGGGTGGAGATTACGGCACAACTTTGGGTGGGAGTTACTGGTTAAGTTTTTGGTTGGGGGTGGGCCGGTGAACAGCTGGTAGATTAAGAAGTGATATCCAGCAATTTTTTCAAGCCCTTTATGTAGTTTATCCAGTAATCCAATCTTAATCTTTGGTTGGTGGTTGAGGGCTTTCTTGAGAGTGAGTACAGAGCTGTTCAGGAGTCTGATGTATGAACTGATTATGAAAGTTCTTGAAAGGATTGTTAAAATTAGAATGTAGAAGTGAGCCTGTGATTGGACAGAAATATTTAGCTAAACCAATGATAACCAATGACTACTGTTAGAGACCTATCAGAGTAACAAATGAGAACTAGATCTGTTAAAATGCAGTATAGCGGGCTCAGATCAGGTATTAAGATGATAATATTTTACGTACCGTTTTCAAAATGTGAAAAAACATGGAAAAAGAAATAACTATCAATTAATAATTCTTTCTTCCCCTCTATTTTTGCCCTACACACGAATCACTTCACCTAGATCTTGTAGTTTAAAAATTTCCTGTGGTGAGGTGTCTTGTTAATCATTATCATTGATTTAATCAGAACTTGACTGTAGATTCTAATAAACATTTAACTCCTAAACAGAGTCATGGTGAAAAATACCTATCCAGTTAGCTTAAAAGGGAGCTTAAACAGTCGTAAAGGCTGTAATTGTTGTTGTCATTTCACAAGGAAAAAGTTAAGCAGCATCAGGCAGAAGACAAGATCGTGCCACAGGGTTTACTTCATTTTTGCGTCTACCACCTGAAATGTGCTAACATCTGTACAACAAGTGACATTATCTTTGTGTTCCTTGGCCAGTAAAAATTTCAAATCAATATGTTTATTATTTTATGACTGTCTACATTATCAGTTTTTGGTCTCATGAGCCAAACTCTTTGGCCCAGAAACACTCAGGAAACACAGTTTGTTCCTTGACACCCCAGTCATCTGTAGTTTGAACCTCTCCTTTTCTCATCAGGACATAAAAAATTCTTCTGCTATCTCTTCTGTAGTATACAACAAAAATATTTTATGTTGCTGGCCTTTCAGCAATCATGACATCATAATTTCATGATCAGCCAACTTTTTACTCTCTGATCAAAGTTTGTTTGTCACTATTTTGTGGCATTTGATTTTTTTGTTTCTTTTTTCTTCTCCAGTATGGAATGACCTCCTGTTTCAAGTCGTCTCTTGCTCCTAGTGTTCACTTTCTACTCGGTTCTAACGTACAAGAATTCAAGGAATGCCACCAAGAGGAATACGTCACAATGTTGAAAGTACAAGAGATTAAATGTGAGGATATGGAGTCCAAAAGCTCCATTGCTGAGAGTACATCCTCTACTACCCTTCATACTAACACATCTCGCAAAGACACTCGAAAAAACAAAGGCAATGAAAGAACTCACCAGTGCTTAGAGTGTGGAAAGTGTTTTACCGAGAGAAATAATCTCCAAAAACACCAGTGCATTCACAAAGGAGAGAAGCCGTTTCACTGCACAGACTGTGGAAGAAGTTTTACTAGACAGGGTAATCTCCAAAAACACCAGTGCATTCATGCAGGAAAGAAGCCGTACCACTGTTCAGAGTGTGGAAGAAGTTTTACTAGGTTGGGTAATCTTCAAGTACACCAGCGCATTCACACAGGAGAGAAACCGTATCACTGTTCAGAATGTGGGAAGAGTTTTAATCGACAGAGTAATCTTCAAACACACCAGCGCATTCATACAGGAAAAAAGCCATATTGGTGTTCAGATTGTGGAAAGAGTTTTACCAGACAGGGTAATCTCCAAACACACCAACGTATTCACACAGGAGAGAAACCATATCACTGCTTGGAGTGTGGACAGAGGTTTAATCAACAGATTAATCTTCATATACATCAGCGAATTCACACAGGAGAGAAACCGTATCACTGTTCAGAGTGTGGGAAGAGCTTCAATCAACAAAGTAATTTCCAAATACACCAGCGCATTCACACAGGAGAGAAACCGTATAGCTGCTCAGAGTGTGGACAGCGGTTTAATCAACAGAGTTCTCTTCAAGTACACCAGCGTATTCACACAGGAGAGAAACCGTATCAGTGCTCAGAGTGTGGACAGAGGTTTAATCAGCAGAGTTCCCTCCACGTACACCAGCGCATTCATACAGGAGAGAAACCGTATTACTGCACAGACTGTGGACAGAGTTTTATTAGACAAAGTGATCTCCAAAGACACCAGCGCATTCACACAGGAGAGAAACCGTTTCACTGCTCAGAGTGTGGACAGAATTTTACTAGACTGAGTAATCTGCAAACACACCAGCGCATTCACACAGGAGAGAAACCGTATCAGTGCTCACAGTGCGGGAAGTGCTTTAATAAACAGGGTGATCTCCAACGGCACCATCGCATTCACTCAGGAGAGAAACCGTATCGCTGCTCAGATTGTGGAAAGAGTTTTGCTGCACAGAGTAATCTAAAAAAACACCAGCGCACTCACACAGGAGTGAAACCGTATTACTGTTCAGAGTGTGGAAAAGGCTTTACTGTACTGAGTAATCTCCGAAAACACCAGCATGTTCACACAGGAGAGAAACCATATCACAGAATGTAGATTTAAATTTGAAGACCTACAAACAGTGCTGTACCATGCAAAACGTGCAGCATGATATAGAGCTATTCATGAAGTCACCTTGGAGATGAACAGCACACCAGTCTCTACTTACCTTGTTGGTATTTTTACATGTGCTATTCAAAATCGATGTATTGCTGAACTAATGCATGTTAATTAACAATGCTCAGTGCCTGTTCGGGGCCAAAAAGGACATACATTCTTGATAAACATCTGAGCCTCCTCCAAAGCCACAGTCAGTCATGAGCCGAGAGTCAGCACCAAAACTCACTCTGCTGTCCTGTTTGAGATGAAAAGGGCTCTGTCTGAGCTATACAGTGGTGAGTTAATCAGTTTTTACTAAATCAAAATGGAGTTACTTGGGCAAAAGAAGACAACACAGAATATTTAACAATGTTCAGTGTTCACTTTTGAAGCAAAATGTTCTGGGATAAGGAAAAAAAGACAAGGGTTATGCTTGCAGGACATCCCAAGATCTGGTTTACATTTAGAGATCTGTATTACTTCAAAATTAAAAATCAGGATTACTTTATTTCACCAAGTATATTACACATACAAGGAATTTAATATATTTATGGTGGCTGATTCACTAAACAAGACGGTAACTATTGGAAACCTTCCTCACGTGGTGCTAAAGGAGACCTGGGACCATCAAGTAATACATTGTGTCTAAGACTGTATAATACTTATGCAACTTTTATAAATAGACTATATCAATTTGAGTTGGTGGACTTGGCTCTAACTGTTGTTGAGTGTGAGCATTTCTTCCCTCCTCTTTAATGATCAGAGTTTGTCAGAGGTGCTTATGATTTTTTTTATTACAAATGATCCATGTATACTTTAAAAAAAAAAATCCCTAGGTGGGACTTTTGGGTTCACACAGCTAGTCTTGAGCTCTGTGGTCAGAGTAGCTGAAAATGAGCCTCATAAAAATGGGCTTCAGGGAAAGAGTCAAGCACTGAGGAATCAAGGAAAAACCTCACAAGCTTCCTTCCAAGCAAAGAGCTTGAAAGATTATATAAAAGCCAAACATTCTTATCTATTGATTGACATGGCTACGGTACTGATGAAGATTCAAGGGATTCAAAGCTTGAATCCCAGAGCTAGTTCAGAAACAGAAACTCATATCAAGTACAAACACAAAAGATGGTAAACTCTTTGCTACTTTATTATTGGAGTGCAATATTTTATAAATGCATTTGGAATTTTATAATAATAATCATAATTTTAAAACAACAAATTAGTCGTAAATTAGGAATAGGCAGGGTAATTGACTGTCTGTTGTCTTGCACAGCAGTCATTCTGGTAATGGCCAATGAGAATATAGGTTCTGCAATTTCATCATCAAACATGGCCTCCTACTTTGGCAGGGAGGGCTGTTTGATATGGAAAATGTTAGAGTAAAACAGATATACACGAATTTGCCTAATATACCATTTAAGAAAAGGAAGCATAGATTGGAACAGAATACATTTACATATAAAACTGATTTGATCAGGTCATTGTAGTGATACTTGATTTATTGTTATCAGATTTTGTTAGCTGGTGATTTTAATCTTTTACTTTTTTTTATCAAGGATCTTACCCACAGGCACATTTGGGCTTGTTTTTTTTTTTGATTCTCTCTCTTTTTGTTTGGAAGACATTGCAGTACAAGATCATAAATGTATTACATTTTAAGCAGTTTTTTTAAGCCAGTGTTGCTCACCCCAAAGGTATTGCTTACTCTCATGTCTGTAACAGTGAGTCAGTTGCCCAAATATTCAGGTGTTTTTTCTGATGGGAGTCAACATTTTGTTATGTTGAGGCCTTGTGCTAAAATAAAAAAAAAAATCAAGTTTGCCCCCATCATTCCGCACTCAATACTCCATAATGACAAAGTAAAACAGAATTTTTGCAAATTTATTAAAAAGGAAAAACAAAAATTTTGCATGGACATAAGTATTCAGAGCCCTTCCTATGACACTTTAAATTTAGCGCTGGGGGCCTCCTATTTCTCATAATCATCTTTGAGATGTTTCTACACCTTGATTGTAGTCCATCTGTGGTAAATTCAGTTGATTGGACATGATTTGGAAAGACACACGCCTGTCTATATAAGGTCTCACAGCTGACAATGCATATCAGAGCAAAAACCAAGCCATAAGGAAGACTCTTAAATGGAAAAAGAACGAAATGAAGGAATTTATTGTTGTGAAATGTGCTGTGTTATACGTTCTGTAGTTGTGTGTGAATGTGCTGAAGTTGTATTTTAGGCTGCCTATTTTGTGTTTCTCCTTATATGGTCATGTTTGTCACACCTGTTACTTGTCCTGTATAAGCTGGGTCTAATCTTTGCATCAGTCCAGCTATAAAACTGTGTCAGTCCATTGTCTTATGGGCTGGCTGGGTGTCTGGAACCTGCGAGCGCAACGAATAAACTTCACTTGTCCAGACAACAGATCGAGTCCCCTGGTTTGGAATCAAGAGGGTTTGGATTTTTCAGAAATTTATCATTTTCTGAATGGAATTTGGAACAACCAGGAGTCCTCCTAGAGCTGGCTGCAACACCAAACTAAGTAATCGGTGGAGAAGGGCCTTGGTAAGAGAGGTGACCAAGAACCCGATGGTCACTCTGGTTGAGCTCCAAAGATCTTGTGTGCAGATGGGAGAAACATCCAGAAGGTGAACCATCACTGCAGCACTCCACCAATCTGGGCTTTATGGCAGAGTGGCCAGACAGAAGCCTTTCCTCAGTAAAAGACACATGAATGCCCACATGGAGGACTCTCAGACTGTGAGAAACAAGATTCTCTTGTCTGATGAAACCAAGATTGAACTTTTTGGCCTCAATTCTAAACCTCATGTCCGGAGGAAACCAGGCACTGCTCATCACCTGCCCAATACCATTCATACAGGGAAGCATGGTGGTGGCAGCAGCATGCTATGGGGTTGTTTTTCAGCAGCTGAGAGAGGGAGACTGGTCAGGGTTGAGGGAAAGCTGAATGCAGCAATGTACAGAGATATTCTTAATGAAAACGTGATGCAGAGCACTCTGGACCTCAGATTGGGCTGAAGGTTCACCTTCCAACAAGACAATGACCCTAAGCACCCAGCCAAGACAACACAGGAGTGGCTTAGGGGCAACTCTGTAAATGTCCTTGAGTGGCCCAGTCAGAGCTCTGACTTGAACCCAGTCAAACATCTCTGGAGAGACCTGAAAATGGCTGTCCACCGATGTCGCTATCCAACCTGACAAAGCTTGAGAGAATCTGCAGAGAAGAATGGCAGAAAATCCCCAAATTCAGGTGTGCAAACCTTGTGGCATCAAACCCAAGAAGACTGGAGGCTGTAATCGCTGCCAAAGCTGCTTCAACTAAGTACTGAGTAAAGGGTCTGAATACGTAGGTCAATGCAATATTTGAGTTCTTCGTTTTCAATGAATTTGCAAAAACTTCAAAAATTCTGTTTATTATTATGGGGTATTGAGTGCAGAATGATGGGGAAAAACTTAACATAACAAAACGTGAAAAAAACATGAAAGGGTCTGAAGAATATCCGAATGCGTTGTACATAACCGATTTGGTAAATTGTTTTAACAATGGATGCTCAGCTTTGTTATACAAGATTTCGCCTGTAAAGTCCAGGATCAAGTTGTTAGTAAATTCCCGCTCTTGGTTAAAAAGTGATATATTGCCCCTTAAGTGAAAACACAGCAAACTGAACATAGGTGGAAATTCTCTAAGTTGCATGTTCACTATCATCAGCTGAAAGATTTGTTGGTTTCTTGCAATGCTAGCATTAGAGAGGGAAGGACTGCTTATTTTAGTAATCTTTTTGTGGTTAAATATAATAAAATATAATCCATGTTTTTTTTATTATCTACTGTTGATTCCTTTGTGAATGTGTCTGTTACTACTATTGATTGTGAACATTTTCTTTTAGTATGTGAAAACAGTACCATGGATAATATTCTGTTTGAGCTGCAATACATTCATCATTCATTCGTCATCTTAACCACTTAATCCGACTAGGGTCGCGGTAGCAGTTAGGAGAGCAGAGAATCCCAGGCCAACTTGGAGATATAATCCCTCCAGCGGGTCCTAGGACAACCTCTGGGTCTCATCGCAGTAGGCCATGCAGGGTAATCACCACTGGGTGGCGGCCAAGGGAATTCTGATCAGATGCCCAGACCACCCCAACTGGCTCCTCTCAGTGTGGAAGAGTAGCGGCTCTACGGATGACCAAGCTCCCCACCCTGTCAGTGTAGGTCGCCACCCTGTTACGAAAGCTTATTTCTGCCACTTGTATTCGCAATCTCATTCTTTCGGTCATTACCCAAAGCTCATGACCACAGGTGAGGGTCAGGATATAAACCGATCAGTAAACAGAGAGCTTTGCCTTATGGCTCAGCTCCCTCTTCACCACTACAGTCCAGTACAGTGCCCGCATTACTGCTGCCGCCTGTCCCAGCCTGCAGCCGATCTCACCATCCCGCTTCTCATCACTTGTAAACAAGACCCCAAGATACTTAAACTCCTCCATCTGGGGCAGGTCCTGGAGTGGGCATGCCAACCTTTTGTAATACAATGATTCTAAATAAACTTGCATTATTTCATTGGATGAAGTAGAAAAAAATTGTGTACCACTTGTGTTGATCTTCTAATCTCTTTGACATGTGCTCCCTACTAACTCTCTAAAAAGGTTTTGGGATCTGTTGCCTCTATGTGCTGGCTACTGTAAAGAATCCCTCATTTTAGGATGTGTCCCTGACTATAATAAGACAGGTATTCTCCAGCTTTACCTTAATTAAGCTGACCTTGACCCTTCAGTTTGTAATAATTGTAATCTCATTTTTTAAAAACTTCCTCTTACTTTAGAAGTTTTAAAGAAAACAGTTTCTAATCAGCTTTTACTTTTTTGGGGGGTAAACAGCATTTTTGGCTTCGGTCTGTTTGGCTTTTGCCCAAGGCACACCACTGATTTCGAGATCTGGTTGTTCGTACACCAGTGGTTTCTTTTTCAGGACATTCCAAATAGTTGTATTGGCTATGCCCAGTGCTTGTGGATTGGCTCCAATCAAATTTCCCTATTTTTCCAGCTTTAAAATGGTTTGCTCTTCTCCCATAGACAGCCTTATGCTCTTCATCCTGCTGTATCCTTTTTAACAACAAATGCGGTCTTCACAACTGAAACCTAGGGCTCAAACCAGGAGTAGACATTCAGAGCTATTGACTTTTTAAACAGTTGATCTAACATTTAAATGTAACTAGAACCCCTGTTACTTACATGTTTCAAAATTTTTGCTCACTTGAAAAATAGGTGGGTTCAATCAAAAGGTGCCGTGTTCTGAGATGTTTTACACATCTAGACGTATTCATTGTACAGCAAAAACAAAAGGATTGGCCTAATATGTTTGGAAGAAACTGTATCTGCCTGCTTACTGGGAAATGTGCAGGACACAAGTCAGATTCCAGATGCAACCAATTCTCACAAGGTTGGAGATAGCTGAATGATGAAGGCACTTCATGTACATGCATGATGTTTTATTGCTGATATATTTAGTGCCTGTCCAAAAGACAGTGTTGACATATATTTCTTTATCCATCTTATGAATTGTTTTTGCTAATTTTAAAGATTTGAGATACTGTATCGATGGTGTTTTGTCTTTTATGCTGTTTTAGGTGTTTGCTGTTTGGTGTGTGGGAATCTGCAGTCTGCCTTGTCCTCTTCACTCCACCACATTGGTCTTTGAAAGAAGAGAAGAAATATCAATAAGAAGTTACTGGATGCTACAAACCTCTCTACAGTAGACCAGAAGATCACATCCTGAATATCTTGTACACAAACATACATTCTCTCTCACTTTACCTAAGGAGTGTGTTGTATTTCAGTGGTGTAATGGTGTGTGTATAGGACAGTATACCATGATTTGTAAAGGATCCCCACTGCAACATGTCCACGCACCATGCATAAATATTTTCCATACAGTCCATGCAATAATTTCATCTTTCCTCGTTTTCGGTGAAGTGGCTTATCAGTGATAGGCTCTACAGCCTGTGATGTAATTTGATGCAGACTTTATGCATGCTGATTTAGATAACAGATAACTTTACTCAAGAGAGTATGCCTAAGTAGATCAGAAATGGCAGATAAGAATTTGCAGACATTTCTCTTTTACTCTGTCGATCTCTTTGATCTATCATGCCGCACACCGCATTTACATGTTCATTTAAAAGAGTGTATATTGATGCATTTTGAACCATGGACCTGTTTTATTTTTTTTTAATGAACAGTTTCATTCAGTGCTGGGAATGTGTAATCACAGCAAGGAGACAATAGAAGTTCAGATTATGAGTACATTTCCAAAAGCACACAGCTATTTCTGCACTGTAACCACATGGCTATGGCATAATTTTGGAAGGAGAGAAGGTTGGGACACAACCAATATAATGTATCTGAAGCAGTGTTCTGGTGTCAGCTGAACAACTTCTCTCAGACGATGCATTACCAGTGTCTCAGTTCCGCCATACGGTCCTGGACAAGCTTGAAAGACGTGCAAAGTTTGCAATGTACCATAAAATGTATGCTGAAAATTATATCACTGTGGTTTTGTTTTGTCACTACTTGCAAAAGAGTAAAACATCTCAGTGTAACTTACTCTTTAGACTGATCTAGAGCACAGAACATGTGTATTTGCTAAGTGGTCTGCAGGCACCAGCAGTTCTAAGGAACATGTCCTTGACCCTCATGGCCATTATAAAGTGGTTCTAAGTTAATGCTGTGTCTGAAGGTACTGCATTCAAACATTCATGGAGTGGGCAGTGAACTGACACCTCCTGCCCAATGTTATTTCTGTGGTAGGATCATCTATTATGCAGTTAAGCAAAGCATAAGAAAAGGTGGCTATAGTAATATTACTGTGCACCATGGTTGCAAAATTTAGGATCATTATTGTTATCTGCCCTGTGATGGACTGGTGACCTGTCCAGGGTGTATCCTACCTTCCGCTCAATGATAGCTTGGATAGGCTCCAGCACACCACTGCGACCCAGTAGGATAAGTGGTTTAGATGATGTATGTATGTATATGTATTTTTATCATTATTGTACCTTTTAATTGTACCTTTTTAAACTATGTTTTCAAAAATATTCTCATTATTGTTCAGGCTTTATTAGACAATTAAAAATCACATCCTATTATGCTTTTAAATAGCATTTGCAATTTTAATGTATGTAAGATAATCATGTACAATACGAAGTTCAAATAAAAAATAAAAAGTTAATCTTGCTTGGTATTTTATAAGAACTAATAACAAATTATTACTATAACAAATATTGCAATTATTGTTGTAAACTTTAAGCATTTGTGCTTTTATCTTTCGTGATCCTCAAATTCGCGTTCAAATTCAGCTGGGCATTCATGGAGCAGTTTAAGTTGAAATGTAAAGAAACATTTTATTGCAGACATTTTTGATGTAACTGATGTATTTAAACAGAAATAGTCATGTTTCTGAAAGCAGTAAAGTGTTAAAGTGTCCTGCTGTGCTGAAATGGGATAAAACTCATGGTAAAATAAAGAAGATAAAACTTTTAGTCTCTAACCACATCCACTCAGCTGCAGCTGTTTTATTTAATTCTACTTTTATATGATTTTGGTATTTTGTAGTTATTGTTGTACACTTATCATTCTTTTTTATTTTTATTAATTTATTTTATTCTGAACATTTACTTTTTAGATATTGTTTATTGTTTTACATTTTGCTTTCTTTATTTAATTTATTTTATCAACAGTTCTATTTTTTTTGTAATTTTATAGTTTTTTTTTCTAATTTAATTGACTTTTACTCTTAACTTTTAGGATTACATTCATGCTTTGATATATGTTTCATCAAAGTTTATAATGTTTTTACAATGTCTTTTACATCTTTTTCAGTATTCCTATATGTCCAATCATGATTTCTGTGTAGGCCTGATAACACTTTAAATGAGGGTGACCTCAGTGTACTCCGAGTTTACATAAAGGTGGATTGATTGATTAAGTGTCGAAATATGGGTGGAATTTTAAAAATGACACCCTGAGGTCCACAGTGATCACGTGGTTCCCGTGTGCGTCCCCCTACAGTCCAGTTGGGGGCGCTAGTTCTTTAATTGTCATTCTCCAAAGATAATAAAGAGGAAGAGAAGAAGAAACTCTGCTCAGTGGTCTACAGTGTTATTAGAGAGAAACAGGAGCTGCTCTGTCGAAGGTAAAGATCTCACTGTGTTTACACTGTGTTTACGCTGTGTTTTAACTCACTCTTTCAGAAGGGGGAGGAGAAATGTTCGCATTTTTCAAAAGTAAAATATATGTGAGCTGAGGAGGCTAATGTTAGCTCTTAGCATTCAGATTTTGGGTGATGTTTTTCTAGTTGGGTTGGTGAGCCTCAGAGGTGGTACAAACTAGTGACGTTTGCAAAACATGATCCATTACTTCCACTGAAGTGGTGCACTTTTAGTCATTTAAGTTTAGACCTTTTATTTTTGGATTTTAGTGTGTTCTGTTGTGTTGGTTCAGCTCCTGGACTGCTGTGCTGTTTCTGACACCTACTTTGGACATTTTATTTACACAATTTAAAAAGCTGGTTCTTCAAGGGTTCTTTAGTAAAGGCAGTGGCTCTATTTAGAACCTTAAGTTCTATATTTAAACATCTCATGCTTAAATGCCCTGCTGGGAGAACAACCAGCACATTCCAGCGTGCATTCCACGGTGGTCTAGTACTGGTCTAGCCCATCACCCAACATGGTCATGCTGGTTGACCAGCGTACCATAGCAACATCCACAAAACATGTTGGTTTTTCTGTTTTTTCTAGCAGGGTGGTACTTCGCATGCTGAAATGGTTCTGCAGATTGATGGAGAATATGTTGTATGTGGTTCTGTATCACACCAAAAAGGGTTCTGCTATTGTGACAAGTTTGACATTCTATCAATAGAAGAGCCGTTTTTGATGCTATATAGAATCATTTTCAAAAAGGTTCTCTGTAGAACCATATACAACATCTTGTCAAATGTCTGACCTGCTAAAGCTGCCCAAGTCAATTAACTGCTGTTATTGTAAAGTGGAAAAATCAATGAACAGCAGCTCAGTGGTAAAGAAGTGGGCCACACAAGCTCAGTCTGATGTGTACAAGATCATGCCTCTTGTCTGATTAATTTATTTATATAAGTCCAAACCATCTCAGTTTGTCCAAGTCAGGTACATAGGATTTTAGAAAGGAATGAAGAGTTTAGGACTGTAGCTAGGTGTTAGACTGTAGCTATTATTAGAGTTTTTACTGTTGTGAAGCTCTGTCCACCTCAGTTAGCTTGTGGCTGATGTGGTGCTTAAAGTTATAAAGCCTTGGCAGAGGCTTTGAACAGCTTTAAATACAGCTTTCAGGATCTGTATAGCGATGACTAAAAATATGAAAAGCAGATAAGTCACTTCAGCATATCTAAAGTAGTAGTCTAAAGTGAGGTACTTAAGCACAGTCTTTGGTTGTGAAAATCTGCTGTAGAACATCTGTCTGTTCATTGGGCAGAAAGGTTCATCATGGTGAATCACTAGCTTTTTTTACACTGACATAGTTACCTACATGTGTGCTACACAGACTGTATTGCTCTTTACTTTCTGTTTTGTGTAAGATGGATTGTGTATGCTTAGTGTTAATTGCTCAATATTTATTTGGAACAGACCTATTGTAAATTTCCAAAACCACTACTATTGAGTTAGTATACAGTACCTCGGGTGTGGGGGATATGTTAGGTAACGAATATGGTGATTGTGCTGCCTAATTATGTCCAGTCTGGGGGCAGAGGAGGGTTAAGTGCTTTACGAAAGGGCACAACCAGAAGTACCCAGTCAGTCATGGAATTTGAACTTGCAACTATCTGGTTACTGGCTCATTTCTCTTACTACTAGGCTAATGGCCACGCTAGACATGTTGATATAGCTTTAGGGAATCTCAAACTGATATTAAACAGATTCAATGTTAAATAAAATTGTATTATAATGTATATCCCAATATTTATAAATAAATAATTATATAAACTTGTAAAACTTGTTGTGAACTGTTGTGAATCCCTTATATGCTTGTCACTAATGATGTTTTCCCTTTTTCTCTTCCAGAAAGAAATGGTCTTTTGTTGCAAGTCTTTTCATATTTTTAGTGTCTACTGTACTACACAGTTCAAATTACCTCCACAAACTCATCAAGAAATGACAAGAAGAGGAACGTGTCATACTGCTGGAATTAGGCAAGACTGAATATGTGAGAATATGCTCTCCACAAGTTCCAGTACTCAAACATTCTCTGCTAGTCTCCAAACTAACCCGTCTCCCAGACGTGCGCAAAAAATTACAGGCAAAGAGAGAACTCACCACTGCCTAGACTGTGGAAAGAGTTTTACTGATAGACATAATCTCCAAATACATCAGCGCATTCACACAGGAGAAAAACCTTATCACTGCTTAGAATGCGGGGAGAGTTTTAATCAGCAGAGTAATCTGCTCGTACATCAGCGCATTCACACAGGAGAGAAACCTTATCAGTGCTCAGAGTGTGGGAAGAGTTTTACTAGACTGAGTAATCTTCACCTACACCAGAGCATTCACACAGGAGAGAAGCCATATCACTGTTCAGAATGTGGGAAAAGGTTTAATAAGCGGAATCATCTCCAAAGACACCAGCGCATTCATACAGGAGAGAAACCGTATCACTGCTCAGACTGCGGGAAGAACTTCACAGTACAGAGTCATCTCCAAACTCATCAGCGCATTCACACTGGAGAGAAACCGTATTACTGTTCAGATTGTGGGAGGAGTTTTAGAGAGAGTGGTACCCTCAAAAAACACCAGCGCACTCACACAGGATTGAAACCATATCACTGTTCTGAGTGCGGGAGGAGTTTTACTAGACTGAGTTCTCTCCAAATACACCAGCGCACTCACACGGGTGAGAAACCGTATAATTGCGCGGAATGTGGGAGGAATTTTACGAGACAGGGTCATCTCCAACAACATCAGCGCATTCATACAGGAGAGCATTCATTTCAATGCTCAGAGTGTGGGAAGAGTTTTAATCAACAGAGTACTTTCCAGATACATCAGCGCAATCACACAGAAGAGAAACCGTATTGCTGTCCAGACTGTGGAAAGATCTTTACTAGGCATATTCATCTCCAAATACACCAGCGCATTCACACGGGAGAGAAACACTATCATTGCTTGGACTGTGGAGAGAGTTTTAATCAACAAAGTGATCTGCAGTTACACCAGCGCATTCACACGGGAGAGAAACACTATCACTGCTTGGACTGTGGAGAGAGTTTTAATCAACAAAGTGATCTCCAACTACACCAGCGCATTCACATAGAAGAGAAACCGTATTGCTGCTTAGAGTGTGGGAAGATTTTTACTAGACAGAGTCATTTCCAATTACACCAGCGATTTCATCCAGGAAATAAATCATAATGCCACTCAGAGTCTGGGAGGAGCTACGGGCATTTGATATTAATTACATGCCCTTCAAGAGGAAGGTGAAAACTTGTCAAATCAGAAAACATGATTATTTGCTGCTAACTGTACCTCCAAGCTACAATTATTCTTGTATTCCACTACACTGTCTGGCCAAAATAAAGTCACATACTTAAAAACTTTTGTTTAGATAATGACTGCAGTAATTAATATGTTAGATTAATTACTGCAGTCATATTAATATGTTTCTGCAAAGATATTAATATGTTTCAGCTGGCAGCAATTCTTTTAACCCTAACTGATGCAGTGAGTTGCTTTTCGTTTCTTAAACAACCATGTCAGAAGATTTATCCCATGGTCATGGAAAAGATGTTATTTTGTTTCAGAAGTGTCAAATTAGTGGCCTTCATTCAGCAAAGAAAACAATTAAGGAGTTTAAGTTACTGAAACTGCTGAACTGTCCAATGTGTCATTAAAATCCAGAGGATTTTAACTGCAGAAGAAATGTGGTTGGAGATCTCTTAAACGCTTGTTGTCGAATCATTAAAAATCGACAGTACAACTCATAGCTGTGTTTAATAGTGAAGTAAGAGCATTTGCACATGCACAATGCGACGAGAACTCACAGCTGTTTGGCCACAAGAATACCACTTGTTAGTAAGGCTAATTGGAAAAGGAGGCTTTGGTTTGCTAGGGAGCATAAAGATTTGACTGTGTGATGACTCCAGATTTACCCAATTTAGAGTGATGGGAATGTCAGGGTAAGAAGAGAAGTTTATGAAGCAGTACCTGCTGTACCAGCCTCTGGTGGTGGTGTAATGATCTGAGGTTGCTTCTGTTGATCAAGTCTAGGCTCAGCAATGTTATTTGGCAATAAAATGAGGACAGCCGGCTAACTGAATGTACTGAATGTCCAGGTTATCCCATTGATTGTTTTGTTTCTCCCTTGATGGCACGGGCATATTCCAGAACAACAATGATTCATCGGACTTAAATTGTGAACGAGCTGTTCAGGAAGCATGTGGAATCATTTTAAGTCCTGACCTTAACCTGATTTAAAAAATTCTGTGCTAAAGAAGACTTAGGGAGTGGTTTGACTTTCCCGTCATCAATACAAGATCTCGACCAAAAATTAATGCAGATCTGGATGGAAATAAACGTTGTGAAGTTGCATAAGGTTGTTGAAAGTTGCATCACAGCGAAGATGCACTATAATCATAGCTAAAGGCAGTCCGACTAAATGTTAGAGTGTGTGACTTTTCTTTTTTGGCCAGGCAATATATATACATATTTTAAAATACACTACATGGCCGAAAGTATGTAGACACCTGACAAACACACCTGCATAAGCTTGTTGGACATTCCATCCCAAAATCATGGGCATTAATATGGAGTCATTAATATGGCCTGCCAGTGAAGTGTGACTCCTCACTTCAAGAAACACGGTTCCGCTGCTCTAGCGTCCAGTGGTGGCGTGCTTTACACCACTCCAGCAGACAGCTGGCGTTGCACATAATGATCTTAAGCTTGTGAGCAGCTCAGCCATGGAAACCCACCCATTTCATTAAGTTCTAGCACTTAGTTCTTGTGCTGATAATGAAGTAGGCTCTTTCCCAAAGCTCACTGTATAGCAGTATTATAAAATTTGTTGTAGTAAGCATATCCTTTAAAACAAAAGGGAACTCCATTAAAATGAAACTTTTATTGTTTAATTTTTTATCTGCCCTGTGGAGAGGGGAAAGTTGAGAGCTGAAGAGACCTGGTTCACCTATCATCAGGAGGCGGTCTCAATTAATATTCAAGCCTCCCACCAAGCACACCGTGTCTGAATCAAGAAAAAAAGAAAAATGCAACAACTCCTTAGCCATCCAAGCAATCGGAGTTGAAGAGTAGCTGATATCTGCTTTTAAAGCTGAAGTTTCTTCTTTTGAAAAGCAGTCAAGAGCCACAAGTCAGCGTCACAACAAACTCTGTTGTGACACAAGATTCGAAAAGAGTCGTGTTTGCAACGTCAGTCTGATGTCAGTGGTGAGTTATGCTGTTCAGACTTATAATTTTTTACGCCAAAAAGTAGCTATTGTTTTATTTATGCTTTATTTTATGATTTCTGAACGCTGTTGTAGCATTTATTTAATTTGTGAAGAATCTGACAAAGCAAAGATTTTTATTCGGTTTGTGTTACAAACGTCCATTTAGAATAAGAAAACGCACAAATATGTCACACATCAGTTACGGTCCTGAGCATGTTTTTATAGTGATTGACAGTAGCAAACAGAAAGCTCCAGTTCTGTTCTCTGAACTTGACAATCATTTTACTGTTGCTAATGGAAATGTGCTTGCGGCGTAACAAGCAGCTTTCTTTTTTGTGGTCCTGCGTCTGTTGGGGTTATATTGTATTTTAAGGATAACAGTTAATGTGCATTCCATATTACATCTTGTTAAATACATCCAGTGTTAGATAAGTTAGCTTGCAAACAGTAATTGGGCTGTTACCATACTCCATTTCATTCTGAAGCTCACTAGTATTTTGTGCTCACATCACAAGTTTAATTCGTCATTCTCCTCCTCTCAACAGGAAAGGTAAGGAGGAGGCTGCCCACACATGAAACCACTGTAATGGATGTAGCCTGTTATTATGTGTCTACAGTGTAAAGCTCTGAGAGTCTGCCTGTGTATGCTTACTCACAGTTATGAAGCTGCGACTGGTCAGTCAGTGATTACAAGTGGCTTTTAGCAAAGGGTGAGGGCAGGGTTAAGTTATGGCCAGTAGGCCAGTCATGGTTTATATGGAACTGATATTTTTATATGGTCAGATGAAGGACGTACACTCATTCAAGCTTCATTTAATAGTAGGATGTTTGCAATGCATGTGAGTGTTTTCAGATACTGTTATTAAGTTTCTTTATTTTGTCTTTTGTGCTACTTTAGATTTTGATGTGTGGTATGTGAATCAACAGCCTGCCTTGTCCTCTTCACTTCATCACATTGGTCTTCATCTGGTGGTGACAAGGGGAAGAGAGAAGAAGAGAAATATCAACAAGTTACTGGGTTCTAGCAAGTACTAGAAACCTCTCCTCAGTAACCTCCACAAGTCTGTTCAACACAGCGTAGAGTTGTAAACAGACCAGAAGATCACATACTAAAGAAGTTCTTACACACACACACACACACACACACACACACACTCATACACTCCTGATCTGTTGATATATCACCATGTTTAGACTGTGTGATTTTCCAGTGTTGTAGTGTTGTCTGTAGTAGTAGGTGGTCTCTAAGGCATCCCAAGCCTAATATGTATACATGCACCAGGAACATACTTTTTCCATAGACTTTGCTATAATTAACGAATCTGAAACTGGTCTGAAAGTGTATGAGTGTGGAAGCAAAAAATGCAACTCTAAACTTTAAGTCTGAAAGTTGAAACTTTAAAAGTATTAATGGATAAGAAAATATAAATACATCTAGGATCTGAGAACTGATTTGTTCTACCGTTGTTCTAATGTGTTTGTGAGTGTGATTGTAACTTTCAGACCCAGATTTTTCATAACTTCACTGCAACATTTAAAATTTTGGTTTTAGAAAATTTAGGTTAGAGGTTCTTATCTGTGCAGTCCAACGAAGGAGACACAAAAAGACCACTGCAGCCACCTAATGGAGTTGTGAGATAACTGAAATTCTGGGGGAGGAACATGCCTGAAACCCCTACTCCTTCCTAACACCATGTAAATTCCCTGTGATGGAGTTCTCACAGTCGGCCACGGGAGCCAGTTCTGCTACAAGCCACTCTGCCACAGACCTCGACTCTTCTGAGTTTGGACATCTGCCTGCTCCTTCTGCCTATCATCATGCCCATCAACTCCCATACGCAGCTGCTGCCTTCTGACAGCCATCCCTACTCCAGGAGGTTATATTCTGCTTTTCTCTCATCTAACCTCTACCTTTCCCTGCCATGTTTAGCACTATCTTCACAATCTGGTGTTGATCAGAGGAGGATAGGCTCTCCTGCTGAGTCCTGATTTCTCTCAAGGTTTCTTCCTCATGCCTCTGCAAGTATTCCCTTGCTTTTGTCGCCGTTAGCTCATCAGAGGTTCACACCCGGATGTCTGTTATGCAGCTTGCAATCATGTTGCCATCAGGATATTACAATGAATCAAATTCTTCTGCTCCATCTTTTCTCTCATCTTACAAGCTTAAAGCAGCACACTACTTACTCTGAGTGCCATACAAAGGGTCAACTTAAGTAACTTTTTTGCCTAGGCTAAACTCCTCCACCAAACCATACAAAGCCTAGTGTGCTACTCTTAACTCAGATATCCAAATGCTCCACCATCTGACCAACCCCTCGTTCCCATATCCCACTGGCATACACTCACACCAAGTTCTCCATCCAAGTGGCTACATTTTTTGTCATCGCTTAAAAGTTAGTTCTTTCAAGACAGAACCCTGTCTTTCTCATCATATGAAGGTCCATTGAGAAGGTCCATTGAGCAGGTCCCTTTGAGTGGCAGACCATGCCTGAAACTCACACACACTTTCTAAACCGCTTATCCTTCTGGGTCGTGGGAGGGTGCTGGACCCTATCCCAGCTGTTATTGGGCGGAAGGCAGGATACACCCTGGACAGGTTGCCAGTCCATCGCAGGGCAGACAGACAGACCTATACATCCACACACATAATCGCACACACATTCACACCTCGGAGCAATTTAGCATGTCCAATTGGACATGCCTGACTGCACGACTGTGGGAGGAAACTGGAGGAAACCCACACAGACACTGGGAGAACGTGCAAACTCCACACAGAAAGGACCCTGGTCGCCCGGCCGGGAATCAAACCCGAGGCGAGGCGACAGCACTACCCACTGCGCTACTGTGCCACCCTGACACAACTCCTCCTTCCAATTTAATGCCCTATAAATTCCCATCCTTACTTTCGTTTTCCATGACAAAGTTCTCCTAAGCGCCACCATCACATCTCTTCCCTGTTACTCAGTCCTGTGTCAGTCCTACCACAGACCATGAAGAAACCACCCAGAACTCCAACCCAAGTTCTCAAAGTTGTCTCCTATTCTTCAATTCGTCTTCCCTCATGCTGTCCTTGAAGGCATGGTCTGAACTCACAAAAAGGCCACAAAGCACAGAATGTATAGCAGAGAAGCACAGAAAACTATCAAGCTTAAAGCCATTTTAGATTCTACTTTTACACGCTGTCATTTAATGAATTTATTGGTGAATTAAGTTTTCAAAAACTCATTTCTGAGCTATATGATACAAGATGAAGTAAGTTATGTGACTAGGCTACTAATGTTAGTTGAGGTAATTGTTGAGTTTTTGGATGCTGCTTGTCACCCACCTGACATGTCCAGGGTTGGATAGCCTTAAGTGTCCATTGTGAAACTTCTTCCAAAAGATAAATGAAATTAAGTACACTGTAAACAAAACTGTGGGGTTTCTTTGAATAATGCCTTACAATTTAAATGCCAAATTTTATGCACACTCCTGGTCTCTATTCTTGTCCAAGGTCCCACCTAGTCATGCAAGACTAGGTGAAGTAAAGATCCTTGATTTGCATATAGAAGGAGTTTTTGATTGATTTTGATTGAAGATGATTTTCTTTCAAATCAACAGGAAGTGTGGCCATTGGTATTGGATGTTCTTTTTACATATGTGATCTACAGAATTCTATCTACTTGGAGTGGATGGTTTGATTGGTTGGTCTCCTGTTCAGGAGAGATAGGTAAACTTCTTGTAAAGTACATAATTATTGGGGTTTGGGTCTGATCCTTTTTGTTCTGACAACTGTAACAGTGCAATACAGTGTAAAATGTCTGTTGCAACAGTTACCGCTTATATGCTGCAACTCTAAATGAAAGTGGTTGTAGTTGTCAGGTAAGACATTTATTACTATTATAATATTATTATTATTATTATTATTATTTCATATACACACTTAGTTTAATTATTATTAATATTTCAGAAGCATGAATGCTCAGCAGGAATTTATTCAGTCTTATTTACCAATTTAAAATAGCTTTTATTAATCAGTTTTATTCTTTGTCACATTTTTTTATTAATAGTAGTAACTGCTCATTGCAAAGTGCCTTCCAAAGTTACTAGATCTTTGGATGTACCTTCAGCCTATTTATTTGATGCAGTAGATTTGTTATTGATATCTGTGCTATTCATTATTTATTGTTTTGTTTTATTCTTTTATTTAATTTATTTAATGAATACAGGTGCAACTGTTGGAAAATCGTTCAATTCTGTTAATTTTCTTAGTGTTGCCTGGTCATGACCATTACAGGGTGTAATTTCACTGGTTTGTTCATTATTGACATTCCTAAAAAATCTAAACCCATCACTGCTCCTTTACACCAAGGCTTTGTTCTATACCCCCTGAAAGATTGACCAGGTCTGCCATACTAAAAGCAAACAGGATTTTCTAATAAAAATGCTGCTCATCTTGTCTCTTCTGTATGTCTTCATTTCTATATTGTATGTGTAGGTGATATTAACTCAAACTTATACCACCGTGTTTTTTCAGGACAATAGCTTAACAGCATGCCATTATCAACATTTTAAAAAATGTAATAATAGTAATAATAATGATTGTCATTATAGTAATGATAAGTTTCATTATGGGTTTCAAGGTTGCTTCACAACAGCAAAGGATCAACAGTAGTTAAAAGTTTATTTTTATTTATGTAGCACACAGGCATCACAACACAGCTTTGCAGAAATCAGGGTCCAAGTCCCTAGTGAGTAAGTGGCAAAGTAAATTTGATAGTTTCCTCTTTCTAGTCTTGTCTCGTATCATTTTCTAGTGAACACCTGTTAGGGTTCCCCCCAGCAGGTCTCTTTGCTGTTTCTGCTTAGTCTTATTTCTGTCATCCTAGCTCTAGTCATGTGCTTTTTGTTTGTTTTTCTTTTTTTGCTCCACCTTGTATGTAACCTGGCCCAGTAATTGTTTCCCAGGTGTTCTTGTTCATTCTTCTATCTACATTTTGTAAAATTGATTTGTCAATTCTATTGGAACTTTATTTAACTGACAAAATTACAATGAAAAGATGCGACAGAGGCATCTTTACCACTGTGTTAACTCACTTTTCCTTTTAAATACTCTTTTTTTTTAGTCTCGTATTTAGGGCAACTATTTTACAGCTTAGAAGCACAAACCATGATGCAGCCCCATAATATGAGAGCTGTTGGCTTTCCCATCTTTCCCTGATAAAAGAATGGTCCCTTTCATCTTTGTCACTGAGGATTCGACGTGTTTTTCCCAAAAAATGGTGAAACCTGGATTCATCCGACCACAGGTCTCATTTGCACTGTCTTTTGGACCATCAGAGATGAGCTCAGGCCCAGAGAAATCGGCAGCGTTCTGCATAGAGTTTATGTTGCATTTCCAGATGCAGTGGCATACTGTATTAAATGACAACAGTTTTCCAAAGAATTCTCAAGCCCATGTGGTTATATTTAACATTGTAGCATGACGGTTTCTCATGCAATGCCATGAATAGCTAAAAGGTCACACACTTTTAGCAGTGGTTTCTGGGCTTGCCCTACACTGACTGAGATTTCTCCCAATTTCCTCAATCTTTTTTTTTTTTTACAATATTATGTATGGTAAATGGTACAAAGCCTTTTCACCATTTCTCTTGCACTAAAAATGTTCTTTTTGAACTGTTTGACAATTCTCTCACAAAGAGAGAGTTTTACACAAAGTGGAGAGCCACTATCCATCTTTTAAAGACTGAACTTTTAGTGGATGCTCTTTTAATACCAAATCATGATACCCTAACCTGTTACCAATTTACCTTTTATTGTGTAATGTTTCAGAACACTGTAACCTGAATATTCTATAAACCTTTCACTTTTGTTTTGCCCCAGTCCCAACTTTGTGTTGCAGGCATCAAATTCAGAATTTCTTTATATTTACAAAATACAATCAAACTGGTCAGCCAATTGTATCCAGCTTTTTACTGCTTACAGGTTTGCATGGCTGCATTTGTTCTGAAATGATTAGCTTTGTGATTACATATTTTACCACCTCTGCTGCTGAAAGTAAAAAACACAGAATAACATGTATAATAATAATAATAATGTATACAAATATATTTAGAGATAATTATGGACTTGTTTGAAATTGAGGGCATTTATTTGGCACTTCAACAGTAAGTGTGGCCCCCTTATGGCCCCACCTAAAATAAAAACTTAAAGGTAAAACAGTGTTCAATCCAGAGGTTCAGTGTCCAGCTGAAGATGGGGATCTATGCTTACTGGCTGAGCAAATCTGTCCTCCCTTTAAAGTAAATCTCTTGAGTGATTGTAATGACCCAAAATTTGTTATATTTTCTGTGTAATATATCCGTCACTGATGTATTTAACAATTTTAGCACACTTCGTTAGTCTTTCGTCTTTCTCACATTGTCGGTTCAATTAAGAGTGAAAACATAACACAGCACACCTTAACTGACTCTGCCTCAGGACTACTGTGTCCCACACAAACTTAGGACCTGTTTCAAATAGCCAACTATTACGTCATGTAGTATTTTCAGATTTTCCTTAAACAAGAGGACTGCAACAATAAGATTGACACACATTGTGTGTGTGCATACATACATATATGTATATACATACCTATATATATATATATATATATATATATATATGTATATACATACCTGCAACAAGTCCAGTCGTGAAATTTCCTCGCTACTAAATATTCCACAGTCAACTTTCAGTGGTTTTATAACAAAGTGGAAGCGACTGGTAACGACAGCAACTCAGCCACAGAGTGATAGGCCACGTAAAATGACGGAGCGGGGTCAGCGGATGCTGAGGCGCATAGTGCACAGAGGTCACCAACTTTCTGCAGAGCCAATCACTACAGACCTCCAAACTTCATGTGGCCTTCAGATTAGCTCAAGGACAGTGTAGTGAGCTTCATGGAATGGGTTACCATGGCCGAGCAGCTGCATCCGAGCACCTTACATCACCAAGTGCAATGCAAAGCTTCAAATGCAGTGGTGTAAAGTGCCGCCACTGGACTCTAGAGCAGTGGAGACATGTTCTCTGGCAATCCAATGGACGAGTCTGGGTTTGGCAGTTGCCAGGAGACGGTACTTGTCTGACTACATTGTGCCAAGTGTAAAGTTTGGTGGAGATTATGGTGTGGGGTTGTTTTTCAGGAGTTGGGCTCGGCCTGTTAGTTCCAGTGAAAGGAACTCTTAATGCTTCAGCAGACCAAGAGACTTTGGACAATTTCATGCTCCCAAATTTGTGGGAACAGTTTGGGGATGGCCCCTTCCTGTTCCAACATGACGGCGCACCAGTGCACAAAGCAAGGTCCATAAAGACATGGATGAGCGAGTTTGGTGTGGAAGAACTTGACTGGCCTGCACAGAGTCCTGACCTCAACCCGATAGAACACCTTTGGGATGAATCGGAGTGGAAACTGCGAGCCAGGCCTTTTCGTCCAACATCAGTGTCTGACCTCACAAATGTGCTTCTGGAAGAATGGTCAAAAATTCCCATAAACACACTCCTAGACCTTTTGGAAAACCTTCCCGGAAAAGCTGAAGCTGTTATAGCTGCAAAGGGTGGGCCGCGATCATATTAAAGCCTATGGATTAAGAATGGGATCTCACTCAAGTTCATATGCATGTGAAGGCAGATGAGCGAATACTTTTGGCAATATAGTGTGTATATATACGTGTATATATATATATATATAAAATGTTTTTATATACCGATACTCGTCTGCAGCAATCTGAGGTACCAGAGCTCTGTCCAGAGACATATGCTACTGCTTTTGTCCTTCCCCTGTTTTCTTAATGCTCCTTTTTTACCCTGGAGGATTGCAGAAGAGTCAAGGATAGGAACGCCGTGGGAGGCAAACTATTACTCATTAATTCATGAGTTACATTACTAGGGAAGTTATCATTTTTGGTTTTGTTACATTTCTGACCAAGATAAGTGCGATTTTTATTACATTTCTGGGCGATATTGAATTATTGGGAAATATAGGGGGTATACATATATAAATATGGGTTCTATAGGGCATATGTGCAGCCATGCCACTGTAGAATATGTAAAAGATTTCCCGGGTAGCATACACTTGTGTATCCTCCATGTTCTCCGGTCTCCTCCAGTATTTAGACTGCTGGTAAGATCACAAAACCAGTTTCTGGGTCACAGAGGAGGACTGGTAGGAAAAATGAATAACTTTTAGGGTTTCTGCATGGGTCTAAGCATTAAAGAATTATGTAAATTAGCTCAGATTATATCCAGTGCAGTACTATTCTCTAACCCCACGGTAAAACTGCTGAATATCCAATACAATAGTTTGTCTACCTCAGAGGGCAAGTCTGGTCTTTTGAGTCAGGACAGTATCTGATCTCATTTCTTGTAGCATAGAATGTAGTCTTATAGATGGCTGTCAGTGTAGGAAAGATCACAAACCAAAGCCAAGAACAGGCAGCAGGCAGAGTGGATAAACTGACCATCAGGGGGAGACCAGACAAAAAGTGGCTCCAAAGCCAGAGCTTCATAGAGAAAAAATTTAAGTTGACAAGCTACATATACCCTAAGCACTAGTGATATGAGATAAAAAGAGAACATATTTTCATTTGTACGTGCTTGAATTAGTAACCTAGATATCAAAAAACCCAAGTAACCACACAATTCCATTATAAAGTGACTAATAACTGAGGTAGGATACACATGCTTAAGAGATTTATTAACAAACTTAACGGTTATATGACTCAACAGCATACAGCAATATACAGCACTGGAAATGTCATGACCATTTACCGAAGCATATTTTTCAACAATCCAACCAGTGATCTACTAGATAGATAGATAGATAGATAGATAAACAAATAAACAGATAGATAGATAGATAAACAAATACAGATAGATAGATAGATAGATAGACAGATATTTAATTATCCACTGCAAGGAAATTCATTTTTACAGTCTAGGCCATACATACATGTTTGTTGAGACATATAGAAAAACAATAACAAGTTACATGCATCCATAATATCCCATTTACAACAGACAGGACTACAGGCATCCCCACCCAAAAACTCATACACTTTGGTATAATGTTCTTTAACAAGCATCGTAGTCAGTGACAGCTACCTAATAAGCAGCATAAGAAGCTGCTTAGGGCCAAACAGCCTCCATAGGCACCCTTACAACTTTTGGGCTATTACGGTACCATTAGGTTGTCTACGATGCTCGAATAAGGGAAAAAAGCAACTGTTGCAACAAACATTTAACACTGTATTGCGTTGTTACAAGCACTAGAAGCAAGATGTTCAGACTCAGAAAACCAAGAATTATAAACTTCACAGTAAACCACTTGTCACTCCTAAAACAGAGGCCAGTCAGGCACATCACCCACTCTGAGTGGATTGAATGCTACAAGAATGCATGCCAACAGCAGCATTGGGCATTTCAGTCAAATGTCAAATTTAATATTCAAATTTGTAAGGCTTTTATGAACAAACAAAAATACCGCAATCCCCAAAGGCCCATTATCTATTTATATTATTTTATCCCCCAATACTTCTAATGAAGCTTGAACTTTCACACTTGATATATGTTTGAGTACTTCATCAAATGTATTGAAAGCCAATATTACACTATGAAGACTAAATTTCCCTTTTTATTGATTTAACACTGTTTTTGGTTTATGTCCTATGGGTGTGTGTTAATGGTACCTGCTACAAAGCACACAGATGTTGGGGTGGGGATTCCTTAGAGTTCCTAATATCAGACACTGCTAGAATACAACAAAGTTTCAACATGGACATATCAACAGATTATTTAAGAACACTTAAGTGTGTGCATGTAAGATCTTCAGGACATGATCTTCTCGTCTGTATGCAACTCTACGCTGTGTAGAACAGAGGTTTCTAGCACTTACACCCAGTAACTTGTTGATATTTCTCCTCCTCCTGTCACCACCAGGAGATGAACTGAAGACAAGATGGGCTGCAGATTCACATGTCAGACAGCAAACATCTACACCAGCATAAAAGACAAATCAAAGATAATTCATGTCAGTATGTCAAATTGCAGAGTGTGTATAACATATCTACATCCTTGATCTGATCATGTATAAATTGGTTGCATCCATGTTTCACTTGAACTGATCTACACTACATAGTAAAAATGATGTGGCCACCCAAGCATCACAACTGTATGTGCTTGATGAACAACCCATGAGCATTGGAGATTGTCCTCCCTGCAGCAACAGCCATCACTTTTGGGGGAAAGCGACCAACCTTTATTTAAACTCGACATACGTGCAAGTTCGACACTCATTTACAATGTAGCTGAGCATTAAAGCACAAAATAAGACTGACTATAAAAGGATAGCAATGAAATAAAAACATACACAAAGATGTCTTAAAATAGTAAAAAAGTCAAAAAGGGTTAAATCAAAATGAACAAGTATAATTAAGTAAACAATACTAAAGTCAAATAAAACAAAAGATGTGTCATAAATTAAAAATTATAATAAAAAAATAGTAATATAGCTGCAAGCTGCAATTTGAGGGTCCAAGCATGAATAAGCAGTGAGGCCTTTTGCAGTTTGGGCCAGTGAAGCCTAACAAGGCCTAATGCAGTTTGACCCTTATTTAAAGAGAGAGGACAAAAATGAACGTTCATTAAAGGCCTTCATTTGCCATAAATGATTAGCATTGTTTTTTAAACATGATATATATTAAAGCTCATATTTACTTAACTTTTGAGCTTTGTATAGCATACAAAATTATTGTTTACAAAATTAATTTGTTTAACCTTCTGATACGCATGACCTGATGATGCTCAATGCACCCATAAGGGGCCTTTTGACCAAAAAATGAGTGAATGGAAGTCAGAACATGTCAAATGGTCTCCATGTAATGATCAAGGGCCTTCATTATAGAAGTTCTTCGACTTTTGCAAAGATTAACCTTTAGTATAAGCTGTAGTCTTTGAATGAATCAGTCAAAACACCAGACGAGGGGTCCAATTTGATGTAACATGTAATTGCAAAGTTATTCAGGGCAAAGACTGAATCATGTGTCCCTGACTGTTTATCTATAGCACATAATATCTTTAAACACTCTATGAAATATATATTAAGTGTTTTGAGCACTATATTGTCCCTAGAGGCTATTCTGGACCAAATTGTGCACACTTCATCAGAGTCTTAATTTATGTAAGTGTTTAAAACTGTGAGATGATCAGACCAACAGCCTTTGAGGTAGCGATTTAAGTTAAAATGCAAAGGATGCAATGACTGAACAATTAGAGGGAGACAATATTGAGTAAAAAAGTAATAATAAAAATGATTTTATATATATATATATATATATATATATATATATATATATATATATATATATATATATATATATATATATATATATATAACCTACAGAGCCACCAAGTATTTCTTGACCAATTTCGTTTGGATCAAAACTCAGAGACTACTTTGAAAAGTTTTCAAACAATTAACAATCATCTCAAAGATGCAGCTTGATTGTATGTACAGATGCTGAGAAACAGTTATTTTGCAGTTACAGCACCTCCTAACCACTTATATGCACAAAAATTGATAGATTACCCCAGAACGCATTATACTACATCCCCCCATAAAGTTTTAAAATAATTTCGATGTAACATTCTTAAGTTAAAGCATTTATCTTATTCTGAATTAGTTCAGAAGGGTTAATTAAATTATGGTAGCCATATTGCTTATAAAAGTCATGATGTTTTGACAATTACTAATGTTCGAGGTCTTGTGAAATTTTACTTGAGGACAAAAAACCTAGGACTAGTTTTGCAAAAGTAGGTTTTGCATATTATGCAAATTAGCAAAAAAAGCTGGGCGAAGCTAAATGGTCCGAATTGCAAATTAGTTTGAAGCCAAATAATATGGAAAAAATTATTTCGTCTCTAGAAATTTTGTTTTAGGAGTTACAAGGCCAGATGCGTTCGACTGTGCTATAGGCTGATTGGGCTCATGTCACCCACCTAAGTAGCAGAAGAGACTACTATGTCTCTATGACTTACGGTTTGGTCTAGCTGATTAGTTGTAGGACAGAATCTGAATAATTAGAAAAATCCATACACCAATTCCAATAGGTTCCAATGCACTGTGTATTAATAAAATAAAGAACTAACTAAAATCATCAAATGGTTTTGATTGATTTTGGAACCAGACTGTGGGGATTAATTTCAGATTTCTAGGTCTTCTCCAGCATGCGGTTAGGCAGCTTTGGAGTGAAGCCTGTTTAGTGCATTGGAAGCCATAACTAAATTTCATTTAAAAAAAATGCACAGCTCTAAATGTAAACCAGCTCATGGGACCTCCATCAATGTAGTTGTATATTTAAAATATACCATACCATAACAGTCTGCCTCAACAGCGAAAATTGCTGGATAAGAATTTATTTCATTCAGTGGTTTATATTCAATGAGAAAAGCTTAACTCACCACTGCACAGATCAGACAGATGTTTCGAACAGGGCCCTTTTTGTGCTTTTTTTGGCACAGCACAGTTGATTGTGGTGCTGACTTGTGGCTCTCTACTTTATCAGAAGACAAAACATCAACTGCTCTTCAACGTTGACTGCTTGAACAAGCACTAAATGTTGGATTTGGTTTTAGTTAGTTGATTTTTTCTGAGTTCAGTCCGACACTGTGCTTGGGAGAGGGCTTGGGTGTTTACCGTCTTCTTACAAGCTGTGATTAGGTCGACAAGGTCTCCTCAGTTCCCAGTTCTCAGCTCTACTCTCTCCACAGAGCAGAGAAAATTACACAGGTTTTAAAGACTCTTCATAATTACCAGCTAGGTTGATGCAACATAGATGGACATTTGTAAATCAACACTAAAAGGAAAAAGAATACACAACAAATAGCATACATGAAGGAGCATACTTATTTTGTTAAGCAGATGATATATTTACAATTTGTATATAGTTGAAAAATATTTGGCAGAGCAGGAAAAAAGAGAAAATTTTCATTTCTGGGCCCAATTGGGAGCCTGACATTAGAAAGTTTCTACTTCTCTCTTAATGCACTTGTGTGTCTCTAAACTTGAAGACGAGAAGCTCCTCCGACACTCTGCACAGTAATACTGTTCCTCTCCTGTGTGAATGTGCTGGTGTTTTTCAAGATTACTCAGAGTAGTAAAACTGTGTCCACACTCTGGGCAGTAAAACGGTTTCTCTCCTGTGTGAAGGCGCCGATGTTTTTTGAAAGTACCACTCTCTCGGAAACTCTTCCCACAGTCTGAGCACTGATATGGTTTCTCTCCTGTGTGAATGCGTTGATGTGTTTGGAGATTTGCTGGTCTAGTAAAACTCTGTCCACACTCAGAACACTGATATGGTTTCTCTCCTGTGTGAATGCGCAGGTGTCTTTGGAGATGACTCTGTACGTTAAAACTCTGTCCACACTCTGAGCACTGATATGGTTTTTCACCGGTGTGAATGCGCTGATGTATTTGGAGATTACTTTGTCTTGTAAAATTCTGTCCACACTCTGAGCAGTGATACGGTTTCTCTCCGGTGTGAGTGCGCTGGTGTATTTGGAGATTACTCTGTTGATTAAAACTCTGTCCACACTCTAAACAATAATACGGTTTTTCTCCCGTATGAATCTGTTGGTGTCTTAGGAGATGACTCTGCTGATTAAAGCTCTTCCCGCACTCTAGACAGTAATAGGGTTTCTCTCCTGTGTGAGTGCGCTGGTGTGTTTGGAGATGACTCTGTACAGTAAAACTTTTTCCACACTCAGAGCAGTGAAACGGTTTCTCTCCTGTGTGAATCCGCTCATGTCTTTGGAGATGACTCAGTAAATTAAAACTCTTCCCACAGTATGAGCATTGGTGAGTTTTGTCTTTGCCGGTCTTTTTTTGTGTCCGTTGCGTTTTTGCGGTCGTGTTAGTGTGGAGAGTATCTGTGGATGTTTTCTCAGTACTGGAGCTTTCAGACACCACGTCCTCACTTTTAATCTCTCCTGATTTCAACATGATGTATACTTCTTGTTGTTTCTTGATGTGCTTGTGGAACTGGACAGTACAGTAAGGTGGACTCTAGGAGAAGGAGAACATGGAGGCCACTCTTTCCTGGAAAAGAAAAAAAAAGAATGGGAAATTCAATGTGCCGTGAAACAAAATGTGTAATATGCTATATGAACTGGTGAGACATATCTTAATATTGTAGGATGGCATGAATCAGCATATGCTACATCTCAGGAGCTTAAATAACCACCTTAAATGGTGCAGCAGTTACATTCTGGCACCTCAGGCACCATTTAAGATGGAACAGGAAAATTCAAGCAAGAAGCTGGTGAATGAGAAGCGACTTCTGCCTTGTAAAAAGTCAAATGTGTCAGCACATACAGCCAAGATGGTAAAATGGACATAATATGTTGTGGCTCCCAAGGAGGTTGGATTTTTGTTGAAAGGACAAAATGGCTCTTCTTAACATTTGTGTTGCCGACTCCTGACCATAACAGATCCAACAAGCAGTGGTAATGATGGTGTCTCACCTAAAAATAGAACATTTTCAAATAATTTATGACCTTAACTTTAACACTTTCTGCCTAAAATTCACTGCTCGTTCCAGTAATAATATAGCTAAAACTTTCCTGTGTTAAGACATAATCCAACATTACTGTAGCCTTTTATTTATAGGCTGCTGTTATTTTAAGTTTTGATGTGATTGGCTATGATCAGATGGCTCACACAAATGGAGAGAGTGAGTGACTGGTCAAAGACCATTGGTGTCCACACTGTTAGAAAAAAAGGTTCTGTTCAGGTACATTTTTCGTTCATCAAGGTACAAACAATGTAAATGAACCCGCAAAGGTACAACAGTGGTTTTAAGGTCTGATTGTGAACCTTAAATAAGTTCTTCCAGGTGAAAAGTTTGTATTTGTACCTTTTCATAACCGAATGTTTTAAACAGAACAGTAAAATAAAAGCCTGGAGACGAGACGGGGTGTGTGGAGTCAGTACAGCTTAGAACATATCATTTCAGTGGATTATGGTTCAGTTATGTTTCCTGACTAAAGGTACTGAGATGGAGCCTTGAGGGAACCACCCCAGTGAAAAAAGGGGGACTGCCCCAGTGACAGTTTAGTACCTTTATTTCTGAGAGTGCAGGTAGAACACTGACCAACTACATGTTTTATTACTAAGAAAACATAATTTGTCCTTTTTAACTGGATTCATTGTAGCACAGGCAAAACATTAAATAAAAGTTGTATTCATAGTTTTTGAATGTATTTTTAAATTTGGCATGTAATGGTGTTTTTCTAAGAATCAGAAAACCTAAATATTGTGTATATTTATCGTTCAGGACAGTTTCTACCACCAGGCCATAAGGCCTCTGAACAGCTCTGCCCTCACTCTCTGGAAAGCCCTAAATCACCTACATAGACTAAAATGACGGGATAAACTGCCACTTCATACAACTCTTAATCTTCTAGCCACTAAACACCCCATGCACCCCAACAACCACACACAAACATCAGCGACTTCCCTGTCCAAACTACACCGACAACCCCCGCACAAACTTAAACAGCTGCCCCCACCCAAAACTTTAACCTCCATCACCCAAACTTGAACTTCCATATTTAACCGGCAACCCCCCAAATCCACATTTAACCAGCGACGCCACCCGCCCAAACTAAAACCCATACAAACATCAAAGAAAATGACTAATAGCCTAGCAAAAAAGCAGCAGCAGTAAAAAAAAAAAAAAAAAAAAAAAAACCTTGAGCTGAAGCACCAAAACAGCAGCTAAAAAACTACACTAAAATCATTAAAAGCTTCTGTTGGTGTCCAATAGTCACTAATGTTATTCTGTGTTTTCCTGATGGGTTAATATCACAATGTAAATGATCCTAATGGTTTAACAGGTGATTCCAGATGGGATCTAAAGGTGTCCTACAGGAAACTGTTGGTCTCTAATGTTAACCATTAAACCAATGCCCATTACAAAGCAAAAGCTTGGTGGATCTAATGGACTTTTTAAGCGGGGTGAGTAGCTTACAGATCATGGATCCTCTTAGTCCATCCTTCATCTACGAGCATAAGATTTTTGTTTCTAAGGAAGCCAAACACTTAGTGCTCCCATCTGTTTTGCTGGCCTGCTCTCTGGACAACAAAAAAAGACGTCTACACTGACAACCCAGTGGGAGGTAAGGAACTGCAGAGCCTTTGTTTTTACAGAAACATGGCTCCATCAACAAGCGCTGCGCCAGGAGAGACAGCAGCATTGTTGGTCGACCACTCACACCCCATACGGCCTCTTTTCTTCTTTTTTTGGACCATACGATACGATACACTTTGTCACATTTTTCTGAATTTTTCTTGCATCATAGTAGCTCCATGAGAAAATAGGGGGGTAGGGGGAGGGAAAGACACAATCATTACAATAAACCACATCTATACACTTTACACCATCACCAGATTCCACTATACACCCTACAACCCCTAATACTGAACAATATCTGTGCATTACTACCTGTGCACTTATCTAAACAGTTCACTCTTTTGAATAAGTACAATTGACTGAGGGATGAATAAATTCCTAAACCTGTTAAATCTTAACTTCGGTACTCTAAAATTTCTATTAGAAGGCAAAATATTATATTCACCATATAGCACATGCAATGGATCAGACAAAATAACACAAGCTAATCTTTCCATATTTTTCCTACAGGCTGTTATAAAACCTTCATTAAATTCATTTGTTAAATTCAGCATTTAACACGGTCATCCCACACAAACTCTCAGAAAAGCTCCTCACTCTCGGACTGACACCCGCCCTCTGCAACTGGGTGCTGAACTTCCTAACAGACAGATCCCAGTCAGTCAGAGTCGGCAGCCACACATCCAGCACAAGAACAGTGAGCACAGGGCTGTGTGCTGAGCCCCCTTCTGTACACGCTCTTCACGTACGACTGCGTGGCCTCTCAGAACAACACCAGCATCATCAAGTTTGCTGATGATACTACAGTCATTGAACTGATCACTGGTGGGGTCGAGACAGCGTAGAGGAAGGAGGTGGGTGAGCTGGTGGCCTGGTGTCATGACAACAATCATTCCTCGAATGCAGACAACACCAAGGAAATGACTGTTGATCCAAGGAGGAAGCGGGAGCTGCACACACCCCTGTACATAGGTGAGACAGAGGTGGACAAGGTGAAAACCTTCAAATTCCTTGGCACTGACATCAGTGAGGATCATGAGGATCTCACCTGGTTTCATAACACACACCACATCATTAGGAAGTCCTAGCAGTGACTGTACTTTCTGAGAAGGCTGAGGAAATTTGGCATGCCAGCCAAAATTCTCAGCACCTTCTACAGGAGTATGATCGAGAGTGTTCTTACCAGCTCCATCACGGTCTGGTATGGAAACTGCACTGCTCAGGACAGAAAGGCTCTCCAGCGTGTGATCAAAACTGCACAGTCCATCTCAGGAGCAGCCTCCCCCTCACTACAGGACACTCATCACACCAGGATCATCAGGAGGGCCCACAACATAATCAGGGACAGTACACACCCCCAGCACAGACTCTTCACACTCCTACCTTCAGGCAGACGCTACAGGAGTGTAAAGTCCAGGACTACAAGACTGACAAACAGTTTCTATCCACAGGCCATCAGGCTCGTGAACACCTCACTCACTACCTCTTCCCCCCTCCCACTCTGAACTGGTTTAACTTTTGGCTGACTTTGCACTCTCTAACTGCACTTTACATACACTCTACTGCTGCTGTCAGAATACTACTATTTACATCTATTACTCGCAACATGCACTTTATGAACCGCTGCTCTACATACTTGCACATACGCACACGTAACTTTAAATTTTCTTTCTCCTTTGCACACATGACTGTACTTTTTTACGTTACGTTAATTATTGTTTTTAGTGTATTTCTACTTATTCAGTGTATATTTTCTATTTTTTTCTAAGATTATATTTGGTGAATGGAGGAACAGCAAAGTAAGAATTTCATTGTACAGTGTAACTTGCCAGTTTCTGCTGTGCATATGACAATAAAAAAAGGCTGACCTACAACCTTGCAACAGATTCGTATCAGTGTAAGCAATCTCATCTTTAATTTCACAGAGACAACTATACCATGCTGTCGCACAGTATTGCATCACACTCTGGATTACTGTAGTATAAAACAAAAATAAAATCTGATTATTGATCCCATATGACCTTAACCTATGGAGAAAATAAATACGTTGCTGTACCTTACAGACAAAATCAATAGGATTTTTCCATGATAGCGTTGCATCTATATGTACACCAAGGTCTTTATATGATGTAACCTGTTTAATTTCCTGATCATGAATTCTCAGAGGAGTTGGATATAAGAGCATTGTGATTGAACCAATCTACCAGCCTGTTAACACCCTGCTGAAACAGATCCATATCATCTTTATCTGTCAACAACACTAATAACGTAAAATCATCAGAATGTTTAAAAATAAAAAGATTTGGTTCCTGAACTTTACAATCATTTGTATACAATGTAAACAGCAGCAGAGAACTTGCACAGCCTTGTGGTGCTCCAACATTAGTTATAATAGGCAGCGATAGTGCTTTATTTACTTTTTACTTGCTGTGCTCTATTAATAAGAAAATTCCTATTAGATAGGATAAGTAGATAAAATAAAGATTCGTTTCAAATTCAAACATTTTTGACAGTAGGATATTAGGACACTGTTAAATGCAGAAGAAAAATCCAGAAAAAGTGCTATAGCATATGTATGAGGCTTGGCCAAACGTTTTAACACAAAGTGGACCATTCATTGCCTTTCATTACCATTCAATAGTGTGTGTATCTACAGAAAGCTGGAAGACCGCTTGCCAAACTGGAGCCAGTTCCCTTGCAAATGATTTTAGAACAAAATCAGTAACATTATCTGGACCAGTAGCGTTTCTTACATTACTGCATGTAAATTCGCTTAGTACATCGTTTATGTCCAACAGAAAATGAGAGAGGTAAACAACAGTAAAGAGATCAATCCTTTTGGGGGTTTTAACAGCTAAAATCGAGGTAGATCACTTTTCTCATTGATATCCTGCTGAAAAAGGACCACTTGAAACCATTAGGAATAAAACCTAATGGTTTTCCTTTCTAATGGAAATTGGCCTAATGGTAGAAACCACTAGTTTCCTGTAGAACCACTTTAGATCCCATTAGGAAACCATCAAATGCATTTAGAATCAGCTAATGGCCACCTGTTAAACCATTTGGATCCTTTACATTCTGGTATCTACCCATTACAAAAGCCAAAACACACTAGAAAACCACCAGGAACCAACAGAGACACTTAATGGTTTCAGTGGGTTTTCTCAGCAGGGTCTACCTGAAGCAGAAGGAAAGCTTACCATCTGAAAACGCTCAGCAAAGCACAAACCCATCAAAGTGTTTCTTACATGTGACTGAATGAATGAATGAATGTTCCTTTCTGCCCACCTTTAACATTCTTCAACCCAAACACTGGAAAACATTATCATCGCCCAAAACCACAGAGCTAAGAGCTAACATTAGCCTCTTCAGCTCAGTCTGGACAAAGGCTGCTCCTGTGTGAGCTCAGACACTTCACATATTTCACATATTTCTTTATACATGAGAACATTTCTCCACCCATTTCTGTAATAGTGAATGAAAACACAGAGTAAACAGTGTGAAAACCGTGTGAAACGGTGTTTAAAAAGCTTTTACCTTCAGCAAAACAGGTCCTGATGTTCACTCTGATAACACTGGAGACTTCTAAAGTCTTCTTCTTTTTTTTTTCTTCTTCTTCTTTATTTCCGCTTCATTCATTGTGTTCGCAGAACCACTGTATTTGACCTAGCGCCCCCACATGGACTACAGGGGACTCACAACTGGCAACTGGTATTTTTTTACAATCCCACCTGTATTCCGACAAACCCCGCCTCCTGCACGAGGATTGGTTAAAAGTTCACATGAGTAGTTCGCTGACTGGCCGGTTTGGAAGCCGTTCACCGTACTGAGCAACCAGCTTTAGATGATCTAATTTTAGAAGATCTAACAGAAGATTTATGTCCCAGTTTAGCACAGAGGGACACTTTAACACTCTACAGCTCTCAGAAACATGTCTATTTCTGTTTAAATCACATCAGATGCACCTAAAATGTCTGGAGTAAAAGGTGGGTTTAACTCAGGCATCGCAACCCAAATGTTTAGAAGAGCAAATTTGTCCTTTCAACAAAAATCAGACCGCAACGTTTTATGTCCATTTTACCGTCTTGGCTGTAAATGTGTCTCAGTACGTACTAACGTACTAGTAACTTTATAAGCTAAAGAATATAAATGAAAACACAGATTTATTTTACTCTGCTTTAAGCTTTAGCTCAGTTAAAGCCGCTTTTCTAACAAAAGTGGAATAGTTTCTTGTCAAACATCTACATTAACTCAACATGATGACGATGATGATGACGATATTGTTAAAACAATGTTAGAATGATCAGCACAGCTTGATTTTACTGTAAAGGAGGATTATTTTTATATTTACCTACAAATCTAATTCAGCTGTGGAGCCACAACAGGACAGTAAAAGAGCCGTATGCGGCTCCGGAGCCACTTGTTGCTGACCCCTGGTTTAACTTTACGCTCTCCATCAGCTGTTTAGATTCAGATTGAAATGACTCTGACTGTTACAAATTGTCTTCCACTGTAGACATAAAATAGTAAAATATAAATGAATTAAATAATAAACAAGATAAATCCTAATGTACGTTAGAGCAGAACATACTAATTTAGTAAAGTCTTCCTCCTTACAGACACCAACTGTAGGTCAGAGGTTCTAGAGAAGAACCAAAATGTCTTTATTTTGTTGTTTGCTGGAATGTGTTCCTTCTTAGAACTCAGACTAGTAAAACTAGTTTATGGGTGAAAGGTAAGTGTAACTGAGGTTAGTGTGACTTTAACAGGAGCCAGAAAAATGTGGACATCTCTACTGGTCCCCAAAATAAATCAGCAAATAATATTTATAATAATGACAATACATAAGTTATCACACCATTACTTTCGTGGATAAACAGTTACAGACATGAAAAAAACACAGCCCTCTGTAGTTTCCTTCAGATTCGCTGGTGATGTCATGAGAGTGGAATGAGCCCCAACCGGTTTCTCTCTTTCTAAAAAACCAAACCCATATATGCTGCATTCTAGTTCAGTCTGAGACAGAGCGCGATCAGGTGTGTAATGTACTAAAATGGTCCAGTAGAAGAACATACAGTGCTAAAATCGAGATGAAGTGTCTGTGCTGATGTTCAGGTGGACTTTCTCATTGAAGACTTTTGGGCAGACTTCAGGAAAGGTAACAGTGCTTTCAGCTTTTCACAGATATTACTGTACTGTCCTGTTTTCCTTTGTGTTAGTAATTATAACATTTAGTACGAAGCAGCTTGTCAAGTTAACATGGAGCAGAGAGGTGACATACTCCATAAAGTAGGTCATGTGATCACGTTCCCTAAAGACTCCATTGGTTGATGTAGATATTTCTTAATTGAACAGAAACAGTGGCTGTTATTCATCAAAATTGCGTACGATCAAATCCGATCGTAAAATGCATGCACACTAATTTCCCTGTTTATTTATCACATTCAACTTTGGCGTATCTGTGTGATCAAACTCATGTCTGGTAGGAGTGCATGTAAATTTGAGTGTAAAAGTTTAACAGTGTGAAAGTGTGTGTATTTTGTAGTTAACTTACCAGAGCTAAGAGGTTGTGCTTATTTTACATGCACATTTGACATAAACAAAAGTGGCACCTGTTCCATGTTCAAGACATATTGCACTGTGCACTTATATGTTATACTACTGATATCACCCAATAAACAAACAATACAAAACACAGCCAGTGTCACACACTGCAATAATATACGCCATTTTAGGAAAACATTCACACCACACAATTAGGTCATCAGTGATGTGCAGGCTGAGAAATTGTGTTGGTATTTTTTTTTTTTTAAACCATTAGCCTACTGTGTACACAGAGGAATTAGACCTCAGCATTTAACCCATCTGTACAGTGAAACACCCACATACACACACACTAGGGGGCAGTGAGCACACTTGCCCAGAGCAGTGGGCAGCCCTATCCACGGCACCTGGGGAGCAATTGGGGGTTAGGTGCCTTGCTCAAGGGCACTTCAATCATGTACTGTCAGCTGAGGGTATCGAACTGGCGACCTTCTGGTCACAAGGCTGGTTCCCTAACCTCCAGCCCACATTTGATAGGCAAGGAGGAACTATAAACTCCATACACAATGAACACTGAGAGACTTCGATAGAATACAAAAGACGAAAAACACAAAAGCCACCCGTTGCAAAATCTTGGTTTGATTTGAAACATGTTAAGTTGATGAAGTTGAAGTTGGCACCAGTGTGTCAGAAAGATTTTTCCAGGCACAAATACACTCCTACTTTCACGCTGTAATATCCAAAAGAGTGAATCTCATGATCACTTCTTTTCATGTGGCCACTCTGAGTTAATGGCTTTTGTTTATGATTCCATAAAACCTGTTTCTGTCTCTACAACTGCACTGCAAAAAATAGCATCTTGTCAAGTGAAATGATCTTAAATCTAGTCAATACACCTAAGATATCCCATTTTGAGATGGTTGTGCACTTATTATAAGATTATCTATCTCATTTACAGATTATTTTTACGTTTTAGGTCATTTTATTAAGTAAAATTATCTCACTATGCTGGCAGATAATTTTGCTGCTTTCAAGCACATTTCTTTCTAAAACAAGTAAAAAAGACGAGAAAGTTAGGTTAAATAATCTTAAATTAAGCTTACAACAATCTCAACAGGAGAAATATTCCGTTTAAATTTTCTATGTTTACTTTTTAACATAATTTTAAATTATATAGTCTTTATTTTAATACCTTGCATTTTATATTTTACTTTAGCTTATATTTTTTGCTTTATTCCTAATTTAATCTTTTTTTTTTTTATTTATGCATTGTTAGGATTGCTACCCAATTTCTTTGTACCCTGTGCAATGACAATAAAGAATCTTAAATCTTGAATCTTGAATCAGATTTCTAGACTACATTTATATCTAGACTATATTCATTTATATCTTTATTTATAGAGCATTTTTCATACCAGTTGCAGATCAAAGGAAAAAGTTGCAGATCAAGGAAAAAGAGAGGAAAATTTTTAATTAAACACTGAGCTTGACCGTTTAATAAAAGGTGAACTGAGCTCCACAGTTCAGAAGCAGAATAACTTAAAGACTCTCTCCGTTTTATATTTTACGGAAGATGTTTGCAGAAGGTCAGTATCTGCACATATAAGTGTTGGAATATAAACAGACAGACACTCTTTGAGGTCAATGGGTGTCTTAAGATCATTTACAGCCTTAAAAATTGTAGCAGAATTTAAATCTATCCTAAAAGATACAGGTAGCCAGTGCATTTCTTGCAAAACAGGGGTGATATGAGCTTTCTTTTTCGCTCTTGCTTTTTGTACCAGTATATTGCATTTTGTACTGTATAAGCGTTCAGTTTTTTCATTTCCTAGAAGACACCTTTGTTTCCCTAAAATATATCAAACTATATTTTATAAAGAAAAAAAAATCTTATTTTTGTATGATTTCACGATTGGACAATGCTCTATCATCAGTTCAACCATGGAAGACCCAGTGTCTGCTTCACACTCCTCCATTCTGCTACAGAGAACTGGATTATTTTAATAAAAATTCACAAAAGCCTATATTTTTTAATATTCTCACAAAATTTTTATTTCAAGTGTTATTTATTTATTAGATATAATTTCACACTAAGTTTTGTGTGTTTTGTTTGAATGATCTGTTCACAGGAAGCAGTCCAGCTGTGAGCCTGTGAAGACTAAAATTTCTACAATGGAGCTTCATAACTCCAGTGCAGAAGGAACCTCTGACACAAAGTGAGTTAATTTCCGTCAGCAATTAACCTGAGGAAAAAGAAAGAGGAAACTGTCACTTGTGAACAGATTTACCAGAGCAGACTCATAAAACTGGGTGATAATAGTGCTGCACCATGCAAAATGTGCAGCAAGGTAATTAAGAGGTATTCATGAAATTCTTGTGGTGAACCTTGTAGTGAAGCTCCAGTTGGCTGTCAAAATGGACACCTTCACTGCAAAAAGCTTAGCGAGTCTACTTAAATGTAGTAAATATATCTACTATTTCTCATTATGAGACTGTCACAAAAATATTGTGAGATTATTTAGCTTTAAATTTCTAGACATTTTTTTTAAAAACAATCTGCCAATGGAATAAGACACTTTCACTAATTAAATTAACCTAAAACAAGTAAAAATGTTTAGAAACAGGTTTAATAATCTTAGAATATTCTTACGACAGTCAGTTAATGAGAAATATTAGATTTACTGACTACATTTAAGAAGCTTTTACTTGTTAAGATATTATTTTTTGCAGTGTTGAAATAAACAAAAACAACAAACAACAAAGAAAACCAACATTCTCTGAAACAGAGCTATAAATTGTAACAGAGGGAGTGCTCAGAAGTAACAGTATGTTGTTTAGTAAAGATGTTTTTAACTTTTAATCATTAAACAATGTTTCAAAATGTTGTGTAGACTAGAAAAAATGTACATGTATAAAAAAATCTAAATTGCATTATTACCTGCATTTAATGACTCTGGCCCAGTGATTTTTAGTAAAGAGAGTAAATTACACAACACTTTCATTATGGATTAACTTTTCTTAGGGTAAAGAACGTAGGATCTCCAGAACCCAGCTGTGAGTCCATGAAGAGTGACCAGTCCCCATCTGACTACCCTGTATTCAGCAGTCTGGGAGAAGAGCCCAGCTGTTTGTCTATGAAGAGTGATCAGGCCATTGAGAATCCTCCTGGTCTTGGCTGTGGAGCTGTTCCCTCTGATCCAGAGTGAGTTATAACCCTTCAGTGTAATACTGATGAGTAATGATGAAATACGTAAAAGAACTTTAGCACATGGAGCACACACACACTGCCTGTTGTTCCATGACTCTGACTTCATGACTCATGACCAAACCTCAGCAGTTGAGAATGACAAGCTAGCATAGGGATGTCCAATCTTATCCACAGTGTGCTGGTGTGGTTGTAGGTTTCCATTCTAGATAAGCAAGAACAGTGTACAAAATACTCCTTGGTATTTGGGGGGTCCCATGTTGGCTGACTACTCCAGCGCTGGCTAACTGCTAACTTATTTGCCTTAGCAGTGTTCGTGCTAGCTTTATTGGCACCAAAATGTTTGGTTCAACCACTTCTTTTGGAGGTACTCTTTTGTAGTTTGGTAATGTGCTTTTCAACACATTAACTGAGATCTTATGCATCTACACTTTTGTTTTTTGTTTGAGAAATTAGTAACACTTCACTCTTTCCACAAGTCTCTTGGGAAAAAGTTTTCAGATGTACAAATATGCTACAGGATATTGTAAAGTTTTTCAGAGGTAGCTTGGGCAAAGCTATAGCTGCTAGACTATGAAAGACCAACAAGGTGAGCTAATTTACTGCAGCACCACCCTGAGGCACACCAGTGCTGCATAGTTAGTTAAGAATATTAAAGAAACACAGAAACTTGCTAATGGTGAAGTAATTTAAACAATGACCTTCCCCTGAATTTATATTTGAGCATATCTTTTTCCCTAATGGACAGCATCATAACAAGTTCAGGGATGCCCCAGAATTTTGATTTTGAGACATTCAGGACCCCCTGTATTTCACACCTCGAGCAAGAGCACACCTAAATGTTGCTGAGTAAGTTATCCAGACTACACTGCAGTACCTGAATGCATATGTGCCCATTCAAGACTTTCCATGCTGCAGTACAAAATTACACCAGGTGTTCATTACATGCTCCTGCTTTGTAACTGCACTCATTGCCCTTTTAATCAGCATCTAACATAAAGATGCATTTTGTAGGGTTACAGGTACAGACTGTAGGCCCTCTTTTGCTGTAAAATTTATCAGCCCCCCTTTAACCTGCTCATCAATGGAACAAGATTACCATAGGGTCACTGCTATTTGGCCTGTGCACCATTGACAAGTGACACTGACATAGTCAAATGGTAGCGTGCTGGTACAAGTGTATCAGGCACAGCAGTAGCGCGTCTTTCATATCAGTCTATGTTCACACAGTTGTGTCATCACCTTACAAGATGGAATAGTCCATTATAATGACTATGGGGGGGGGGGTGTTCCGCACTGAAATTACTGAGAGGAATTGCTACAATTTGATATAACAGCTTTTAGATTTTTCAAAATAGATTATTGAACAACAACATGTACAGTATATCCTATCTGTATTTTCATGAGGCTCTTGACTCATGGGGGCCCTAGGCGGCTGCCTACTTTTGCCTAGTGCAAAGACTGCCCCTGGGGCAGAGGAGCACTGATAAATTGTGCAGCAATAGTTGTCTTACAGTTTGTAACTGTAAACCAACAAAATGCACTTAAACAGTTGATTTTTCTGATAAATTGGCAAATAAGTTTAGTTATAAAGGTTGATATAATGTAATAATGTGGACCTTAAGTGTAAGATCAAATATAGTGGAAATTATTTTCAGCAGTTTATTTTGGACATGTATGTTTCACTGTTTTTGATTCCATTAGGTGGTGCCCCATGGAAGCAACTCTACATATATATACTCCGTTGGAAAGAACTGAACACCTCCAGCAGGAATTTAGCCCACCAACAGATGATATTCTATACAGAGTCTTAGAGAGACACAAAACTAGCTTGAAGAACAAGTATGAGAGCTTGTTTGAAGGAATGAAAACACAAGAGAACAAAACCTTCCTGAACAGAATTTACACACAGCTCTATGTCACAGAGGAAGAGAGTGAAGGAATGAAAGAACAACATGAAGTTTTACAGATGGAGAAAGCACCCAGGAAAAGCCTACCAGACATTTCAGTCAACTGCTTAGATATCTTTAAACCTCTACAAGGTGCTGAAGTAGAAGTGGAAGAGAACATTAAAGAACATAAGAAGAGAAAGCTCTATAAGGAGAATATGAAAGCTATTTTCAGATTCAGAGGTCTCAGACACAAAGATAGAAAAGAAAACAAAGGACCAAAAGTGCCAGAGCTCAGAAGTGTGTTGACTAAAGGCATTGCTGGCATTGGAAAAACTGTCTCAGTGCAGAAGTTCATTCTGGACTGGGCTGAAGGAGAAGCCAATCAGGATGTAGATGTCTTGTTTGTGCTTCCATTCCGGGAGCTGAACCTGATTAAAGACAATCAATACAGTCTTCATGGACTTCTGTGTGACTTCCATCCTGAGCTCAAAGACCTTGACAGAAATATATATGATGTGTGTAAAGCTATGTTTATATTTGATGGTCTGGATGAAAGCCGAATTCCACTGAACTTTCTACAGTGTGAGAAAGTATCTGACATCACCATGACATCATCAGTGGATGTGTTGATGACAAACCTCATCAAAGGAGAGCTGCTTCCCTCTGCTCTAATCTGGATAACCTCCCGACCAGCAGCAGCCAATCAGATCCCTCCTAAATACATCAACCGTGTGACAGAAATTCAGGGATTCAGTGACCCACAGAAGGAGGAGTACTTCAGGAAGAGGATCAGTGATGAAGACCAAGCCCAGAGAATCATCTCCCACATTAAGACAGCGAGGAGCCTCCACATCATGTGCCACATTCCAGTCTTCTGCTGGATCTCAGCCACTGTGCTTCAGAGAAACATGACACAAAGTAAAACAGAAATCCCTACAACTCTGACTGAAATGTACTCACACTTCCTGTTTACTCAGATAAACATGAACAATGAGAAGTATGAAGATGAAAATGAGAGAGACACAAATAAACTGCTGGAGTCCAACAGAACCATTCTTCTGAAACTGGCTGAACTGGCTTTTAAACAGCTGATGAAGGGCAACGTGATGTTCTACGAAGAAGACCTAAGAGAGAGTGGCATTGATGTCACTGAGGTCTCAGTGTATTCTGGGATTTTTACTGAGATCTTTAGGGAGGAATGTAAGCTTTATCAGAAGAAGGTCTTCTGCTTTGTTCATCTAAGCTTTCAGGAGTTCCTGGCTGCTATTTATGTGTTGTACTGCTTTGAGAGCAAGATAATGGAGGCACTGCATGTTTTCCTGCATGATCATTGTTACAATGATGAGAGTAGAGGCGGTGAGACTTCTGACAGAAGCAGCTTTGAGACAGATAAGCACAGAGGTGAATCTGAGAATGTTCCACTGGATAGACTGTTGATGGGAGCAGTGCACAAAGCTGTAGAGAGTCAGGATGGACAGCTGGATCTTTTCCTCATTTTCCTGCTGGGCATCTCACTGGAGTCCAATCAGAGACTCTTACAGGGCTTGCTGACACAAGCACAGAGTAATTCACAGAAAACCTTAGAGTACATTAAGGAATTAATCAAAGGGGAAGGTAAACAACATATCATCTCCACTGAACAATACATCAATCTGTTCCTCTGTCTGTCTGAAATGAATGACCAGTCTCTCTCCGATGAGCTTCAGGAGCATCTAAAATCAGAGAAACATGCAGATGACAAGCTCTCTCCTGGACAGTGTTCAGCACTAGCCTGCATGCTTCTGATCTCAGATGGGATGCTGGATGAGCTGGACCTGAAGAAGTATAACACCTCAGAGGAGGGTTATAAGAGACTGATCCCAGCTGTGACTGCCTGCAAAAAAGCTATGTAAGTGTTGTATTTATATTAATATAATAATAATTGTATATTAATTTGATGCCTTAATAGGACAATTGACTACATATCAGTTGACAAATACACTTTCTAGCAACAAAGAATGTTAATTAGCAAAAGCAGCTGGGCAGCACTGATCCTTTGGTCAGAAACTGACCTATGATGAATTGAGTAGATAAACTGCAGCAACCAATGGATTACAGTCTGTGGATCTATGAGGTAGATAGGGCTCCTAATGTACTGAAAAGTTGTTTCATTTGAAGCAACATGCTGCACATCCAAACACCCAGCAAAAAATGAGAAACCGCATTACAGCTTTACTAACTTGTGCCACACTGTGCACTGAAACTGAAACCAAAATATGTACATGGTTAGGACAGTACAGTCTTTGTACAGCATGTTTTACAAAGACTAGTAAAAAATCACCATATTAAGGTTAATTATAAATCAGTCAAACAGAGCAGTTGGACATATATGGACTTTGCTACTGAAAAAGTTTTTTGCCTTTCTTTAGCCTGTTGGTTGTGACTGTGTTTGGTTTGCAACTTAGCGAAATTGATGCATGTATAAAGAACCTGTAATTATTTGGACATTAACATCAGAAATTATGTATTGTAAAAGAGTAAAAGAAATTGTAATTGTGTTATATACAGTAGACTGCATTAATAGCTGTGTTTACATCTTTGCAGATTAGCTGACTGTGATCTCACAATGGACTCATGGGAAACTCTGTGTTCTGCTCTACAATCAGCAAACTCCTCTCTGAAAGAGCTGGACATCAGTAACAATGATCTACAGAATTCAAGAGTGGAGCTGCTCTTAGCTGGACTGAAGAGTTCACATTGTAAACTGGAGATACTCAGGTAAACTATTGGCTAATTCATTCCTAAATGAAAAAAGTTAGAGAAACAATAAACTGTAAACTCAAGATTTCAAAAGGATAATTTATTTAACTGTTGTTAGAATTAAACTGTAGCTTTAACCACATAACCACACCATTACCATTACAATTTTTTTTTTAATTCTGTTAAAAAATCCTTCTTTGAGTATATTGTAAAATATGTTACAATTTCATTGCAGACTAGCTTTCTGTGAACTTGGGGACAAAGCTTGTGAAAATCTGGGATCAGCACTCCAATCTGCAAACTTCTGTCTGAAAGAGCTAGATCTCAGTAACAATGACCTGCAGGATTCAGGAGTGAAGCTGCTCTCAGTTGGACTAATGAGTTCACAATGTAAACTGGAGACACTCAGGTAAACTTTCTGTTAATTCATTGCTGAATGAAAAAATATTAAGAAACAGTAGACTGTAATCTAATATGCTAACCTCATAGTTTATTTAATTGGTTTTAGAATTCAGTTCTCTCACTGTAATTTTACAGCAATAGAAAATACACAAATGATTTTATAGAGTGTTGTCTTAACAGAATGTAACGCTTTTTTTCTTATTCCATTCATAAATTATTCTTGTAATATATTGTAAATGCTGTTGTAATTTCTTTAAAGACTAGCTCTCTGTAATCTTGGAGAAAAAGCTTGTAAAAAACTGGGATTGGTGCTATCATCGGGAAACTCCTCCCTGAAAGAGCTGGACCTCAGTAACAATGACCTGCAGGATTCAGGGGTGGAGTTGCTCTCTGTTGGACTGAAGAGTTCACACAGTAAACTAGAGATACTCAGGTGAATTTATTACTGGAATTGAAAAAAAAAATCAGCAAAGAATAAACTCAACTAATGCATTATTTATCATTTAATTTGTATTACAATTGTATTTTATCTCTCACTCTAGCCATCCTGGTTCTAAAAAATACACAAATGTATTTGTACAGTGTTTCCCCATCCAATCTCAATGTCACCCTAGCTTCACCTCTGCTTCATCATGTTCATCTGTGTGTTGTTTGAACCCTGCCTCCTCATTATTCTTTCAAGGTGTTTTTCTCCTGTTTTCAGCCCACAATTAAACCTTTGTCTCCCCTTGCTCATCCCTATCTGGTTTCTTTGCTAGTTTATTTTTATGGATTCCTGGTGTCTACTTGTTCTGTAACTCCAAGTAGTATTCTGGGGCCATATCACAGAAACGTCCTATCTTTTTGTCTTAAATTAAGATCTGATAGGTCATTGTGAATTTTTCACAAATTCGTATTACAGAAGAAAATCTTAATTTAGGAATCTTACAGCATTTTATTTCAAGTTTTTAACCTGCTTAATTTAAGTTGACAATCAATTCTTATGTCTGTTACCTAGCAACCAACCATATGTGCACACCTGAAACATAAATATGTAATCAAAGTTATCTAGTTAGGCAGACAGCTAGCAACCATTACCAATTACCAAAAAAAGATCAAACAAAACTAAAGCGTGATAAACTTGAAGTTAAGAATATTGTGACAGTGCTTCGTGCTGTTTATCAGGGCATAGTCACTCCTCAGTTTCAGTTCCTCAAATGCTTTAGCTGACCACGCTAATGTTATTCTGCCTAATAAACAGCAGCACATTTAACTGTCTCCTTAATCACTGACATTACTGTAGTATTTTATAAGATAAGATTATGAATTAAAGAATTGTTGTTTATCTTCTGTCCTAAACTTAGTTCTACCTGAAGTTGTCATGGTGACTAAACCGATAAGATTTTGGAGTTAAGAAGTTTCTGTAAAATGGCCCTCGGACTGCAATATAATGGCCAACATTTGCTTGCATCCTGCTTCCTGCATCTGCATAATTAACTGCATTGTTACAGAAATACAAGGCAAATTAAAATGCAGCTAATTATCTGGATGTCAGAATGAGGATGCAAAGCTACTCAGCTGTTTAAAAATGAATTTCAAAACAAATCAAGCAACAGGCATATTGTGAGATTGCACTTTTTTTGATAATTACAAATATCAATGTCAGTCTTTCGATGTATCAAGTCGGCTAATGTTATTGACTTGTTAAAATTGTCTCCAAATATCAAAGAAGAATTTGTTGGAACCACCAAGAACACAATAAAATTTAACAATGACCCATGTAAGCTTTATCTTAATAACAGCTCTGCACTTTTCATGGACATTCCATTTTGGTTCTACACCAACCTAACTATGACCTATCTGGTCTCAAACGTTTTCCACAAAAAAATCATTAAAAGAACATAAATCAACACATCAATTTAATTCTTACAACCATGTAAAATTTAAAAGCTGTGCTCTAGTTAGTTTTTAAGTTGTGATTTACAGACCGAGTATGAGAATAAGTACACGTTTTTAGTATTTGCCAACATTAAGTCCAATACCATAATGAATCACTGTCAAATCATCAAAATCTAGCTGATTTTAAATGAAGTGCATTAGCTAGCTATGCTACATTAGCTACCTTGGATTATGTAGTGCTGTAGTGGACAAGAGCAGGTTTTGTCCCACATTAGAAAAGCACTTCTGTACAGCTGCCTAGTTGATGCTATTCACCTGTTTTTCAACAACAGTGTTTGTAGCTCGGTGACAACAAGAATCATGTTCAAGGCTAATGCATCTGCGGAGCTCACTTGTGGGGTTTTATGTCTGGAGGATTTTGCTGGTTGAGCTGTAGTTAAATGTCTTCTAAATCCTAACATACACTGTGATTTTAGAAATCTTGTTTTTTTGGTGACTCACAGTGTAAGTTTGTATGTGCCATTGTATACAGACAAAGCCTATGAATTACATACTTTCACTGTATGAAATAACTCCATCCATTCTATGTTGAAACCTAGGCTCTACTATATGGACTTGCAATTTTCCCACTCCCGTTTGTTAGCCTATATGTCTCCACCCATATTGGGGAAGTGGTTGTAATTGTGTATGTTTAATAACAGGCTAAAATGTCACAGTGTATTCCAAGTATATTCCAGGTGGGAATCTTCCAAGGTGGAATGTGTAAGTTGACTAGTGACTTTGTGTCTGACCTCCATGGTGTCAGTAACTCCTCTCTGTGTGAGCAGAGCCTCCTTCGCTGCACTTGTTCATTAACATGGCAATGTACAGTTGGCTTAGGTTACATGGTATCAGCTGGTATCAGGATGTTGGTACTGATGAATTTTTATGAGCATGAGTACAAGCATGGTATCGGCCCGATACCCCATACCAGTATTGGTATCACTGCATCCCTAATTCTGATCACGGGGGGGCCTGCTTCATGGAGGTGTATTACCCTTGAGCTGGCTCCCCAGACTGCCTCAAGGGCCAGCTCCTTAGACTGCTCCAGTGTCAGTTTCATGGATTGCTTAGACTTTCTGTTCCTTGATCCATTGCCTGCTCCAGAGGTTACTCTGCCAGTCTTGCTGTTCGATGCTCCAGTGCCAGACAGCCATGTTGCTACAGTGATGACCTCTAAGTTTCTTCTGCCCTGCTGGCCTCTGAATCTCCTTCCCAGCTTGCATCTGAGGCTCCTATATTGATGGTCCTTTGCTTTGCTGGCCTTTCCAACAAAATGCCTTGCCAGCCACTGAATTTCATGCTCCTGCCTCCCGCTTCCATTCTTTCTTCAGACCCTGTAATTGTTGTCTATAAACAAGTACTTTTTATGTATATAGCCACTTTATTGTCTTTGTCCTGGTCACTGTTACTATGTCTGTCCTGGTTTTTGCTATTGTCTAGTTCATTTTCTCACATTTGGATCTAGGCACTGGGGAGGTTATATCACAGTTTCACTGCCCAATCTCTGCCCTGTTCCATTTCTTGCTTCTGTTTTCTCTCACTGCCTCCTTTGCTACATCTTTTTCATGTTCCCCTGTGTGTTGTTTGTAATTCCACCTATTTTGTCTCTTGTTTTTCTGTTGCAACTTGTCTCCCTTTTGCAGACTAGCTCTCTGTAATATTGGGGAAAAAGGTTGTAAAAGTCTGGGATCAGCTCTACATTCAGTAAAATCTTTCCTCAAAATGCTGGACCTCAGTAACAATGACCTGAAGGATACAGGAGTGGAGTGGCTCTCTGTGGTACTGAAGACTTCACACTGTAAACTGGAAATACTCAGGTGAGCTTTCTGTAACTTTGATTTTAAATAATAAATATCAAATTCATATGCACATCTCTAATATTCATACAGCTCTGATAATCTGTGTTATTCATACATGCAAACTCATGCAAAACTTGATGTTTAGAATGATAAATATGCCATTCATGTAGAATATGTAGATTTAAAAAATGTCTCATTTTGAGGGTTTTGGCAAATTAACCTATTGGTGAAATGGGCTAACGTTAGTGTTTGATAACAGTTCATCCAGTTAAATGTGGAAATTAAGAGTAAGAAGAACAAAGTGAGCCATAAGTTTGTTTCGTTTTAGAACATATGATTTATTTCAATAGATTTTAAACAATGGTGCAAAATGTTAAAGTGTAAATTTCCATTGTTTTTAACCAACCAACACACTTTATAATTTAAAATTAATGCCTTACTTTAAAATTGATCCTTCCTTTCATTGGTAAGGTAAAAAACAATCCGCTTAAAGAGCTCTTATTTTGGCCATGTTATTAAGAACTAATTTATTGGACAAAGACAATTATGTTTGGAACAGTTGAAGGCAAAAAGGAAGAGGATGGCCAGCATCAAGATGGATGGATACAATCAGAGGAGTCAGGAATGGGCTGTTAAGCCAAAAGATCCAAATTGAAAACAGAATATTCTGGAGAAACACTATCAATGTGATCACCAGGAGTTGGAAGTGACTTGATGCCATGGCTTTTTAAAAACCTACACACAAATCGATCAAATCTTTAGACACTACCGATTAATTACACACCAGTGCAATCAAATGAAAACACTGTCAAAGACGCAAATGGAATGGTAACAACTTTATATATTTATATATATATATATATATATATATATATATATATATATGCATGCAATAAAATTTATAATTTGCATTTAGGTAAAATTCTTGAGAAAGAAATGAGTGCTGAAAGAGCAGGCCAAATTGTTTGTTAGGATATAAAAACAGATTAGACTCACAGATTAAAAAACAGGGTTGGACTTCACTTGAGGTTTCAGAGTTAAAACAAAGAGTGTAGTCACAACAGGCAAAGGTCAAACCAGAGAGCATGGTATCCAAAACAAAGGGAGCATCACAGTCCAGGCCAAAAACAGGACGGCAAAAAGATCACAGCAAGGTCAAAAGCAAAAGACAAGTCAGATTAAGACAGAAATAGGTCATGCACAGATAAGCTTACAGATTTGAAATGCTTAGTGGAATGTTGGCAATACTTCACAGTGTGCTAAACTAAAGCCTGAGCTTAAATACTGTCTAACTGATTACATGGAATAGAAAACAAGAGTGCCCAGTACCTAACAGGAATGTTGGCAACACTTCACAATGTGCCTAAGCCTGGGGTTAAATACCATCTAACTGATTACAAGGAATAGAAAACAGGGGTGTTCAGTACCTAACAGGAATGTTGGCAACACTTCACATTGTGCCTATGCCTGTGGTTAAATACCATCTACCTGATCAAATGGAATAGAAAACAGGTATGCAAACTCAAAACTCTGGTGAGGTTGAGCATTGTAAAGGGGGGTCTTTTGGTTAATGTTCATGATGAAGTAGTCATGTGATCTCCCACCGGTTCATGGAAAATTAAATTCTCCATGGACTCAAGTGAGCCTGCAGGACAAAGGGAACAAGCAGAGGAGGCTTCCTTGGCAGGAGGTGTGACAGTTAACTTTTACATATGAAGACGCAAATATGTTTTTGGAAAAAAGGGCAACCTTAAACAAAGACATCCTATAGAAAGATATCATGGATTCATTATGTCTACTCTGGATCTTGTGGAAAAAAAAAATCAAAATAGAAGATATACTGAAATGTACAACAGAAAAACATGATGTGAACTGCCTATTATCTTCTCTGACCATCCTGATTATGAAAGCAGTTCAGATTTGGTTGATCTTTTGTCTGTGCCCTTATTCTCACTGCCACACTGAGTGTAGGAGATTTACAGTTTGTGTTTATCAGGACATTATTGGCAAAACTTTTGGAAAAATTTTTTTCTCTTTGATTGATTAAAAGGTTTAAAAAACTGTGTTTAGAGTAGTTATTGTGTGTTAGCAAATGAAAAGACTGTAATTGAGTTGGTGCAGTTTCCTCCATGTCTCCTTTGTTTATAATTTTCACTCTGCAGTCCTGCCCAGAATATAATGCTTTCTGCTTTGGAGTCGTGCTTCATTGTTTTTGTATTTGTTACTGTGAAGCCGTCAAGTCAGTTTTGTTACTATGCTTTTTCTCTGCCCTGTTTTATGTCAAAGGCTTAGTAAATATTTTACATTTACTACAGAATCTTGTGCTGTACTGCAGCTGTTTCTATGTAAATGCCACTTGTCCCTTTTTTCCTTCTTTTCTGCAGATTGTCTGGTTGTATGGTTACAGATGAAGGCTGTTGTTCTTTGGCATTAGCTCTGAAATCAAACCCCTCCCAATTGAGAGAACTGGATCTGACCTATAATCACCCAGGAGATTCTGCAGTGAAGCTGCTCTCTGATCGACTGGAAGATCCACAGTGCACACTGGAGAAACTACAGTGAGTTACTGACTTACATTTCTATAAACAAACACATAGTGTACTCATTACTGATTGGTTTACTGCCGATATGTTTCTCTTTATGGTAAAGTGGTGATTTGCTGGTATTCTGAAGTATGGCAAAGTCTTTAATTAGTTTTATTTTAAGTAAATAACACATTGTATAATTGATAGGAATAAACAGAATGCAGTGTAAGACTCTATGAGACAGTACAGACCATCAGTATGATTCGTCAAAACACAAACACAATGCAACCCTAAATATCCTTTTTTGATGGACACAGGCAGTGTATCATTACACTAACACTGAATTTATTAACGGTTCAGAAAATTAAGGTTAAACAAACTCAGTAACGTGTAAAAATACAGGAACAGAAAAAGAGATCCAGATATAGAGAGTCTTTGAGTTTAAATAGTTGCCATTATAAGGGAGGCTGGGTAATGATGCAGGACACAGTGGCTTAGCTAGGAAAATGTCCTCATGCTTGTCCCAACACACCACAGAAAGCTTTTGATGTGATAAATCTACTTTACTAGAAGAGCCAAAAAATTCTCCTTGTCTAAACAAGTAAATAGATCCCATAATAAACTGGAAAATGCAGCAAAATATTAGCTGTAAGCTTGTAGCATTGGCAGAAATGTTCACAAAGTGCTTCATGTGAGTCATCTTTTCTGGGGTATGAGTCAGAGTCTTGTCTCATCTCTGTAGAGAAGTGTTTCTGGTAGGTCTTACATCTTCACCTGCACCTATAAGGTTCAACGTGGTTTCAAAAACAAACTTTTGATTATGGAAAAACATTGAGTCTGAAAGACAGAACTGAAGACAGTGTTTTACATTGTGGCAGTAATTACAGTTGCTGAAGTAATAATGTAAATTAACTACACCACCCTTATTCTCTTTTATTTTATTTGGCTTTGTTTTAATTTAATCAGCTTTGTTTTATTTAGAGTGGAACATGGAGGCAAGATCAGAATGAAACCAGGACTAAAGAAATGTAAGACACACACACACACACACACACACACACACACACACACACAAATGATGTTATCTTTTTTAACCTGTTTGTGTGTGTGTGTGTGCAGACGCCTGCGATCTCACTCTGGACCCAAACACAGCACATACTCGTCTCTCTCTATCTGATGAAAACAAAAAGGTGGAGCGCGTGGATGAGCGGCTTTGGTATCTGGATAATCCGGAGAGATTTCAATACTGGGAGCAGGTTCTGAGTGTGGAGAGTCTGACAGGACGCTGTTACTGGGAGGCTGAGTGGAGTGAAAGTGGAGCTTATATAGCTGTCTCATACAGAGAGATCAGCAGGGAAGGAAACAGTAGTGACAGTGGGTTTGGACTCAATAAACAGTCATGGAGCCTGTATTGCTCTGATGACAAGTACACTGTCAGACACAATGGAAAGGAAACTGTTATATGTGCTGTTACCCACCGCTTGCGCTCCCGCTCCAGTAGAATAGGAGTGTATCTGGACTGGATGGCCGGCTCTCTGTCTTTCTACAGCATTTCACCTAATACAAACAAACTGACCCACATACACACACTCTACTCCACATTTACAAAGCCCCTATATGCAGGCTTTAGGGTTGATTATGGCTCCTCACTCCGTGTGTGTCACATTGAATAGGTTTGGCTAGTAACTGGTCTGGGCGTTTGTCTCCTGAATCGTGGAGGGCAAGATTCAAGATTCAAGAGTTCATTGTCATATGTGCAGAGAAACAGACATTTACACTGCACAATGAAATTCTTACACTGCACTTCCTCCTGAACTATGAGTTACTGTCCAAACAGTATTTAGACAGTAAGTACTAAGTGAAAAAAACACAAAATATAGAAGAAGAGTTAGAAAATTATGTTTTTGGTCTATGGGTGCAAGGTGAGTCCAAAAGGCCTGTGTTAGAAACTATTCCGTAATGTGGTGGTTCTGTACAATGTACACTATATGGACAAAAGTGTTGGGACACCCACATGTTACACTTACAGGAGCTTTAATGACGTCCCATTCTAAATCCATAAGCATTAATATGGAGTTGTTCCCCGCTTTGCAGCTCTAACAGCTTCCACTCTTCTTGTTGGAAAGTGTCTGTGGGAATTTTTGCCCATTTATCCAGAAGAGCATTTGTGAGGTCCGACACTGATGTTAGACAAGAGGACCTGGCTCACAATCTCCGTTCTAGTTCATCCAAAAGGTGTTGGATGGGGTTGAGGTCAGGGCTCTGTGCAGGTCAGTCAAGTCCTTCCAGTCATGCTGGCACAGAAAACGTTCTTCCCCAAACTGTTCCCAGAAAGTTGGAAGCATGCAATTGTCCAAAATGTCTTGGTCTGCTGAAGAACTAAGACTTCCCTTAACTGAACTAAGTGGCCTGGGCCAACCCCTGAAAAACAAACCCATGGCATTATCCGTCCTTCACAACTTTACAGTTGGCATAATGCAGTCAGGCGAGTAGCGTTCTCCTGTCATTCACCAAACCCAGTCTCGTCCATCAGACTGCCAGATAATGAAATGTGATTCGTCACTCCACAGAATGCGTTTCCACTTCTCCAGAGTCCAGTGGCGGCGCTTTACACCACTCCAATTGTGGAAACCCACTTCGTGAAACTCCTAACATGCAGTTCTTTTGCTTCCAAAGGCAATTTGGAACTCTTTAGTGAGTGATTCAACAGAGGACAGGCACTGTGTGCTTCAGCACTCGGCGGCCCCACTCTGTGAGTTTGCGTGGTCTACTGCTTTGTGGCTGAGCTGTTGTTGCTTATAGACTCTTCCATTTCACAATAATAGCACTTACAGTTGTCCAGGGCAGATCTAGCAGGACAGAAACTTCACAAACTGACTTGTGGCAGAGGCAGCATCCTATGACAGTGCCATGTTTAAAGTCACTGAGCTCATCAATATGTCCCATTCTACTGCCAGTGTTCATCTATAGAGACTGCAAGGCTATGTGCTTAATTGTATTCAACTGTTAGCAAAGAGTGTGAAGTTTGAAACACCTGAGCTCAATAATTAGGGGTGTCCCAATATTTTTGTCCATGTAGTGTAAATATGAGTGCAGGTGCAATGTAAAACATGCCTTGATACAAGTACAATATGCACTCACAATATCGCCATCTTTTTTTTGCATGCATACATCCTTTCTTGAAAGTTGAAATCATGTTATTTTTTTTATTATTTAAGTATTTTATCACTGTCTTCAAGGATCATATCCTTGTCTAGTCACTGTGACTACTCGTGTTGTTGAAGAAAGCTCTCAGCAACATAAGACAGTAACATTAATTTATGCCTAGTTTGAAATGGTGAAGAAAAATCCACACAAAACAAGTCACTGCTCGTTGCTCAAACCTTAGTAAATTGAGTGGAATATGTATATATATCAGCTGCATGTCTATCTGTCTCCAGCTATTTTCTGTTTCCTCAAGTGCATATTTATGTGAAAGAGAAGAGTACTCTGCCCAATGCTTATACATATGCATGTTTAGGCACATGCACCAGTTTGGGTATAATATTTGGGTAGAATATACCCCCATTTGTGCCTGCAACTGGAACAAAAAGCTTGGTACCCTGAGTCCTTAGTCTTCAGGGAAACACACACTGCTGTATACATGACCAGCAACAATTCAATATTGTTAATCCATCTCACATAAATGATTATGCTCATTAGAATGTAAAACTGTTTGTGTGCGGCACTAGAGAGTGATAGACTGACATCACCAAAAAAAAAATACAGTAAAAATGCTTATCATTCAAATAATGTTTTAGTTGCTTACTGACACAATCATACACTGAAATAATGAGACAAATTAAGCTAGTCTGTGTGGTGAAAGTGTTAAGAGAAATAAAGTATACAAATAAACTTTTCTTCTACATGTGTATTATATCCGTATACTCAAGGAGTTTTATTGTAACTTCTGACTCCAGGGACATTTTTGTTGTCACTATTGCAAGAGTTTTATGAAAAAAACAACTGGCAAGAAGGATAAACTAAAAAAAACAGGATAAACTTAAACTAGTACAAAACCAATGAGTGAACACAAACCCCATTGGCAATACTTCAGAACAGGGTGATGGTCTCAGGTATGCACAGTTGGGGTACTTGGTAGAATTGTGGCACTGCACTGTACTCTTAGAGAATACTGTAGTAGTCGACTTCCTAGGCTTCACTCCTGCAATGTCCATGCAAATGCTGTGCCCCTGTCTCGTGCCCGTAGGTAGTGCATTCTGTGTGAACATGACCTCTTTTAATCAGTCTGACTGATGTGACAAATGCCTTCAACTACGCTTGCATACTGGGCACATAACTCCCAAAGCCTTGAAACCCACCTTTCTCCAATTCAGGTTTCATTGCATTTTTTGCAGGTGCTATCGCTAATTAAAAAAAAACAACAGTTATCATCCAATACAGCAGGGGTGGAAAACTGAGAGCCGGAGTCTAGCACAGTTTGGTGATTTCCCTGCTCTAGTACACCAACTTAGCCTGGCAGTTAGCTGATGAGATGAATCAAGTGTGCTAAGAATCACCTAACTGTGCTGGAATCTGGCCCTACAGTTCCCCATTCCTGCAGTACAGCAACATCCTTAAGCCATGAAAGATTATTAAGTCCATGGTATGATCCTATGAATTGGTTCTGTCACATGCTGAGTAAAATTGAGAAAAAGTTGCATAAAATCCTTAGTTTGGTGTCTGTAGAATTATTAGCATAAACATTTAAATCATTAATTAAACAAAAATTGTCAAGACATATTAGATATAGAGAGTAATTCCAAAAAGTCCGAAAGAAAAGAGGTGCTTTGGTGGATGTTAGACGACTAATATTAAAATTTTGGGCTTGACGTTCATTGAAATCTCTACTGTTGGATCTACTGTAAAGCCTCTGAATCTTTGAACAACTTCTGAAATGGCCAATCAGTGGACTACTGATATGAACCTCTAGCCAAATGTAACATATCCAGGTCAACAGTGATCACATGGTTCCAGTGTGATTCTCCCTGCAAGCCAGGTGGGGGCGCTAGTTCTATAACTGTGGTTTTCCAAGGATAATAAAGAGGAGAAGAAGACCATCTACTCTGAGGTGCTACTACAGGGAAAAACAGGATCTGCTCTGCTCTGCTGGAGGTAAAGAGCAGGTTAACACTTTTCCATACAGTTTAGTCTGTTTTAAACTCAGCCTTACAGAAATGGGAGGAGAGATGTTTTCTTTTGAGAAGTAAGATATAAAGTATGTGAAATTTGTGAGCTCACACGGAAACAGCCTGTTCAGACTGAGCTGAGGAGGCTACTGTTAGCTCTGTGATTTTGGATGATGATGTTTTCCTAGTTGGGTTGGAGAAGGTCAGAGGTGGGCACAAACTACTCTGCTTTATTCAATTACATATAGGAAGCACTGATGGATTCATACTTTGAGTATTTTCAAATGATAGTGCTTTTACTTGTACTCAAGTGTGTTAGTGAGCACTGTAAGATTTTTGATATTAATAGAAGTAGCATTACTGAGTCAGAAGGGAAAAAAACACTACAGTATGGAGTGCTGTTGCCCTGTGAAGGCTGACATGATCATTTAAATGTCAGGTCGAGTGTTTTTATGCCAAATACCTTTTTTTATATATATTATATATATATATATATTATATATATATATATATATATATATATAGTCCTTCATCAGTGGTCACAGGATGCTGTTGGCTGGATATTTTTGGTTGGTGGTCCTGACCACTGAAGAACAGGGTACATGGCACATTACATAGCACAGTTTTGATAAGTAGATGGGCTTTAGGTTTATTTAATTATCAAACTCTTTGCTGGATACTTCTTGGTGTTTAATAGCTGCTATCACTAAAGAAGCAAACTTCAGACAGCAAACAGGTCTTGGCTGATTTGGGGTAAGGCAGTACATTGAGTAAATTCGGTTATTATCAAACTGTTGGTAACTACTCAAACGTTTTAAATGAATAGAAAACTTTCATAGATATCATTACAGACCAATACAGATTTCACTATTCAAGAGTTAAAAAAATTGACATATCTGATATTATAATATTACTATATATCATGTTATATGATGTTATATATTATCATATTAATAGATATTTTATATTATTACTTTTTTCTTCTTCAGAAATGCAGAACATAATGATTTTTCCTAACGTTTGGTATTAGTTAAAAAGTCCTCACCAAGATAATGTGACATAATACAGGTTAAAAATAAACTGTATAAACTTAGGGTTTACTGGAGCTCCTTTTTGAGATGTGAGTAAGCACTACTTATCAATGCACAGCATATCAGTGTGCTCTGCACTCTAACAAATTAGTGTCATTACAACACACACACACACTAGTGATGGGAATAACCGGCTCTTTTGGCTCCATTCATCTTCAAGAACCATGCTTGTCTATATTTTTTCTTTTTTTTTGGGGGGGTAGGTTTATCTGTGAAATAATCACTAGGATAATGAAAGGGTAAGTTGTGGATCAGATTCAAACACATCCCACCAGTATAATTTCATTTCACATGTGTGGAATTGGTCTGCACTTTTATTTGCAAATGATCAGATTGGATTTGTGCATCCAGACATCACCAACCAATCTGCAAGGGTTGGTGTGGTAATGACGTAGGCATCAGTAACTACGTAGCTACACTGCTGATGCGGATTTTACATGCAAATGCAGGAAAGATGCAGGTGCATCATCTCGCTCTCCAAAATCTTCAAAATTCTCTGGTATAAGCATACATTTTTGGAGCTCTTCTTGAATCCCAGCACTTCCGACGCTCTGAATGTGACACCATTGTTGTTTCTTGTGTTGTGAGTGAGGCAAAAGACACTCTGAAATCCAATTTGAGCATCCAGAACATCCAGACTGAGACGCATCTGTAAAAATCTCACTGAAATCACATTTCATGATTATCCTGCTGTGTATCAGTCATGTTTAATAGAATCACATTTTGTCCAATGTAGACAGATGGGGTTTTAAAAGGAAATGAAAAACTGTTTTTTAGAGTGTGACCCATGATGAGTTCAGACGGGCTGTAACCATTTGCCATAGACATGAAATTGTAAGGTAATGGGGGATTAGTGATTGTAGTCATTAGTAGCTTTTGGACAGTTTTGGACTGTCTGCATCTCTGTTAGCTTGTAAGTAACATGATGCATAAACTCCAAAGCTTTGGCAAGAGATTTGAATTACAGGTACCCTCATTTGGCACACTGGCTTTTTTAAATATTTCCTATCCTGTTATCTCAACATATCTAGAGATGTAGACCACATTGAGTTGGTATTTAGTCCTTTTCAGCTTAATAAAATGTATGTGGCTATGATTTGCCATAGACAATCTATCAATTCCAAAAGGCCAAGAAATTCCTATTTCACACTGTCAGTTACCACATTGTATGCCGCACAAACAGGACTGCCCTTGCATAATGTTTTTCAATACTTTAATGTCCTTGGTGAACTACCGGCTGACACTACTGCTGATAATATATTTTTTTTTCCATTTGACTTCTTTGAGCTGCATTAACTTTTTCATTTTTCTCTTCCAGAAAAGAATGACCCTCTTGTGCAAGTCCTCTCCAATGCCTAGTGTCCTACACAGTTCTAATTTACTTCCACTTCCACAAACACTTCAAGGAAAGCCACCAAGAGGAAAGTGTTATACTGTTGAAACTGGGAGACGTGAAATGTGAGAAAATGGTGTTCAGAAGCTCCAGTGCTTCGAAAACATCCTCTGCTTCTTTCCAAACTAGCACATCTAACAGACAAACACAAGAACATAGAGACAAAGAAAGAACTTACCACTGCTTAGATTGCGGAAAGAAATTTGATAGAGAGAGTCATCTCCAAAGACACGAGCGCATTCACACAGGGGAGAAGCCGTATCACTGTTCAGACTGTGCAAAGAGTTTTTCCCAACTGAATCATCTCCAAGCACACAAGCGCATTCACACAGGAGAAAAACCTTATCACTGTTCAGACTGTGGGAAGAGTTTTTCTTCACAGGGTCCTCTCCAACGACACCAGCGCATTCACACAGGAGAAAAACCGTATTGTTGCTCAGAGTGTGGGAAGAGTTTTACTCAACAGTGTCATCTACAAACACACCAACGCATTCACACAGGAGAGAAACCACATCACTGTTCAGAGTGTGGGAGGAGTTTTATAGAGAAAAGTACTCTCAAAAAACACCAGCTCATTCACACAGGAGAAAAACCGTATCAGTGCTCAGAGTGTGGACACAGCTTTTCTGCACTGATTAACTTCCAAATACACCAGCGCATTCACACAGGAGAGAAACCGTATCACTGCTCGGATTGTGGGAAGAGTTTTAGAAACGGTAGTGACCTCAGAAGACACCAGCACACTCACACAGGAGAGAAACCACATCACTGTTCAGATTGTGGGAAGAGTTTTTCTAGACAAAGTTATCTCCAGGAACACCAGCGCATTCACACGGGAGAGAAACCGTATTATTGCTCAGAGTGTGGGAAGAGTTTTACCCATCAGAGTAATCTAAAAACACACCATCGTGTTCACACAGGAGTTAAACCATATCACTGTTCACAGTGTGGGATGAGTTTTACTAGAGTGATTTATCTCCGAAGACATCAGCTCACTCACAAAGGAGTGAAGCAAAATCTGCAATAACGCCACAGACTGTAGGAGTACCTTCAAACCTCTGGATCTGAAGATGCACAAATGTATTAAGAAGGAGGTAAAAACACAATTTTTAACATTTTGTGCTGCTGGCCCGGACCAGAAATTAAAAATTTCCAGTGTTAAAGTTCCAGTGTCCAAGTTCTTTAATTTTGAATATTTACCTTCAACCCTGTTTCACAAAAAGTTGGGATGTTGTGCAAAACATAAATAAAAACAAAATGCGGTGAAGTGCGAAAAATTTAAACTCTGTTTAATTTGAATAGTACAAAGACAATATATCGAATGTTAAAACTGAGCAACTTCATTGTTTTTTAAAAAATATACAGCTATTTTGAATTTTATGCCAGCAGTACATTTCAAAAAAGTTGTGACAGGGCAACAAAAGACTAGCAAAATTGTTTAATGATAAAAACACCTGGTGGTTAATTGGTAATAGGTCAGTAACATTATTGGATATAAAAAGAGCATCCCAGAAAGGCTAAGTCTTTCAGAAGTAAAGATGGGAAGGTATTTATCACCCTGTGAAAGACAGTGCGGGTAAATTCAAGAACAAAGTTTTTTAATGTAAAATAACAAATAACTTGTGGATTTCATCATCTATAAGTACATAATATCATTAAAAGTTTCAGAGAATCCAGAGAAATCTCAAATCTGCATGTAAGGGACAAGGCTGAAAACCTATTTTGGTTGTTCGTGATCTTTGGGCCCTCAGGTGGCACTGCCTTTAGAAGCATTCCTGAGCCCATGTAGTGATTTCAAGTGCAGAATCATGTCTATTTTAATGCCATGTATAAACCATGTAAAAACAGGACCCAGAAACGCCGCCACCTTCTCTGGTCCTGAGCACATTTAAGTTGGACTGTGGAGAAACTGAAGTGTCCTGTGGTCCGACAAATCAAAAATGTAAACTTTTTTGGAAATCAAGGACAATGCATCCTCCAGGCTAAAGACCATCCAGCTTATCAGCACAAAGTTCAAAAGCCAGCATCTGTGATGGTATAGGCAACATATGCTGTCACTGGATATGATGTCACCCAGAAAACAACCTTGCTTATTTCAGCAAGACAATGCCAAACCACATTCTGCATGTAATACAACAGCATGGCTCTGTAGTAAAAGAGTCCAGCTGCTAAACTGGCCTGCCTGCACTCCAGACCTGTCACCCACTGAAAACATTTAGGACTTTATTAAACAAAAAAATATGACAAAGGAGAACTGTTGAGCAGCTGAAATCTTATATCAAGCAAGAGTGAAAAAACTCCCACTTTTAAAACTACAGCAGTTGGTTTCTTCGCTTCCCAACCATTTACAGAGTGTTGTTAAAAGTAGAGGTGATGCAACACAGTGGTAAATACACCCCTGTCCCAACTTGCTGGCATCAAATTCAAAATGGGCATATATTTCAAAAAATAATACAATTTCTCAGATTCAACATTTGATATGTTGTCTTCGTAGTTTTTTCAATTCAAAATAGGGTATAAATGATTTGCACATCACTGCATTCTATTTTTATTTACATTTTGCACAGTGTCCCATTTTTTTTAAAAACGGGATTGTGTATACAAATATGAAATGCATTGTTTTTGAAAATGCAAATAAAGTAAAATAGACTCTTTCCTAGTGTTCTTTGTATTGTGTTATAAAATGTATTGAGTAGGCACATCAATAGCAAATGGCATACATAGTCTTTTAAACAAAAGTACATTCCAACAAAAATAAAGCTTAAAATATTTATTACCAGATGAAGTAATAAGTGTTTATTATCTGTACATTCCACTTTACCTGCAGAGAGAAGAGAACTGTGAACCCAGGCCTCGTGCTAGGCACACACTGTGGCTGACTCAAGTTGGAGCAAGATAAAACAGGTTTAACAATTGGTGCGCTGTCCAAGAACGCTGACAGCTTGAACACTTCTCTTCAACTTGTTCTTCAGGATACTGAAGTTTCATGTTCCTAGAAGCAAGCAGTCAAGAGTCAGTCCCACAGCCAGTTCCACTGCATTGTGAGAAATGAAAGAGTACATGCTTGAAACATCTGTCTGAACTATGCATAGTGAGTTAAGCTGTTTTTAAGCTGTAAAAATGAAGTTAGTTGGGTAAAAGAAGATTATCTAATAATCTTCACTGAAGCACTGAATATAATTGATCTTAAACAATTCTTGAGTTTATTCTTAAATGTATTGCACAAAAAAAGCCTTATGTAGTATGTGTTGCAGCCTAATCAGATGCCGGAGACATCCTAATAAGATGTCCGAGCCACCTCAACTGGCTCCTCTCAGTGTGGAGGAGTGGTGGCTCTACTTTGAGCTCCTCCTAGATGACTGAGCTTCTCACCCTGTTAAGTAGAGTGTAGCCCACCACCCTGCTAAGAAAGCTCATTTCCACCACTTGTATCAGTTATCTGATCAGTTCATGACCACAGGTGAAGGTTGGGATGTAAACTGACTGGTAAACAGAGAGCTTTGCTTATGGCTCAGCTCCCTCTTCACTACTACAGTCCAGTACAGAGACTGCATTACCATCCCTCTTCCCATCACTCGTGAACAAGATTCCGAGATACTTAAACTCCTCTACCTGGAGCATGTCCTTTCCCCTTATCTGAAGTGGACATGCCATCCTTTTCTGGGCTAGGACCATGGACTTGGAGATGTTGATCTGCACACCAGCTACTTCACACTCAGCTGCAAACTGCTCCAGTAAGCGCTGGAGTCATCCATGTGATGGAGCCAAAACGATGTCATCCACAAAAAGCAGAGACACCAGCCTCAGCACATAATGCCCTCCTGACCTTGGCTACACCTTGAGACCCTGTTCATGAGTATCACAAACAGGAGTATCTCAGGGAACATGACTCTCCAAGTCCACAAAACCCATGTAGACTGGGTTGGCAAACTCGCATGCCCCCTCAACAATCTACCTGAGGGTGAAAAGCTGGTCCATTGTTCCACAGCCGGGACAGAATCCACATTATTACTCCTCAGTCTGAGGTTCGACTATTGGTCAGAGTCTCCTTTCTAGCACCTTGGCATAAACTTTCCCTAGGTAGGCTGAGCAGTGTGATTCCCTCGTAATTGGCACACACTCTCTGGTCCCCTTTCTTAAAAATAGGGACCACCACATTCTCCCAGGCCAAGGGTACTGTTCCCAAGGTCCATGTGATAAGAGTCCAGAGCTTTAAGCATTTCTGGGCAGATCTCATCCAACCCCGGGGCCTTGCCACCGAGGAACTTGCCAACTACCTCAATGACCTCCACCGGGGAAATAGAGTCTGACACCCCAGAAGCCTCTGGCCTTGACTCCCATTAGGGAGTTGAATAACAGGGTATAATACAATATATTAAAGGACCACACCAAGCACCACTTAGCCAACACATTATTTGAGAAAGTTTGGAGCCTACCTTTTGCAACTTAGAAGGCCTTTATTTGTTTTTGTTGGTTAGGAATGCAGACATTTCACATAGGAACAAATGTACTACATAACTAAAGGTATATGGACACCACTTGTAACTAGTGGCCACTGGCTATTTTGGCCACACCATAATAGCATATATTCATTTACAGAATTATTTTCCAACTTAGTGGAATAAATTGAACAAGATCATTTCTTGAACAGAGCATAGGCAGATCTCACATCTTTAGTGCATCCTTTTTTCCATTATTTGCATCCTCCCTACTTTTCTCAGGATGCTCCTGTTAACTGAATTCATCCAAAAAACACAGAGGTGAGGGAGTGAACACTGTACTACAGACCTACGTCTCATACTATGGATAAAAAAGTCTTTCGTTTAGGATGCATGTGTGTGTCCTCTCTCTGGAAGCCTCCTCTCTCCTCGGTTTGTCAGGGTGCATTAAAAGAACTGATACGTCCTTAAAGATGGCAGGTTTTGATTTATTTCTGGGTCACCAGCTGGAGAACATAGGAGATATGAATCAAGGAAACATCAGTTAGGGTTTTGAGATCCACCCCAAATCCACCTACTTATCAGGAAAGTACAGCACTCAAATATTGGATGCTGGAGGATAAAGGAGCAAGTCAAGTAGATTTACTCTCTAAGAGACACGTTACAGCTCGTGTATTATTGCCAGCTAGAGGGACAGCACTGGCAGATATTTGTTCAACTGTGTAGATAAAACCATTTTCTTTAATTGTATGACATTTGATTGATTTCTGATGCCATTAAATTTGTTTTGTCTTTTGTTACTTTAGGTATTCGCTCCGTGGCATGTGAATCTACACCCTGCCTTGTCCTCTTCACTTTAAGGTGGTCTCCTCCTGTTGGTGACAGAGGAAGGAATGGACAGATTAACAGACACTTTCCTTAAGGATTCTCTGATACAGAACAAAATTCATGATTTCTTCAGTAGTAGCTAGAATTGTCCTGGATTATTTTGCCTCTGTACCCTTAGGGAAACTTTGGCAGGCTGGCCACTCCTGAGAAGATTCACCAGTATTTCTATGGTTTTTAATTTGTAGATAATGGCTCTCACTGTGATTTGATGATGTTCTGGAATGCTAGAAATGTTTTGTAATGGAGTCATATTTTATAATTTTTTCTTTTGATTTTAGATTTTACATGATCCACAACATTCTACACAGAGTGAGTCGTTTGATTTGGCTGGCCTACAGTTTAGGAATCTCTTAGATGTCCCCAAAAAAGCAAAAGTGTAAATAAGCTGTTGTGATCAGTGCATTCAGTAGGCCCTGTTTCAATATGTTTGATGTTGATTTTTTTTTGTAATTGATAATGTATTTCTAAGCATCCATTCAATCTTATTTAATTATATACTTAATCAAATACATTTTAATATGATTAAACATAGTTTGTAGAAAGTAATATGTGAAAGTGTCTCTAATTTGTTTGTATAAGGGTGATGTTCAACACTTAAACACTTTAGTGGACTCCAGGAATTTGAGCTTAGATTGATTGTCTACAAGTGCAGAAAAATGAATAAAATACGGATATTTTAGCGCAGTAACCTGAACATTCTGGTCTTCTGTATTACAATAAATACATCATGACATATATTTGTTTGAAGTGCCCACCAAATCCAAGCATCTGTCCAAGTTGCTCTGCTTCAGGTGATTTCCGGTGAGAAACATTTACCTGTAAAGCAAATTAGACACGTGAGGTAAATGCAGCAAAACAATAACAGCAAAATATGACATAAACACAAAACAAATTGCTAATTATATGTCACTGACTAAAATGTGGCTGAGTTAAATTGTATATTATGAAGTGTTAATAATGTCTTTTGAAACTACTCTGGAAAATATGTTACTTGAGTACATGTAACTGAGCAAACGAAACTTGTTATTACCCCTCTCTGAACCACACAAACTGACAAAATATGTTAGATGTTCATCATTGTTTTTTCAGTGTGCTAACCTTACGTACACTATGATCAGTCCTAGATTAAACTTAAGAGGTGGCGTATGTTTACATTTATGCTTAGTGCAGTTTTATTTGTTCTAACTACCAGAACACTACAGCTGACTTATATTCTGCTGCACACACAAGCATAACATCCTGTCCAAACTCCAAACCTCATTATCTTTCGCTGCCTGCACTGCTGAGATGAGACAGCTGTATACAGCTGTGAAGCTGGGCACTCAGTATGTTACTGCGTGCTGCTGGGAGTGGGTGCGGAGCAACATCTGATGCAGCCACAGGGCCTAAACAGACTTAGGCCTTGCTTAGCTACATATGCTAACCTTTCCTAGCTAAAGTTGGTGACTTCACTTGGCAGACTGCCTCAGAAATATAGAAAAGGTGGACTCCAACTAACTGTTAATGAGAGTGTTTTGTCTCATTTCAAAACTACTCACCTTTTAAAAGCAGATTCTGACCCTTGCAGTATTAATGTCACCAGGTAGGTGGGTGGCATTATCTTAGTAAAGACTTTAAGAGACCGTTTTGAGGAGGTTTAACATCAACAATGCGAGCTACTGTAAACAGCTTGTTTGGCTTTAAAAGGCAACATGGAACACTTGAGAGGCTCACACTACTATGTACTTATTATGTACTCACTTATTATGGAGCTGTATATTCCTATATCCTTCTACTCAAATACATTTATTTACTGCTGTTTGTGTTTTCCAAATACCTGAAGATAATAATTTAGTGTTACAATAAAAAAAAAAAAAGTTTGTTCTCTCATTCTGGTGGGCCACATTAACAGTCCTCGTGGTTTAACTTTTGGCAGACATCTTCCAGCGGAGTTAATGAAAAGTTTTTTTCTGCCATGAACTTAAATGATATAAGGAAATGAGTTTAAACAGTTTAATGTAATTTTTTTTTCTTTTGCTACTATAAACACATTTCTGCAACAATACAAATGCACAGCAAGGAAAATCTTAGTGAATATTATTTTGGTAATACCACATAAAAACCATAAGATTACAGCAGGCTGTTTCTTTAGGACATTCTTTTTATATTTTACATTTGGTAAATTATGCGGTAATTGTAGTTTGGCAATACAAAAAGACTTTCACACTCATACCACAGGACTTTGTGTAATGGACCACTCTTTGGTCTCAACTGAACTATCTTAAGACACAAAATCTGTATATCTTAAGACAAAATTATGTCTTAAAATATGCTTCGCCTTCAAATATAAAATAATTACTTCCTCGTCTTAAGACATTAACTTTCATGTCCCAAGACAAAGACAATGTCTTCACTTGTACGTCTTAAGACGTTCTTGAGAAAATGTGTCAAGATGTCCTGTGTAAAACTGTCAAAACACCCTAAGGCACAATGACAGCTGAGTATGTATAAGACAAACTTGTTGCTTTTATTGAGAGCAGGTATTGCACTAAATGGTATGAGATAGTTTAAAACAATGAGTATAAACATAACTAGGAGTAGCAGCAGCGTTTACAGTCTAAAGTGAGCAGTAAAAGTGTCATTACAGTAGTAGATTATGATGTATTACACAGTGTATCCATAAGAAACGTGATGAGCCTTATAGCTCTATAAGGCTCATATATCTGACCCAGCAGTAGGTCAGTAGGTCAGATACATTATTATTATTATTATTATTATTATTATTATTATTAGGACTTATCTGGGATTTAACCATTTGGACGATGGGTTTAGATGATGGACTTAAACAGAAATAGACGTGTTTCTGAAAGCAGTAGTTTCTAATCGCTGTGGAGTCTCTGAAGCTCCTACGGCTACTCAACTGGCCAATCAGCGGACAGCTCATATGAGCTCCTAGCCAATCGTAACGCAGGAGGCGGGGTTTGTAAGAAAACGGGTGGAATATAAAAATAACGCGCCCGGGTCAACAGTGAATCCTCTTCGCACCAGGTGATGGCGCTGGTTCCGTAACTGTGGTTTTCCAAAGAAGAAACGAAGAAGATCGTCTGCTCAGGAGTCTACAGTGTTATTGGAGGGAACAACAGGATCTGCTCTGCTGAAGGTAAAGAGCTGATAAACACTTTTCCACACTGTTTACTCTGTGTTTTAACTCAGAAATGGGAGGAGAAATGTTCTCTTTTTGAGAAGTAAGATGTACAGAATGTGAAATATGTGAGCTCACACAGAAACAGCCTGTTCAGACTGAGCTGAGGAGGCTACTGTTAGCTCTGTGATTTTGGGTGATGATGTTATGGTAGTTGGGATGGAGAAGGTCAGAGATGGGCACGAACTACTCTGCTTTATTCAGTTACATATAGGAAGCACTGTGGTGGATGTGTACTATACTGAATATTTTCAAATGATAAGACTTATTTCTACTCAGGTGTGTTAATGAGCACTGTAAGATTTTTGTAATTAAACAAAATAGCACTACTGAGTCAGAAGGGAACAAAGAGGCTAAAATATGGCCATAGTTGCCTTGTAAAGCCTGAAATTAGTGTTGTGGGAGTTTTCTATATAGTGTTCCGTACTTTTGCATATTACTTTCACATACACAGGCTTAAAAAGAGGGTTCAGCTCAATATTTAGGTTCCAAATGCAAAATAACAAGACAGCAATTTCCCCTTCATTTAGTGGTTTCACTTTCTGGAATGACTGAAGATTTAGGTTGACCGATTACTCAATTTTATGGCCAACTTTGATTACATCTGCACAAAGTAGGCTTTTATTAATTAATTAATTAATTTATTTATTTTTAAAAAGTTGCCTATTTAAATAACATAAAGCATATAAAGTGCTACACTATAGTAAGAGGCAACAGGCTATTTAGCACAGTGAGTCCTGCACAATTAGGCTATAACATTTTGGTGTAGGTGTAGCAAAAACATGCATAAACTGCACACATGGACTGACCTGGTTCACATAAAATTATGTCATAAAATTGCAACACGTCTGCCAAAATAAAAACAATAAATAAATCATGTATCTTGGAGCTTGCTGCTATTACTGTGTCTCTGAGGGATTAGTCAGGAACCCAGACCACATCACGTGTATCAGTCATGTTCCAAACGGCTGTAGCCATTTGCGTTTAGATATGAAACAGTACGGTAATAGGAGATTAAAGACTATTGTCATTAGAATGTTTTTAACAGTTTTTGGACTGTCAGCATCGCTCTTAGCTTGTAGATAATGTAGTTCATGTACTCTTAAGCTTTGGCAGAAGATCTAAATTGGAAGCTCCCAAATTTGGCACACCGGCTCTTTTTAAATATCTCTTATCCTGTTGTCTCAACGTATCTAGAGGTATAGACCACAGTGGGAGGGTACAGCTTTTCAGCATAATAAAATGTATGTGCCTGTGATTTACTATAGAAATCTGTCAATTCAAAAGACCAAAAAGTTCACCAGGATTCTAGTGAAATTTTCTACGTAGTTCATAATGACATTTACCACATTGTATACCCCACAAACTGGACTGCTCTTGCACAATGTTTCTCAATACTTTGATGTCCCTGGTGAAGTACTGGCTGACATTAATGCTGGGAATATTTTTTTGTTCTATCTACCTTGTTTGAGTTGCATTTGGTCATTTAATTTTACGTTCTTTTGCCTTTTTTTCCTGCAGAAAAGAATGATCTCCAATTTTCTTCCACAAACACATAAAGAAAAGTCACCAAGAGGAGTACGTCACAGTGTGGAAATTTGGAGAGATCACTTGTGAGAAAATGGTATTCAGAAGTCCCTGTACTCCGGAAACGTCCTCTGCTAATCTCCAAACTGACACATCTAGCAAACAAACCCCAAAAAATAGAGGCAAAGAAGAAACTCACCACTGCTTAGACTGCGGGACAAAATTTAATAGACTGAGTAATCTCCAAAGACACCAGCGCATTCACACAGGCGAGAAGCCGTATCAGTGCTCAGTGTGCGGTCAGAGTTTTATTGTACAGAGTAATCTCCGAATACACCAGCGCACTCACACAGGAGAGAAACCCTATCAGTGCACGGATTGTGGGAGGAGTTTTGCAAGACAGAGTCATCTCCAGGAACATAAGGTCATTCACACAGGAGAGAAACCGTATCACTGTTCAGAGTGTGGAAAGAGTTTTAGAAAGAGTCGTGCTCTCAGAAAACACCAGTTCGTTCACTCAGGAGTAAAACCGTATCACTGCTCAGAGTGTGGACACAGCTTTATTGCACTTAGTAATTTTCAAACACACCAGCTCATTCACACCGGAGAGACACCGTATCAGTGCTCAGAGTGTGGGAAGAGTTTTACTAGACAGGATACTCTCCAACGGCACCAGCGCATTCACACAGGAGAGAAACCCTATCAGTGCACAGATTGTGGAAAGAGTTTTAGAGAGAGTGGTACCCTCCGAAAACACCAGCGCATTCACACAGGAGAAAAACCACATCACTGCTCAGAGTGTGGGAAGAGTTTTACTTCACGGAGTATTCTCCAGATTCACCAGCGCGCTCACACAGGAGAGAAACCGTATTATTGCTCGGAGTGTGGGAAGAGTTTTACTGTACAGAGTAGTTTACGAGCACACCAGCGCATTCACACAGGAGAGAGACCGTATCAGTGCTCAGAGTGTGGGAAGAGTTTTAATCATCAGGGTACTTTTCATGAACACAAGCAAATTCATACAGGAGAGAAACCTTATCACTGTTCAGAATGTGGAAAGAACTTTAGAAGCAGAAGTACCCTCAATAAACACCAGCGCGTTCACACAGGAGAAAAACCTCATCACTGCTCAGACTGTGGAAAGAGTTTTGCCTCACGGAGTCATCTCCAAATTCACCAGCGCATTCACACAGGAGAGAAACCGTATCAGTGCTCACAGTGTGGGAAGCGTTTTAGGGACAGTGGTGACCTCACAAAGCACCAGCGTATTCACACAGGAGTAAAACCGTATCACTGCTCAGAGTGTGGGAAGGGTTTTACTAGAACAAATTATCTCAAAAAACATCAGCTCACTCACACAGGAGTGAAGCAAAATCTGCAATAATTGCTCAAACTATAGGAGAGTACCTTCATTCATTTGGATTTGAAGATACCGAAGTGCTTTAAGAAAGAGGTAAAAGCACAATTTTTAATGCTTTCCTGCTACCGGCTGGATCCAGAAATAAAAAAATTGTGTTATTTATTTCTTAATTTGTTTTGTTTTTAATTTCAAATATACAATTGTATACAAATTTGAAATACATTGGTTTTCCAAATGAAAGTAAAATAAAATGGGCTCTTCCCCAGTGTGTTGTACAGCAGTGTTTTAAAATGTATTGAGTAGACAATGACAAATGATGTAAAGTGCATTCTTCTAAAAATAAGACTTGAAATATTTATTACAAAATTGTAAATGATTACTATTGGACCCGCTGAAGAGAGAACAGTCTTTATAATCTGTACGTTTATCTCTACCTGCAGAGAGAGAGGAGATCTGAGACTTGAAGACCTGATTGACATACACTATATGAACAAAAGTATTGGGACACCTACAGGAGCATTTATGAATCCAATTCTAAATCCATAGGCATTAATATGGAGTTGGTCCCCCTTTTGCAGATATAACAGCTTCCACTATTCTGGGAAGCTTTCTACAAGATTTTGGAGAGTGTCTCTGGGAATTTTGGCTCATGGCTAGATGCTTGATTTTATACACCTGTGGCAATGGGACCGAATGAAACGTGAAGTCAGTGATTAAAAGGTGTGTCCCAAAACTTTTGTCCATGTATTTAACTATTACATACTAGATGTTTGGGGTAAAATAAAAGTATGCTCCTTTGCTCCTATTAACTGAAATCAGGATGCATTTACATAATTGATACTTCCTTAAAGATGCCGATGTCAGTTACTTTCTTCGTCTATATATATAGAACCATTACCGCTTCATTTTGATTTTTGTTTAATGGTATGACATTTAACAATTTCTGACGCTATCATTAAATTTCTTTCTTTTGTCTTTTATTTTAGATGTTTGCTGTGTGGTGCATGAATCTAAGCCTGCCATGTCCTCTTCACTTTAACTTGGTCTTCTTCTGGTGGTGACAGAGGGAGGAAAGCAGGTTACTGGGTATAAGTGCTAGAAACCTCTCTCCAGTAGCCTCCACATGGACAAAAGAACATATGCTCTCCTTAATAGTTCTCTGATAAAGAACAACATTTATGGTTCTTCAAATTAGCAAAAATGTCCCAGGACAGCAGAACATCTACACATCTTCACATTACCCCTGCCATATTTGAATGTTTGCTTTATGTTGAGGATTGTGAAAAACAGAACTTGTTTTATGGCAGATATAAAGGGACCTGACTTGTCCAACAAGTTACACTTCAGACTGATATGTTCGCAGGACATCATCCCAAAAGGTTTTAGGGAAACTTGACAGGCTGGCCACTCCTGAAGAGATTCACCAGTGTTCCTATGGTTCTTAATTGGTAGATGATGGCTCTGACTGTGGTTTGATTCTGTCCTAGACCCTTAGCATTGTTTTGTAACAAATTCTAGAGTGATATTTCAGCAGCTTGTTTTTTCATTTGGTTTTAGATTTGACATGATCCACAGCATTCCACTTACTCACTCAAACCACTCCGTGGGTGGTTTGAATGGCTGGCCCCAAGCTTAGGAATCTCTTGGATATCCCAAAAAAACAAAGGTGTAAAGAAGGCCATACAGAAGGCCCTCTTTCACTTTGATTATATTGTTTGAGGTAGATTTTTTGTAATTGATTGTGGTCTCAGTGTTCATTTAATTTAATTTAACAATCTACTTAACAAAAAACGTGTTATTGTTAAATCTAATTTGTACAAAATAATATGTTGACATTTCTGTAATTTGTCTGTATAAGTGTGATATTCAACATAAACACTTTAGTGATCTCCTGGAAGTTGAGCTTAGATTGATTGTCTCTTGAATGTGCTGTTCATTCTGACCTCTCACAAGTTTGGCTGTCCTTTTGTGAAAGACAGAGCAAGGACATTTAGCAGTAAAAACTGTCATCTGCTTTGAACTTATTATTCCACTAACTAATTATTTGATCTATGAGCAGAAAAGAAAGAAGAGTTTTTTTTTCTCTGTAGGATATTTAGCTATGGTATGCTTTTAAAAACACTGTCATTCTTTTATTTTAATTTTAATGAGTAATTTTTTAAATATTTGTCTTCAGCTTTCCAAAACCTATTTTTACATAAGTTCTTTGAATAAATCTACCGAAGACAGACATATTTCATCTCTCTTTTTTGTTTTTGCTTTTTGTTTGAACTACTTTCTCTAGTCATTAACTTACATCTATATTATTCTCCGAAACCCAAACAAACTTCTACCTATTAGGAAAGTATGCAGAATGGGACTCAGTAGTCATTTCAGATCTTTTATTAAAATGTAGTCAGAGTAAACATTATTTGTTCTTTTAAAGTTAAGGAATAGAAAGTCCTGTTTTACATTGTTTGTATGAGTCAACAAGTAACAGACGAGACTAATAAAAAGCTGAAATTTGTGGGGAGGACCTTGCCTGAGACCATGCCTCCTTCCAGTGTAACATTCCATAATTTCTACCTCTGTTTACTGTGACAAAGCTTCCTAACTTAGCACTCAAACATTGGTACTGCAATGAGCTGCTCCTCCACAGACTGAATTCTCTTTGGTTGGCTGACTGCTTGTTTCATGGTTTACTTAACATCCAACTGAGATCCTTTTTTATCATTCCTTCCACCCTGGCTAGCGTTCCTCCGAATTCCCCAGCCATACACGCTCTCCTTTCCCAGACACCTCTGACTGATCTGTGCCAACAATATCTTACAATTCGTCCTGCAGTGCATTCTGTAGGACGAATGGCTTTGCTTGGGCTAAAATATTCCATTTTGTCTCCACTCCATCAGAAGTAAACAAAGCATGCCATTGCTCAATCACTACTAGCTCACACTGGCATACAAAACATATGATGATGCCTCCATGTTGAGGTTCATCTTGTTACTGTGCCCTTCACTTAACTTCAACCCTGTCAGCTACACATTTCATATTTTACCAGTCTTGTTTCATCTGACCAAGCCCCTGAATGGTCAATCCCTCTGCTAGCTCCATTGCTCCCTGCACATCCAATGTCATGTCATTTGTTCTCAAGCCTTTGGATGTTCAGTCTTGCCCCTTCGGCCTCTAACGTCTGCCTCGTGGACCTTAAGTATCCAGTCTTCTACCCCAGACTGCCCTAGCTGTTTTACTTAGTGAAGATGCTACCGGTGCCCTTGGGAACATGCTGCTCTCCTAGTCATTTCAGGCACTCTGCTGCCATCATTGATTTGCACTGTAATAACTGAACAACCATTCTGTTTCCAACAGGACATTTTATGCCAAACTACCAATTTCCATCATCAAACCAAGCACCAACTTCCATTTGCAGCCGCAAACTTCTATCAGCCATCCTTGCACAATGTCTATTCTGTTTAAGTTATAAACTACCCTTCACTTACTTAACCCTATACTTGCCACTTTCCCGTATCTAACATCATGCCATATCTAACACAATCTTTACAGTCTGGTGTCGACCTCAGGAAGATGTGTTTCCTCTTGACTCTTGATTCCTCCCTAGGTTTCTTCCTCATACCCCAAGGGAGTCACCATCCTCAAACCCCAAGGACACCTCCCTTATCACAGTCACCCTCGGTTTGGTGATCAGAGGATCACACCAGGATTTCCATTAAGCAGCTCACAACAATGTCAGTGTTCAGCTATTGAACTGAATCAAATTCAGGCAGACCTCTTTACCTGCTCAGGCAACTCCTCCACCATACAAATCCTTATGTGCCAAACCTGGCTTGGACACTCAAATCTTTCATTGTCTGACCAACCCCTTGTTCTGAATTTAGTTCTCTACATTCTACTAGCATACACTCATATCTAGTAGGATATGAGGACCATAGGAGGGTCCTGGCATACTTCTTATGTAGCCAAGCACTATTTAAGGGCCAGACCTCCAAAGTTAAATTCAGAAATATGTAGGCCTCAAATAGTTCTTGTGTTACTGTTACCATAAGCTGAAGGTACAGTTTGAATTTGCAGAATTGAGTTACAGAATAACTGAAATCTTGGGGGATCATGGCTGGGGTTCCTCCTTCCAATCGAATACCCTATAAATTCCCATCTCTACCTTCTGTTTACTATAAAAGGTTTTTGCAGTCCCCACCATCGCTCCATCTCCTTTCTGTTCCTCAGTTCTTTATCAGTCCTACCACTGCCCTTCTAGGTCCAAGCTGAAGCTTCCCAGAACTTCTCTTCTTCTTTCCCCTCTCTCAATTAGTCTTCCCTCACTCATGCTATCACCATATGTTGAAGGCATGATTTGAACTTGCAAAGTAGTATTTAGTTACCCTTGTGGCATTTGTTTAGGTGAATTTTTTTTTTCAGATTAGCATGCAGTCTCTAATTAAATATTTTAGCAGACAGATTTCTCATTGCTTGTCTCTTTTGCATCTCTGTACTCACTGATGACTAAAAAAAGGACACATTAAACATATGTTATAAAAGGCTATCTCAACCAAACCCCAGCTAGTGGGAAAGGCAGCTACCTATATAGTTAGTGAGACAAAATAGAGCCTAATGTAGCTGCTGATTTCTTAATAATGTTAGCTACATGATGCTCATGTTTATTGTAGTATGTTATGAGTAGGTAACACATTACAACTTTAACTTCTGATCTAATCGCTGCTATAGCTAACTACACAGCCTGGAGCATAACCTGAGCAGTTACTGGAGCTAGACTAAAGCTCGCTGATTTAGCCAGCAACATTACGAACAGTCCAAATGAAAAATGAAATAAAGGGTTTGCATTTTACAATGTTAATGTCTTAATTGCACTCATCAACTATAAGCTGGATACATTTTTACCATTGCAATATTATACATTAGCCTGTAGCATGTGTGCTACATACCTGAACATCTCAAGAAGTCAAAGTTACTCTGGTACTCCGGACAGTGTAGCGGCTTGAACAGAGATAAACATAGTGGGTAGTTAAATCCATAGTCAAGCCACAGCTGAGAACCAGTCAAAGCTCATTGGGTAGGTACGTCGATTTTATCCACACTGAATCTCTCGAAACCCTTCCGAATCCTTCTGATACTACCAAGGTCCAGACCTCGGTGTCCTCATATCTAGTTACGGCCATGGAAATTATCAGTTAAATTTAGTCTCCCCAGACATATTTTTTTAGATTTCTGCAGATCCGAAGATACATTCGCAGTACTGATTCCTGTTACCCCACCCATCCTAATGAAACACAGCTCAATACTTTTCGTATCCCACTTCCCACTCTGAAAGGTACCTAGACACCTTACTTGCTATTATTTGCTCTTCTTCTTCTTCTCTTTGAACTCAGCACAGTCTTTCAGTGTAAACCTCTTCATAGGGCTTATTGGACCAAGGCAAGATTAAAATTTGTGAATCCTAATTGTACGACTTGTAACCAGTCTCTTGAAAATTATGTACACGTTTTGGTGTTACCTGTCTCTTGCTGATTTCTGGGAAGACATTTCTAATGCACCCCCTAAATTAAGTGGCATAGTGATTGAACCAGACCTATTTATTGCATTATGTGGGGCTTCCTCACCCATGCTACAACAGACCAAAATGAATAAAAACACAATTGCATTTTCCACCTTAATGGTGAGAATTTTAATCGTGTTTTGATGGAAATCCTCAGCACCTCCCTCCCACACTCTCTGGATTAAAGCTGTTTAAAGCTGCATAGAGTTGAAACCCATCTTATGTTAAACAACTACTTTTCCCTGCACCTCCAGATCACTGTTCTTTTATATCCACATATAATTATTATTTTTTTTTATCCTCATTAGAGAAGAGTATATGGCATACTTTAGCAATGTAAGAAATCTGATTCGTGTCTACAAGGCAATTAAGATGTCAAGGAGGACTGTACTATTTGACCTAGTTGACCTGTAGACAAATGTATTAAAAATATATAATTTTGTCTGCTTTTTGGTTTGTTATTTACTTTGTACTTATTTCTTACATCCTGTGCTGTTTTGTTGCATTGTTGGTTTTAATGTGCTATTTTATACTTCTACTTGTTAACTTACAAATGCAGTGATTTTGCAAATGCTGTTTATGCTGAAAATCAAATAAACACACACACACACACACACATTTTCTAAACCACTTACCCTTCTGGGTCACAGGGGTTCTGGAGCCTATCCCAGCTGTCATTGGGTGGAAGGTAGGAAACACCCTGGAGAGGTCACCAGTCCATCGCAGCTCAGAGTAGTGTATGGGGTGTTCAGGCACATGTAAGTATTCATTCAGTAGCTTAAAAGCTAGCAGAAAGAAACTCTTCTTGTGCCTGTATGTTTTGACAGCAGGTGTTCTGTAGCGCCTGCCAGATGGGAGTAGTTCAAACAGACTGTGTCCTGGATGTGAAGGGTCCTCAGTAATTTTCCCTGCCCTTTTCCTGACACGGAAAGAGTACAGGTCCTGGAGGAAGGGCAGATTGCTGCTGATGATCCATTCTGCAGCTCTGACTATACTCTGCAGTCTGGACTTGTCATGCTGGGTGGCCGAGCCAAACCAGACAGTGAGGGATGAGCAGAGTATGGGTTCAACAGCACCTCTGTAGAACTGGCAGAGCAGCTCCTTAGGGAGGTTGTACTTTTTTCAGCTGGTGTATAAAGTACATCCTCTGCTGCATCTTCTTCATGATGGAAGTTACATTAGGCTCCCACCTCAAGTCCTTGCAGATGATTCTGTGCATGCCACAATGCAGTTGTGAATGCTGAGTGCAGACAGTGATGAAGTGTTCTTTCTAAAATCCACCGTCATTTCCACAGTCCTGAGGGTGTTAAGCACTAAATTATTGTTAGTGCACTAAAGTGTAAGCCTGTTCACCTCCTGTCTGTATGCAGATTCATCGCCATCCCAGATGAGGCCAATTACCGTTGTATCATCTGCAAATTTTAGGAGCTAAATGGAGGGATCCCCAGAGGTGCAATCATTGGTGTAGATGGAGAAGAGCAGTGGAGAAAGTACACATTCTTGTAGGATGCCAGTAGTAAGAGTACATGTGCTGGATTTCACCAAGCCTCACATGTTGCTTGATTATTTAGGAATAGAATTTAGTGCTGAAGGCCGAGCTGAAATCCACAAACAGAACCCTGGCATGAGTTCCTGGGCTGTCAAGGTGAAGAAGTATATAATGCAGACCCATGACGTCCACTG